AATGATGACATGGCATGGCTGCCACTCGGAAATTGCGGACTCGGCCCGTGCCCAACTCCGACTCAGTCCGGGCTCTCGCAGCCCATGCAGGACCTCCTAGGTGGGCAGGGGCGAAGGTTGAAACCTTCTTCTGCTGTCAGGGGACAAACCCGGGTCCCCATGACCCCTCTCTCTATAACCCAGAGCCTGACCTGTAACAGCCCATCTCAGGGCACAATGCTACTGTGGGTAAGAAAGTGAGAAGAAGGTTAACTTCTCACTTTCCCACAGTGGCCCCAATATGGCGAAAACTTCCGGGGATACCCGGAAGTCACATGAGGTGGGATCCGGGGTTGGATCATGCGGCGCGCGGAGCGTGCGGCGCAGGAAGTGCGTGGGAAGTGGAGCGGGGTCCGGGCTAAGTCAGGGTATGTGCCCTGACACATGCCCCTTCTTTGGTTTGTCCCCCTCACCTCAATATACCGTTGATACTCACATTCCACCTTCCTTTTTTCTCTATATGAAACATAACCCATGAGCGTGTCCAGGATTTCAATATCTTCGAATGGTAAAAGGTCTCCTTGCCCGATTCAACAACTCCCAAGTCATAGACATCCAGGACATATCCAGGACATTCTTTCCCGATTTACCATGGATGCAGCAGGCGAATTTATCTTCGGCAGCACAACTTTCAACACACTTGACCTTCCCCTTGTGTGCCATTCCGAGTCTCTAGCTGGCTGTGAGCTTTAGAAAAGCTGACGATGTTGTATTTGGATGTATTTACTGCAGAAATTTATTAATACATCGATATATATGTGATCAATAAATGTAAGCGATATCCTGGGTTTATCCAAGAGTGTTTGTGAGCGATATCCCTGTTGACCCTTCTTGGGCTGTCTCGTATCCATGTTATATCCGAGCAATATGACGGGGGGTAACTGGTTATATTCAATGTGGAATACTTCAATATCCAGTGTCGGATACTTCCAGGATTCTGTGGGGATTCTGGTAATATCTGACCTTGGATATTTTACCTCAAAACGCAGTGACTGCTCCTGCAAGCTAGCTTATTATGCGGGACGAAAAAAAAAACGAGCTAGGATAACGCTATTTTCTCTTCTTGTACAACTTTCCCTCTGCGCTTTACTGTCAGGCTCTGTGGGTGGCGGCCTCAATTGCAGACACTGGTGCTTCTGAGGAAGTCTCCCGGTTGAAAGGTTATTTTCAATTTGAACAGGAACCCTTGCACAGGATTATGATGTTCGGGGATCAAATTACCCGCTGCATACGGAGTGGCAGGACCGCAAAACATTTTGATTGCAAAGGCTCGGGAGCTAGAATGATCGTGGTCGTCGTCATTGGGTTTCATAAGATCATGAAGGGAACAAGTCGACAGAACGATGAAAAACGGGAAGAACTCATAGCAACACAGATGGGCCCGAGAAGAATCAATTTTGAGTGTCGGCCTCGTTGGCCATTTCATTGTTCTCGAGCTTGAGCTTTGTGTTTGTGTGGAACCGGATGTACGCAGAGCGGAAATATTGCTTTTTCAGCGTAAGACCCTTCCGACTCCTCATGCTGACGGTGGCACGCAATGTGAACGGAAATTGATGAGCTACTGTCCCATTCTCGAAGCCACAGAAAAGAATTCTTGCACTTACAACGGCTCATACCCGTCGGGGATCCTCTCCTCCCCCAATATGATCCTTGAAGTCTTTACGTCTCCACCAAATATTTCATAGAACACGGTTGCGTTGATGTATCCAAAGACTGCGTGAAGTAGTTTGAGGGAAAATTCAGGGTTGTCACGTCTCGATTCCGCGAAGCGCAAGGAAAGAGCCTTTCCCAGATCCTTTGGGGTGACTTGCCCTTCGGGGTGCTCAGGTGTAGCAGGACCAGTGGCAGATCCCAGAAGACGTTCAATGAGTTGTTTGTCGGGTATGGTTTGGTCCGGAGCGAAGAAAGTGTCAGATCCTGCAACCGACACATATCAGGGATGAAAGGGGACAAGGAACGTATATGATGGAACGCACGGAGGAGACTGGAATCATGCTCAATGATATTGTGCTTGGTCAGATCGCTGTCGGAGAAGGAAAACAAAAAATTGAGAATGAGTAGTTGAGTCGAGTCAGGACATACCTGAGATCAAGCGTATCCTTCTTGTAAAATTTCCTCACTGAATAGCAGGTATCTCTGCAAAATGGTGCACCCAAATTCCAAGTTTTCTCGAGCGCTTTAGCCAGGAATGGCAGCGGAATGTTCTTTCCATCTCTAGGAATAATCCCATGATTTGCCATCGCATCTAGTGGTAACACGTTGGGAAAGATGCTATGAGGTCTTGCCTCCCAATGAGGTGATTAGGACAACTATGCTTACTTAACCCTGGACACGGCGACCTCGAGTCTGTCTCGGGATTAGGAGGGATGAACTCGGGCCAGAGACCATTGTACCCAGGCTGGCCTTCTTTGTACATCGCTCCTTTCTTGATTTTGGGCGTCAAGAGATTGATGAACACGAGGCCAGTGTCCCACGTTTGCAGGTAAACAAAGTTCCAAAGGTCTTTTAGAATCGTCGCCATGTTTTCTCGGGTGGGGGTCCGTACAAAGCAGAGAAGAGGGAAAGTGAGGGAACGAAGCTTTTGTACTGGCGAGGCCATTCTACCTGAAAAAGGAACTGTCAAAATGGTCCGGAGCAGATTCATGCGCAATCCGAGCGCCTATAACAGCTGGAGTTGTGCATAGGAGACACCAGAAGCTCCTCATTGCTCAGCTCGACCTCCGACCAGTCTTGCCTTGTCGAGCGCCAGCTTGTCTGTCGTTGCAAAGACATCGAGGTACGGTATTCTCACAGTTCACTCCACGTACCTGATCAGCGGAGATGTGGTGCCGAAGGAACACCAGCGCTCCTTAGACAAAAGAATCCAGCTGAATATATCGGGAGCAATTCTGTAATTGTCGATTTGGGAAAATAAGCGCTGGTTACCATGTAAGGCTATAGGCGCTAAGGAAGCTACCATATTTGGGTCGTCACGAGACTCACTTGAATGATTGAATATTCTGATTCAAATCCTGTCACGTAGCGGAACTCTCCGAATTATATTGTTACAGATTCTTTTTATTGTCACGAAGTGACACTGGATTCTTTTGTCGTTAGCTGTAATATTACAAGAGATAAGGAAGGTGAATCGTATGAGTACTCTGACTCCAATAATTGATAATTTGGCAGTTGTTCTATTAACACCATCGCAATCTGGCGAATGCTGCATACCTATACTCCCATCCCGGCTGATGGCTTCCACATCTTGATAAACGCTGACCGAGAACCCCAATTGTACCGGAAATTTGGCAGGTTTCAGGTATTTTGACCTGCCAAAGTTCTTCTACCCTCCCTGCTTCTGTCGGCACTTCGTCTTTGATCGTCGCTGTTGTAAACGCGGCGTTCCAACAGTCGCACATTCCGACAGTGTAACGTTCCTCAATCCTGTGCCTCATGTGGGCAACTTGAAGGTAGACGATCTTGACCCTGGTGGGGTCAAAGGGAAGGCGAAACGGCCCCCTTCTTAGACCGATACCTTTCGTGTTGCTACAGTGTCATTCTCACGAAATTCACTAAGAGCTCGCCAAAGTTTTCTTGACTCACCTCACCAGCTAATACATAAGATGCCAAAGTGGGTAAACAAATGCATGCTGGAATTCGCTAGCAGACAATAGTAGACAGAAAGAACCCGCGTGAACAGTCGGAGCTGATGGTTAAACATGAGCTCAGCTGTTCGCTCAAGTTGAGGCCCCATGTCAACTCTACAGCACCCTTGTTCCATCCTATAACAACCGCCGCATCATACTAACGACACTTAGGCTCAATTGGTTTTTCTAACGCGGTATTGATGCGAAATACTGCCAGTACCAATGTTTTATTCACTATTTGATTGGTGTGGTGTTATGCTGTAAGCGATATAGGTGCCCCGTCACATAGAGGCGCGGAATGCCACAAATTTTGGACTTCCAAGTTCTCTCCTGTGAGACGGCTGAGATGATATTTTCTTACTTCACACCCGTTGCTACTTCGTTTATGTATGTAGTACATACGCCGTGTGCGAGACTCAGTACGTTATCAATGATAATGCGCTGTACGTACGGACTCAGTCTCAAAGTAGAGAGCTATTATTATTACCTGTACGCACGGGCTATAACATCGAAGCGCAATCAGTATACAAAAGTATGGTGGGGTTAAGAAAGGATGTCACCTCAGTCTCGAAGTAGAGAACTTAGGGTAGGGAAAAATGGTGTCTCTTATACGACGAGCGCTAATATCGGGAAGTGCGTCAATCGAGCCGGAATCGTCGGCCGTATCTTGCATCCATACCACGTTGAGACTAATCGTGAACAGGCACCGTTAGCCATAGTGATCTCCAACACATATGCGTCACGTACAGCATGTATTGCAACACATCGTCCCAGGAAGCTTTCGGGGAACAGGCCAGCTTTGTTGTTGTTGTGGCCTTTCGTAAACGTAATATTGACGGGCCAGTAGCCCGTATTTTTCACGTTCTGCGCAGACTTGGGGGAAAATGGCAAGCGTGAAAATGCATTTCATGTCATGTAAGTTCCACGAAAGGCTTTTGGTGTATGTTCGGAAGCTCAGGCTGCTGTTCCGTACTAAAGAGTTGTTGGGTCGAGACATTTATCATCGCATTCCTAGGCCCCGTGGGTTCTCCATAGTTCAAAGGTTTACGGGACGAGAGAAGAGTCGCATGTGCTTATAGAAAGACTGCTCCTAACATAAAAAAAACTAACGTCATTTTCTCTTGTGCAACTTTCCCTCAGTGCTTTACTGTCGGGCTCTGTGAGAGTGGCTCGGGCGGCAGGTGGCGTCAATTGCAGACACGGGTGCTTCTGAGGGAGTCTCCCGGTTGGAAGGTAATTTCCAATTTGAACAGAAACCTCTTGCACAGGATTATGGTGTTCGGGGAACGCAAAACATTTGATTGCGGGGGCTCGGGAGTCGGGGTGGTCGTGGTTGTCATTGGGTTTCATAAGATCATGAAGGAAACAAGTCGACAGACCGATGAAAAACGGGAAGAACTCGTAACAACACAGACGTGCCCAAGAATTAATTTTGAGTTTCGGCCTCGTTGGCCATTTCATTGTTCTTGAGCTTGAGCTTTGTGTTTGTGTGGAACCAGATGTGCGCAGCGCGGAAATATTGCTTCTTCATCGTAAGACCCTTCCGACTCCTCATGCTGATGGTGGCACGCAATGTGAACGGAAATTAATGAGCTAAAGCCACGGGAATTTTTTTTTTTACACCTACAACGGTTCATACCCATCGGGAATCCTTTCCTTCTCCAATATGATCCTTAAAGTCTTTACGTCCCCACCCAATATTTCATAGAACACGCTTGCGTTACTGTATGCAAAGAATGCGTGAAGGAATTTGAGCGAAAATTCAGGGTTGTCACGCCTCGACTCCGCGAAGCGCAAGGAAAGAGCCTTTCCCAGATCCTTTGGGGTGACTTGCCCTTCGGGGTGCTCAGGTGTAGCAGGACCAGTGGCAGACTCCAGAAGACGTTCAATGAGGTGTTTGTCGGGTATGGTTTGGTCCGGAGCGAAGAAAGTGTCAGATCCTGCAACCGACACACTATCAGCAATGAAGGGGACAAAGAACGTATATGATTGAACGCACGGAGAAGACTGGAATCATGCTCAATGATATTGTGCTTAGCCAGATCGCTATCGAAGTACATAAAACAAACAAAATTGGGAATAAGTAGTTGAGTCGAGTTAGGACATACCTAAGATCGAGCGTATCCTTCTTGTAAAGTTTCCTTACTGAATTGCAGGTATCTCTGCAAAATGGTGCACCCAAATTCCAAGTTTTCTCGAGCGCTTCAGCCAGGAATGGCAGCGGAATGTTCCTTCCATCTCTAGGAATAATCCCATGGTTCGCCATCGCATCTAGTGGTAATACGTGGGGAAAGATGTTGCCTCCCAATGGGGTGATCAAAACGACTATGCTCACTTAGCCCTGGACACGGCGACCTCGAGTCTGTCTCGGGATTAGGAGGGATGAACTCGGGCCAGAGACCGTTGTACCCAGGCTGGCCTTCCTTGTACATCGCTCCCTTCTTGATTTTGGGCGTCAAGAGATTGATGAACACGAGGCCAGTGTCCCATGTTTGGAGGTAAAAAAAGTTCCAAAGGTCTTGCAGAATTGTCGCCATGATTTTCTCGGGAGGGGTTTACGAAGTAGAGAAGACTCAAGAGAAAGAAGAAGCTTATAAAGAGGCTCGTAATGGACGGGCGAGGCCATTCTATATACTTGAAAAGGGAACTGTCAAAATGGTCCGGAGCAGATTCACGCGCAATCCGAGCGCCTATAACGGCCGGAGTTGTGCATAGGGAACACCGAAGTTCCTCGTTACTCAGCCCGACCTCCGCCTTGTCGAGCGCGAGCTTGTCTGTTATTGCATGACAAAAACATCGAGACGGTATTCTCACGGCTTAATATATTAGTCACTCAACCACGTATCCGATTAGCGGAAATGCCGTGCCGAAGGAGCGGGCGCAACCAGCGCTCGAGCTCCTTACAGCTAGCGACGAAAGAATCATCTAGCAGAGTTCATTGCAATTCTTTTGTCATTACTAAGAGATAAGGAAGGTGCGTCGTATGAGTACTCTGACTCCAATAACTGGTAATTTGGCAGTCGTTCTGTGCATAAATTAGCACCATAACTTGAATGTGCCAGTTCCCCCAAGAAATCAGGGATGAATCATGGGAATGTGGGGGTGCCCTGCCCTCTTCAACACTGGGTCAAGCATCAATGCGCAGGGAACTCAGCAGTTAACTAGTTGCCAATAGAATTCACGATCACGTCGATGATTTTCTGCTGTCTCGCCCGCTCCTTTGGATCCTTCGTCACATACATCGTCGGGACACCCAATTTCTCAAGGGTAGTCTGCTGCTTCTCAGTAAGACTATCCCAAGCTATCAGAACCCTTTCTTTATCATATTTCCGCAGTTCATGTCGAAACTCCTTCTCCAATTGCTACGCAATGTGACGATCAGCTTCTCATCACAATCAGCGGGTGGGTTGACCTTACTTCTATCTCTCGGGTGGTGGGAGCGATGTTTATGATCCTACATCTGAGTTGACACCGTAAGTATCGATTGCAAATGACCCGCCACCATGTGCGCACCTATCGTGAAGATCTTTGACCCGCTTCTTCTGCTGTTCAATGATTCGTGTCCGTCCATCCCACAAGCTAGTTTCCAAGTTTTCTTGATCGTTTTTCAGCTTTAATCAATAGATGTTGACCTGGATCGCGAGTCGGACGGAGCACACAGACAAACCTGGACGATCGTGTTTATGACAAGAGGGTCCTCAAGCAGGCCGGCGAGAGCAGACAGAGACTGTTTATAAGAGGCATCTCGGAGGGACGTGTTTGGGACGACATTTGAGGGAGATCCTTGCAGAGCCGTGATCGATTCAGCTCCAGGCGTTGGTAAAGGACGTTGAACCAAAGGTTGAAGGCGAGATAAGAGCGAAGAAAGGTGCTTTGACAAAGAAGAGGGTGGAGATGAAGTATTTGTTGGAGCAGAAGATGAAGAAGCGGGTGGCCGCGTTGGGGAAGAAATCTCTTGGGCTGACGGACCAGTGTCACCTGGTACATCGGTGGGTTGAACTGCCGTCGTTTCATTAGAAGTTATGGGCGGTGTGGACGCAGATGATCCTGGGAACGTAAATATCGCAGAAGAACGGAGAGAATCAAGAAGGGCACTGATGCTCGCTGGGTCCTGCGTGTTTTTAATTTCATATCCGAGAGTGTTAGTAATTGAGAAACAAACATGCCTTTACGTTAGAAAGATCCATAGGACTTCGCAGCGAGAATCGTTGTAAAGCGGAAAGCAGTGGTAGACCGGTTTGCTCGAGTGAAGAGCTGAAAAATACGGCTCCGAATGCAAGTCACCTCGCGCTTCCGAAGCGCCCCAATTCTGAGTAGGTTACTTAATCAGGGAAGGGGCCGCATTGTGACAAACACGTGAGTGCTGCAAGCAGGCACCCAATAGAGGCTGGTAACTTGCCTACACTCAGAACGAGTATACATAATACACGATCAATAATTTGTCTAGTATAGGAACATTCACAGATCTAGGAGAATTCGTCTACCTGTCACCTACACAACACCATAATGCGAGACACTTCATCTGGCACGCAGATGCGGTCATTCATCTTGACGCGAAGCTCAGATGCTCCCCTCGGCCATCTTGAAGGCGTAATAACGAACCATCTCCTCAACGCCAGCGGCGACAGGCCATCTTGGCTGCCATCCCAGAGACTCCTTGGCTCTGGTTGTATCAGGACGGCGTTTTTGGGGATCGTCGACGGGCATAGGTTTGTGGATGATATTGACGCGTTTAGGGTTTTCGGTGCCGCTCTCCTTCTGCACCTTCTCAACAACATCACGCACAACTTTGGCGAAGTCAAGGATATTGAACTCCTCGGCAGTGCCAATGTTAACGGGGCGCTTCTCGTCAGAGTTCATTAACAGGATAAGCCCGTCGACGAGGTCATAAATGTACTGGAAGGAACGGGTCTGCGAGCCGTCTCCATAGACGGTCATGTCTTCACCACGAAGCGCCTGGAGGATAAAGTTGGACACGACACGCCCGTCAAAGGGGTTCATACGAGGCCCTGGAAATGCATGGTAAGAAGCGCCACAGATAATCAATGACGGGACAACTTGCCATAAGAGTTGAAAATACGCGCAACTCGAACATCTACGCCGTCTTGGAGATGGAAACCATACGTAAGAGTTTCCGCAACCCGCTTTCCTTCGTCGTAGCAAGCACGTGGCCCAATAGGATTGACATGGCCCCAACTGTAAAAGCATAGGATTAAGGCACAATCCACAAATTGTAAGGATTTACGTACTATTCCTCGGATTGAGGGTGAACTTCGGGATCGCCATAGATCTCTGTCAGAAAAATGATGTTCCGTTGTCATGTACAGCAGATTAAATGCAAAAAAGCGCGTACCGGACGTGGAGGTCAACAAGAAACGCGCCTTAGTACGCTTAGCAAGCCCTAACATATTCAGGGTCCCCAGGAACGATGTCTTGATAGTCTTGACAGCGTTGAACTGGTAATGAGGGGGAGACGCTGGGCAAGCAAGGTGATAAATTTCTGGCGATTGAAGGTTCAGATGGCCGTGACACCAGTGCAAGCACGATGAGTCAGAAACGTACGATCACACTCGATCATAAATGGCTCAATGATGTCGTGACGAATCAACTCAAAATTGGGGTGCCCAACCCAATGACTGACGGTTGTCTTGGATCCAGTAAAAAAGTTGTCAAGAACATGGACCTCATGGCCGAGAAGCATAAGGCGATCCACGAGATGGGAGCCAACAAACCCAGCACCTCCAGTAACGAGGATACGTTTGCGCTGGGAGGGGGGGACGAGGCGAACAGGAGCAAAACGAGAGAGGGTTGTATAAGAGATTGTGTTGTCCTCAGAATGATAGATAGACTTGGAACCATATGCAGAGCGTGAAAACTTCTTGCTGAGTTCTGTTTCTTCGTCGGCATTCTCAGCGTTGGCGGAGGACGTCACATAGTGGGGACGGAGGTAGAGAGATCGAAGAACATCCACAGAAACCTCAGAGTCGAAGCCGAACCGCTTATGTCCAACTGTGAGGATCTGGTTACCATTGATGTCACTCATCCTTGCGTATCGATCTGAACTCGACGCGTTGATCAGCAAAAACTTCCATACCCACCAACAAACACGTTGCATACCGCTTGACTTTTGTGCTGAACACGGGAGGAACCCACAACACTGTTTCGAGAGTAAGCAAGCTTTTGAAGGGAATTTGCTTCCGGTACATACAGCCCATTTTGACGTCAACCCAAAACTTCAGTTGTGGCCCCTGGGTCCGAGATACTTGCTAGTAGAGTATCAAAAGGGCTATTTTAGCATGCCTAAGGTCTATGGCAAGAAGATAGTGGCCCGTCACGACCCTCTGGCCATCGAAATCAGCCAAGATGAGCAGTTGGCAAAACACGGTCTTATATCTAAACCTGGTCGTCGAAATAAGAGAGCCAGAAAGGATGAGGTTGGGGAGGGCGTAGAAGTATGCCATTTTGAACTCCGCTAAAGTCCCCATCTCATCTGTTTGACACAATTTTCAGGAAACGTTGGATGCTAAAACTTCGAAGAAGATCCTATCGCTGGCCCAAGCCCAGCAGGATGAGATCAACGGAGAGGAAGAAGACGGGAAGGAAGGGTCCACGGCTGAGCTTTTGAATGGGTGCGTTCCTCGGCGGAATCCCTCATTTTCGGTGCTTAAGTTGAACACAGGGATGAAATAGAGCCACGAATCAGAATACGCACGGAGATTGGGGATAAGGAGAGCCACGAGGGGGAAGAGGAGGATGAGAAGGAGTGGGATGAAGACGAAGAGTACGAAGAATTGGTGCGATGAATTTGTCTCCGCTACATCGCTTTACTGAGCAATGAGGCCAGGAAATTGATCCCGAAGACCTAAACACTCTGGAAAGGTTGCTTCCAGAAGGCCCAAACACCCACCGGACACTCGCCGATATCATTCTCGAAAAAATAGAATCCTCGAAAAGACCAGATCAAACTTCATCCGCACCAACTATAGTCCGTCGAGGTTGGTGCTCTGAGATAATGTCGTGTTCATCATTCGGACTGACTCTTGGTAACTTTCCAAGCTGATGGTTCCCTTGATCCTGCGGCGGGACTCGATCCAAGGATTGTCGCTGTATACTCAAAGTACGCACGTCATTCGTATCGCATTAGCGGTAACTGATATTCTCAAACTAGAGTTGGGGGACTTTTTCAAAAAGGACGCTACAAGTCTGGCCCAGTTCCCAAAGTTTTCAAAATTCTCCCTACACACCCCGAATGGGCACGATATTTAGCTCTTACCAACCCCGAGAATTGGTCGCCACAGGCCACTTTCGAGGCAACCAAAATCTTTATCTCCAACCTTAAACCCGAGCAAGCCCGTGTGTTCCTCGAGGGTGTCGTCCTACCGAATGTTAGAGATGATATACAAGAGCACGGTGGGAAGCTGAATGTCCACCTCTACAACGCTCTGAGGAAGGGCCTGTATAAGCCTGCAGCTTGGTTCAAGGGGATATTGTTCCCACTATGCAAGGTGAGTATATGGCTATCCGTCGAGGATCGGCCCTCCATGGTATGCTGAATGAGCATGCCAGGGCGGATGTACCCTCAAAGAAGCGTCGATCGTTGGGTCCGTTTTGTCACGGGTCCGTATCCCCATCCTGCATTCGGCCGCTGCACTCTTACGACTTGCTAGCATGGACTACTCAGGCGAGTCATGCGATAAAGAGGTATTTGTCTTTGACACCAATCTGCCCAAATAGGGTCAACGTCTCTGTTCATTCGAGTCCTTCTGGACAAGAAATATGCCCTTCCCTACCAAGTCGTTGACGGCTTGTGGTCCCATTTCGTGCGTTTAGCTAACGAACGCAAGGCACCAATGCGTCCCGGGGACAAACTCCCTGTGTTATGGCACCAAAGTCTCTTGGTTTTCTGTCAACGGTCAGTGTCCTAGCGAGAAATTTATTACATGAGGCTAATAGATTTGTTTTCTAGTTATGCTTCAGATATGACTCCCGACCAGAAAGATGCTCTGTTAGATGTAGTACGCATTCAATATCACCCTCAAATTGGGCCCGAAATTCGAAGAGAGCTTGTCCACTCTGTAGCACGTGGGGAGCCGAGACCGACAGAGGATGTCGAGATGCGGGGCGCTTAACCTGCAAGCATGGGGATTGATTTTATTATGCACTATATTAGCATCGATGGGTGTAATGACACTGGCGTTGTTGATCTTAACACCGGGTAGTATTAGAACAGTGGATCGCATAAGACTTTTTAGCACATTGCTCGGAATAAACAAAATAGACGAGGCATGGAAAAGGAGACCGCGTCCAAGAGCTTCAATACAGCAGTTCGACATCACCCTCTGCCATCTTATCGATATCATAGTAGCTGACTTTTCTTCCAGCAGCGGCTCTTGGATCCTCCTTGGCATTGGGCGGCGGCGGACCACCAGTCAATATGTCGACACTGACACTCCCACCGCGTCGGCGCTTGGAGTGAGGACCGGGTTCTAGTTTCGCTGATGACACAGGTTTGGCAGGCAACCCCTCAATCGGTGGTGGTGGACCGCCTCGAGCACTTCCGGGACTAGGAGCAAAATCACCTAAACGATCAGAGAGCTTCCGGGAAGCAGGCCCTGAGAAAGGTGGCGGGCTTCGACTGCGACCCCGAGCTCCTGAGTCATAGCCATACCCACGAGCGGGAGGATAAGGATCATAGTAGCGCCCATAATAGTCTGGCCATCCTGGATAATATCCGCCATACTGAGGTGGGTAAGAACCATAACCACCACTGTTACTCCGGCCTCGTGTTTCAGAAGGACGAGATCGAAGCCCGTAAGCTTCACCTGGTGCCTGCTGTCCCGCACCGGAAGGGGGAGGAGGATGTGAAAATGGCGCAATCCTCCGAGGGTCGAGCGCGAAGTTATTGAAAAACGGAATCTGCGGACAGTGTCGTTGGGAGAGCGGGCTTTTGACAAAGAACGTAACATACCTCTTCCAGCTGCTGGACAAGCTCAGGATGCTTGCCGGACACATGCTTCTGTACAAAGCTCATGGCCTTAAACAATTTGGTGCACGCTTTACACCTGAATTTCCTTCATCTTCCTGTTTAACGTGCGGCTCAACAGCTTTCGTCAATTCTCTAAGAAACCAGGTCTAGAAGGGCTTATCTAAATAAGGACTGTAACGCACTCATCATAGAGTTTTCCTCCATAATCGCGAGGATCGGCATTGTCACGATCGATCAGTAATGCCGTCCTCTGATCCAGATTTTCGCTCCATCGATCATCTATGACATCACATTAGAAAAGTTCATGGTTCGCGAATACTGACCATGCCTTTGGCCGGTTCTGAGGAACGCTTCGGAGTCCTGATGTGCTTAATGCATTGCCTTTGAAGCTCTTCTTCGTGGTCGGTAATCGCGGAGCAATAGTAACAGCAGTTGAATGCCATACGAAGATACGCCAAATACAAGTCAAGCTCAATCATGTTCTGATATAAAATTTAAGTGGACACTCTAGTGAGATGCACACATTCGTACCTTTTTCACCCTTAAGGTACCTTCTGATGATCCCTCATCCTTATGCTTCTCATTTAAATCACTAAGTAGCTTTTCGAGTCGCTTGTTCAGTGCCTCAGTGCCGCGATCTTTGGGTTCCCTTGTGGGTTCCACTGTCATTTCACTATCCGCTGCTGGCTCAGCATCACCAGTTATAACGGCATCTGAATCATCAGGTAGTTCTCCTCCATTGCTTTGCTTGAGATTTCTGGGCTCAGGAAGCTTTTCTGGCAGCGTCTGAAGATGATACGCTTCGTCTTCAAGGACAGCAGCTAGCTTTTTGACATTAGCCAGATCCTTCTCAATTCGCTCAGGTTCACTCGCACTCTCAGGAGTGCGACGGGCCCTCGAACGAAAGGGACGAGTGCTATGTGTGACATGAAGTTTGAAACCTTCAATCTTCACCGACGTGGCATTAGAACATGCATGTGGAACAGGAGTAGGGGACGTGACGTACCTTCGCTTCGCTAAGTTTCTCAACAGTACTCGACATCTCCGTTTCGTCCATAAATCTGATCCACCCTGCTCGATAGTAATTTTTCTTTTGCATCGTATCGCCAAGTCCTAGGTGAAGGAATCCAGGAATATCGCGACATGCCTAATGGAATTTTAGCTCAGCCAAAGACCAGTAACAAACCAATCTACCTTCTCTATCTTCACCCTGCCAATGTCAGGAGGAATTGTGCGAATAAGGACCTGATTGCCCTCCGGCATGACACTGATCTCCTCATCACGAGTTTTGCCGCCTCCCGGAGGAGATTCTGCACGTTTACCGTTCCCGTTGGGCTCAATGGCACTCTCCGCTATGGGCAGGTCCTCATCCGCCGCTTCTGCTGCCTCGTCTCCTTTCGCTTCTTCAGCTGAAGGCATTTCCATATCTCCATTGCTAGGGTTAGCAGTCAGAGAGTCAATGACCTTTTCGTCATCTTTGTTGGGCTCGAGAGCTGGGTCATGTTTCCCTTCCTCAAGCTCGCGAATGAATTTCCCAATTCGACCACTCCACCCCTCGCGTCGAACACGGCGACGAAGATTTACAAAAGGAAGTGAGGGATTATACTTCTCGTTGAACCACGGAAAAGCTTTATGATACTGAAACATGATGGATAACTACATAGATGAACGCATCAGGCACGATACATCATAGGAAAAGATCTGCCCACCTGCTTGTTGAGCATATGCTTCCTATACTTCTCATAGCGAATCTTCATGACAGTGTGGGGATCCGTTTCTTTGTCCTCTTCAGCCGTGTTGGTGTCATCCGTGGATGATTCATCAGGATGATTTGCTTGCCACCAGTCAGTGAAATGTCGGATTCCTATAGCCACGTCATAATCATAGGGATCGGGCACTCTAGCCCGAGATGCGTTGGGTGAGCGTTGGCGCCCGCTGCGAGAATCTTCCAAGAACTTGAGCAAAACTACGGTGATCTGTATGATTCCCCCTCACCTTCATCATATCTTGGTCGCGGATCATATCGATCCCGCTCGGAAGGTGACATGGACCGGCGGCGCTTGCGCCTTCCTGCAAACGAGGGTTACCAAGTCATTGCGGGGAACCAAACCGCGCTGAACAAACCGTCATCAAATCCAGGGCTTCGGCTACGGAAGCGGGTCTGAGCACGTCGCCGCTCCCACTCATCCCAGTCGCGGCCACGTCCAGAATAATCGTAGTACCGCTCACGCCCGAAACCATCACGTTCATACAAGTCTTGAGGATATGCTTCGCGCGTATTGCCGTAGGGTAACGGGCGTCCGCTGGGAGATCCATTCGGTCTAGGAGGAACAGAGTTATCGGAAGCGGGAGGAGGCCACGTCGCCATTTTTGAGGCGTATAGATGAAAGCTAGTGATCCAAAAGCAGAGAGAGCAAACGAAGTGTGAATTCCAGTTGATCCATGACAACAAGAGAGGAGAGCATGTTTGAAGACAGCGCGATGGCTGGTAGTGGACGGGGGGTAGAGTGAAGAGAATACAAACAGACCTCAAGAGTTTGTCGCGACTTGGATGCGCGAGTGAAGAAACGGACTTTGAATGACGGCGATATCGGACTTAAGGAACAACATTGGGCGAAAACCACTATGGATAATCACATTACAACAAATTTAGCATACAAACGGCCGTAGTCCATCTCAGAAAATGCTCCCCAAGATGTTGTCTATATCATCCGTAGGGGGGGAGGACACTGCCTTCGCTTTTTCTTTTTTCTTTGGTAACGTGTGAGGGTCATTGGCGTCCGTTTCCGCAACATCCATCGTGAGCTGAGGAGAAGCTTCTGCTTCCCTTTGCCATCCTATATTCTGCTTCCCTCTCCTGTTAAGCCTTCGGGCAGATTCCACCTTCTCAAGATAATCACTTTGTTCTTTTTTAGATTGGACTAGCTCGTGTCGAAGGCGAGCCACTCGTGAAGCCCGCTCATGAGCTATAGTTAATTACAAGAGACGCAGTAAGATAAATTTTGACAGAGAAAGGCAAAGAAAACGTACCCATTTGTTCCGTGAGCATGTTCCACTTGAAACGGGGCAGATACTTGATCATCCATAACTCGTAACGGAAACGATCGTGTATCTTCACGCCCATAGGTTGTCCATTCAGAATTTCAGCTACAGTTCGAGCTATTCTTTTGTCGCGGAACTCCACCCATCCTTCTGTGTACCGATCCGACTCCACACGATTCCGCTTCTGCCTTGGCCGTGACCCTTTCGCGTCTTCAAAGACAGATGGTTGTCAGCTTACTCCCACAGGAGGACTCGCGAATATCAGAGAAGGGTAGTTGGACTTGCCGTCCTTCTGAAGAAATACCCTTCCGAGGTCACCATGTATGCTTAGAAGCTGCCTGACTTTTGCTGGTCCCATACCAGGAGGTATTCGAGAGATGTAGACAACCCCGGATTTGGCTTGGGCATCATTAAAGGCTGCGAGGTCTGCAACAGCCGTACTTTTCGTGATATTTGCACCGTCATCTGCAACTTCACTGCCCGGATCGGCGCCGTCAGTTTCTCCGAGCGCTTCGTCGTCGCCTGCGTTAGAATCACCCTCCTTCTGAGATTGCAAGATGCTGCTGATTTCAGGCTGTGATATCCTCAAGTCGTCCTCATCCCAGGTATTCGTTGAGAATCTGGGGTCCATGTAAGTCGAAAAGAAAACAACTGAAACGGGTTGTCGGTCCCGGATGGAGATCACGCGAGACTAAGCTGAGGTGCCACATCATCGTGTACTCCCGACACCACCCTAATAAGTACATGTACATGTGTTCCTCATGTGAGCCCTCGGTGTAAAGAACAGGATAGCCACACTGGCAAAAGAAGTGTCGCTACCAGGAATCGAACCTGGATCGTTACGGGACATCAATCCACAACGTAACGTCTTAACCATTGGACGATGGCGACGAACATCGACTGCTGACTGATCGCAGATCTAAGATTCTTACTCGTTCTAGCGGAGAAGTAATCCGAACCACGTATCATTTTGGACTCCGTATCTGCGCCGGTCGGAGCGCATGATGGATTACACTATACATAATCAGTCATCTTCCATCTGCTTGTGTCCACAAGACCCCTCGAGTCACAATGATCTAAGTTTGAGGGCCGAAGTCCCGGATCGGGGGGTTGGTCGGGCAGCCCATTAGGCCTTGGCGCTGTTGAAGATTGCCTCCCTGTGAGTGACGGCACATAGCAATGGTACGTAGGGGCCAGAGGCACTAAACCCCCATCCGGACGCTGCATGTCTAGACGATACGGTGGCGGGGTTATATATGGACTACGCAAGCTACTGCCGCGTGTAGGCGCTATCTACGTCATTCGCTCATCGACCCGGGAGAGCCTCTTAGACCCAAAGCCAGCTAATCACGTTGGGCACTGGAGCAGCCTCTGGATCCCCGAGGATTCGAACAATGAAAGAGACGTAACAATCCAGGCGTCGTAACGTGCCCTGACATTAAGGCCTTCAGCAGAATGGGTTGTCGCCTTCGCGTGTCACAGTTGTTGCACAGAACGGGGAGGGCATAATGAAAGCTGAATTGATATCGAAAATTCGAGCAGCAGCATTGTGGTTGCAGGGGAAGCAGCAGAGCAGAGTCTCACTTAACATAACGCCGTCAGAATACCATGATACAGCTCAGGTCCTACAGGACTGTGCAACAAACCCCACGGGAGGAATCAGACAAACACTCCTTATCCTCGTTCCATTCGAGCCCATACGTGATACATCCTCGTCCCAACAGACGTCGCCCTCACCTAGCAGCTCTTGCCTGCGCTCGAGCTGAAAACCAATCGTCTTCCTCGTAGAGGCCCTTCTCTTGCGCACGATCCTTGGCACGCATGCGCACCCTGGCCTCCTTTCCGGCCTTAGGTACAAAAGTACGATGATATTCTTCTTCGCGAAGTTTCTGCGTGGCTTGCCGTAAATGGTTGATTGCGTGAGCGGCGGTTCGACTGGTGTGCTCATCTGGGTACCCGTCACCGAAAGCCCCCATATCCGCGATGTGGTCCGAGAAAGCATGCGGCTCCGGTGGACGTTTGGACGCACTCGGACAGTCCTGTAAAAACAAGTCAACAGGAGCTTGCAACAGTGATGAACGTTCGGGATACGGACGAAAGCCCAGTGGCCGGAGGCGCCACATATGAAACACATTCTATCCCAACCAACAAATCCTTCACCACTATCAGAATTCAGACGGCTACTGTCCGTCCGTGCAAGCAAAACCTTCTCGCGTCTTCTTGAAGAAATGTATGAATACACTCTCCAAATGGTGGGACAGGCCTGAAGATGAACATGTGTGAGGTGATGTATGCAGTTTCTACGCTAATTTGAGACATCACATTCTTGACATGTTGATGGGACCCACACCGTGAACATAACCTCGTTCCCCGGCGCTCCGTGCACTCCTACAGTGTGTCGGTTAACAAGAGCGAACCGTTGCCTCGAGGTGAGTCTCACTGTGTTCCGATGCCCTCTAGCACCACAATTCCAACATGTAAGACTCGTTGGGCACTCCCATGTCTTATGCCCCCCCTTTTCACCGCAAGTCAAACACTGGAAAAACGCTGAGCTCAAATTCGCAGGGAGATGGAGAAACATACGACTGTAACAACGCAGGTAGTGGCCCTGTGACCTTCTTTTCCACACGTCCCACAAACTTTGATTGGTCGAGAATCAAAATACCGCATGGCAGGCTATCAGGTAAACAAGTATTAGCATGGGCCCATCACCCGAGGACCTGGTCGACCTTTCCAAAGGGCGTAGAAGCCTCAGCCTCCGATCCTCCCAAATATATATTGTCTGGTAAAATGAGCCGATGAGGGTTCGGGTCCGTAGCAACGGGTGCACCACCCGAAACGTCAGAAGTGGGTGGTAGAAGGCTGGAGGGCATAGACGAAGAGGACATATCATTTCCATAGTCGAATTCGAAAAGGGGTATCGAGTCAGGTGTTTCAGCATGCCTCTTGGGCCGTTTAGACTTCCCACTTGATTTTCCATTCACGGGTTGATGCAGCACATCATCATCCCCGTCCGTAACAGACTCATGGAAGGAGTCGCTAGTCCTGAGATATGCGTTAGAAATAGGCCCCCTACAGCACTAAGCGAGACTGACGAGTTGCTTGCGGGAGGCATGGTTATGCCATAGATGCACTGCCACTCGAGTTCGGATTGGACAGGTGACGGCCATGGTTTAAACAACAAGTTCTGACTGAGAGCGAAACTACTCCTTGGGCCCCGTGGATGCCCCCCTGCTTGATACTATGTCGCAGCCATCAACATCAGATTTGGTCAACCCAGGCCTGGGTTATCTAGGTACCCAAGCCACTTCACCAATGAATTCGTGTGAGGCTTCCTTACTTGAAGATGCGGAATGGCAGAGGGAATCACTCGTCCGTGCACCATCACTGGAGCCTCCTCTTTCGGAACATGGCTCACTAGACAGCAAAAAAAGGAGGGAAATGGATGACGAAACAAACCAAGATATTTATGGGCCATCGGTGTTTGGAGGGTTTGGAGAGTACATGGCACGCAAGCGTCGGAAGTTGCAGATGCAAAATGCAGAAATTTTAAACAATACCCAAAGCCCCAAACCTCAGATTTTTAAAGGCACTGGCGTATACGTACGTGTTGACCCTTGTTCTAACGTTCCATGACGCTGAGGGAAGACGCAGATAAATGGCCGAACCGAGCCACCTCTGCAAGAACTTCGGATCATGATAATGGAGCATGGTGGAATTTTTCATGCATATCTAGACCGAAAGTCACTGGTGTGAGCCTGGTGTTCTCCATCGCGTGGTGAATTCTAACATGCATTATAGAACTCACATCATTGCAACTGAGTTAACACCTAACAAAGTGAAAGAGTATCAACACATGAAGGTAGTGAGGCCAGAATGGGTTACTGATAGCGTCCGAGAAGGCACCCTACAGCCGTGGAAAAACTATGTCTTCCGCCCAGGCTCTGAGCTGCGGACGGATGGGGTATCACTACTCCACCGAGTTCCTAAGCAAAGCACCCTCACGGAGAGTCCGAAGAAGTCAGTTTCAGGGCCTCGGGAGGCATCAATCACGAGCCTTCTAGAGCCCCTCGCCTGGGCTGGAAGGGCCGCTTCTGTGTCCTCCGATCAAGAGTCCGACCACGAGATGTTACACGATCTCGGAGTCAATCCTACGCACTCCACAATTCAAACATTTTCGCATCGAAACTGATGGAGGACCCAAAGTGGCGACTAGAGAACACCGCAGCTGGACCAAATTTTGTTGAGAACTACTTCACACATTCAAGGTTGCATCATCTAAGTATGTCCTCCTGGTCAATGAGGCCCGCGTGTGATCGTTCTCGACTGACTGCTCTGGTTAGGTACTTGGAAGTCCGAGCTCAAGCTCTTCGTAAATCGAGCTCGAGACAGACTAGGCTCACTGTCAAAATTGGAAGATGCACCGAGTCCTTCCCCAAGAGTAATTATGCATTGTGACTTCGACTCATTTTTTGTGGCTGCTGGGCTTGTTGATCGGCCCGAATTTCGCGGCAAGCCGGTGGTTGTCTGCCATTCTAACACCCCTGACCTGACGAGACCTAGCAGTACAAGTGAGGTTGCTAGTGCAAGCTACGAAGCGCGAAATTTCGGGGTGAAAAATGGCATGAGGTAATTATCATTATGGGAGTGCGGTTACCGACGCTTACGACTATGGTGTTCCCCTAGTTTAGGCCAAGCGAAGCGGTTATGCCCTGACATCCAGCCCATTCCTTACGAGTTTCAAAGGTGTGGCGAATGGCCATGTAATGATGATCCAACTCACTCGCATTCCTACTAAGATACAAAGAGTTTTCCCTCCAGTTTTATGATATTCTCCTCCCATTTGCGGATGACATTGAAGTGGTGTCTGTGGACGAAGCTTTGATTGATGTTACCACTGAAGTGCAGAGGATGCACCGAGAACTAGGCGAAGGATCGCACGACGCTGCTGAGGTTTTAGCTGACGAAATTAGGAGCCGCGTCCGCAAAGCAACGAATTGCGAAGGTAATGGCTTGCGCTATTGACACAGTTTGGGCTTACATCCGCATTTAGTCAGTGTAGGAATTGGCGGCAACGTCTTGCTCGCCAAACTAGCAAATAGGCAGGCCAAGCCAGCCGGCACTTTCCACCTTCTTGAAGAGCATGCTATCTCTCATATTGATCCACTTCCAATTGACCGACTTCCTGGGTTCGCTTCCAGTGCCAAACAGAAAATCGAAGCAAAGTGGGGCATTAACACCTGTGGTGAAGTGAGGAAGCTTGGGGGCGTGGAAGTCCTCCAGAAGGTCCTAGGCCCTGGAAATGGAGAGAAGCTGTGGAAGTACATCCGTGGCATGGATGACCGCGGTTTGAAATTTGAAGAGCCTCGGAAATCGCTTTCAGCTGCTGTCACGGTATGAGGACCGCCAATTACACCTGTTGCTGATTTAACTCAACTACTATTGTGACAGTATGGAGTCCGTTTTCAAACTAACGAGGAAGTGAAGTCATTTCTCTACTCCCTCGCCAGGGAGGTAGAGCGCAGATTGGAAGCTGAGTCGTGTTCCGGCCAATCTCTGAATATGGAGATTATGATACGCAGCCCTGATGCTCCTGTTGAGGCCCCTAAATTCCTTGGACACGGGAAGTGCAACACATACCATTATAGGACTACTATTCACAGTTCGGACGGACAGCCCACCTCGGATGCGAACATAATTGGAGCCGCAGCATGGAAGCTATTTCTCGCACATCATTGTGGCGATACTACAGACCTAAGGGGTGTCGGATTTACTATTCAGAAACTGGAAAGGAAGAATGAGGATGCTGATGCAAGGCAGCGCAAACTATCCTTCCGAAATCAAGGGTCCGCACCTGGAAAGTCGCAGATAAATTCCCTTTCGCCCAAGGCCCCGCTCCCGCAAATATCCGTTACGGATTTCGCTGATACCAGCTTGATCGAGAGTGGGGAGGACAGCATTCGCAGCGGGACCAGTTTGCCAGTCCTCAAAGGTTCATCCTTCCAGAAGCCTTCCTCAAAGGTGAATGTCAGGTTTATTACGAAGCAGCTCGCGCCACCCCGTTCGAAGCTGGGCTCGTCCGGCACATACAACATCTTCAAGAAGAAGCTAGAACTTCCTCTCACGTTCTCAGATACTGAGTTGCGGGATCTTGACATCGATCCTAGCACTTTTCATGCCCTCCCGCATGATATCCAGCGCGAGCAGCTTATGCACCAGCGGATGCTGCACAGGACCTGGAATCTTGGATCTCGAGATTCTCGTTCACGCTCCCGATCGCGATCGATGTCTGTCATTCCACCCAAGCCTTCACTATTGATTGCGCATGAGCTCGTCGTTCCTTCGCTGAAAAAGGCGAAGACAACAGAGGAAATCCAAGATTTGATCTCGCAATGGGTGGATCGATACTCTGATCACGGTCCGGAACCTGAGGCAACCGCAACGTTCCAAGAGTTCCTATCAAGGTGCCTCTCAGACAGTGCGGGAGGGAGTCTGGGGTTGGAAAAAGTTTCCTCCATTATGAGATGGTGGTTGCACTTGTGTCGCTCTAAATGGTGTGAGGACGAAGTCCGTTACAAGATAGGCAGTCCGACAACTTCTTTCCCCGGAATCCAATGGTGGTCTGCCTTTTATCAAGTCAGAGATAATCTGAACAACGTCATATCCAACAAGTATGGGGGGAAACTATCATTGAAGTGATGATTTACTTTGGATGACTCCCTTGTCTCCTTGTTAGCTTTACAATGGAATTGTATTATGACATGTGGTACAAATATGATGTAGTATTAAAGGCCAAATTGCGAAATCGATGCCCCCAAAAAAATTGAAAAAGAATAATAAGTTAAAGGTAAGGGATTTCGTCCATTTCTCCAGTGGCAAGCAGCTCGTCGTTGAAGGCCTGGTCTTCAGGATCCTCGTCCTCCTGAGGTTCTCCATATTCGAAATCGCCTTCAGGTCCTGGCTCAGGATGGAAATCAGCCGGCTCATGATGCAGAGACCCAGGCATGCTAAGCCGACGATCCCTCCTTTCCCCGATCATGGGCGAAACGGACCGTGAACGATCTGAATAGCCATCCCCAATGAGATCCTCATCTGGATCGTTGGCGGTTAGCACAGGCGAAGCAAGCGGACTGCTAACTCGAGGGACTGTTCCTGGAGGTTTCTCAGCGGCCTTCGCGGACTTCTCGGCTAGAGATTGGTCCGAGCTCTTCCCACGCAAACCGAAGCCGATTGCCAACCGAGAAAGACGTGATGTGTCTGAGCGAGCACTTAGGGCAGGGGAAGGAGGCTCAAGGTTGGGTACCTCGTACACCTGTATAGGAAGCCGCCAATAATTGAAGTCCGTAAATTCACTAGCCACTTTGCGATGAACGGGAGGGAACATCTGATCCACGAGATCGGTCATGTGGATGTACCTAACCGCCGCAAGTGTAATGCTTAGTGAAACAATGTCCCCTTAGCGACAGAGTGATACACTCACGATGATTTGTAGCCTGCAAGCTCGAGAAGTTCCATCTTAACCTCCCCATTCGAATCAATCGTGAAAATCCGCGAGCTTGGAATGTTCACACTGCGATACGAAAGTGCATCGGTGATTCTGTTCCCAAATCCGGCATGGAATGGCGTCTTGATTGAGGATCCATATAACCCCCGAATGTCACGTAAGCATGCCATCTTGAAAACTTCAGGTTTCTTCATGATGACTTCCCTGCGACACCGAATCAGCATCAATATCCTTTTTAGAATCCAATCCTTACCTGTGTAGCGAAGCCATCAACCGGTCAGGGCTCATGATGACTGGACCCTCAGGCAGATGGTAATCATTCTGCTTAATACCTTTCAGATAATCCCTCGTTGAGTCAGCCTGCCCGATTGCCCGACTGGTCAAATACATGATGTTATATCCGTTCTTGGCAATGTCAGTGTAAAGCTTGGCAACGCCGACATGTGTCCAGTCACGTCCAATCATGGTAAAGACGTGTCCCAACGCATCCGATTTGGTGATCGTCCCATCAATATCGGACACGACAACAGGATCCTGGTAGTCCCAGACAAATATCCGTGCAGTACATGCAATTTGCCCTGACGATGACAACGAGAAGGTAATGGTATTGACGCCCTTCTTGAGGTTGAGTTGTTTCAGCTGACCGGAAGTAAGTCGAAGTGTTTTTATGTAATGCTTTCGGGGAGGTGGAGGCTGGGTAGGAAGTGGTGGGGATGTTGGAAGTGATGATTCGACCTTCTTGAGTGGAATTTGTCCTGCTTCCTGATTTACCATGGGAGGATCACAATAACATCATGAATAAACGGATTACACAGAGCTATGAAACTTACCAATGAGGGATCCGCGGCTGTGATAGGCGCATCATTCCTCTGAGGAGATGCATCCCGCAGGGCCACAGAACTCGTCTTCCGACCACCGCCTTTCGGCGCTGGGATTTTGGCGCCTTTGGCTACGCCATCCTTGTCACTTTTGCTCCTCCACCACGACGCCCAGCTTAGTGAACGGGAATGTACTACTGGTGCTTTCAAAGGTAATGGTTCAGGCTCAGGGATAGGCGGGAGAATAGACGACGGAGTTGAAATTGTAACGAGTGGCTGTTGACGTGGGGATTCTGGAGGGGTCGTTATAAATTCGGGAACGGATTGCACAGGGGCCTGAGAAGCTGAATTCCGCCAGTGCGAAAGGGCGTTCATCAAAGGCGACGCGTCTCGATGAGAGATGTGCCTAAAAAAAACCATCATCAATTTACGACATAGCATGTGTGTCTTATCTAGCATTGACTTACACTCCATTCCATCGCATTACTAGGTTCTCGCTCTCGACCATACTCTCATCCTCTAGAAAACGCTTATAGGAAACTTTCGCATCCTCAAAGCGTTGAGCATCCCCGACTTCATCTTTCCTATCCAAATGGCCGCAGAGACTCAACTCGAACACGAATTGTTTGGAATCGATGTCGACCCAAAACGTCGTTGTCTTGTCCGTATTGAGCCCTATGTCGGCAGCAGTAGACGAAGTAGACGAGCCAGGATAGAGTTTCCCTCCTGCGCCAAAGATCTCCGGTTCAGGTGATGCTCGACGCATCGGCCCTGCGTCCTCATGAGTGTTTGACATTTCGACAGCGTCACCTTCATCATGGTCGACGTGGGAAACAGTCCTCAATGATGACTCAGCCCTCTCCATAGGGGCCAGTGGCATGTGCTTCGCTACGATGGGAGATCGTTGGGGAAAAGACCCCCATTCCCACGAATACTCTTGTTGTGTTTGCCTATCTACAAGTGGCGAATGAATGTCCGGTGGCTCAGAGCCGCCTCGACCATATAATGCTGTGCGATGGTCCTTGGGGTTTCCCTCAATGGAGACATCGGGAAAGGGGAAAGCAGGGTGACTCAGGTCTGATGGAGAAGACGCTGAACTGGAATGAGGGGCTACAATGTCAGCAGAGTCGCAGAATGGGGCTGGGTGGCAAACCTACAGATCGAGTGGAGACAGGTCGTCAGGGCGCAATGAAACACTTCCACCAAGTGCCGACCCTGATCCAGTTGAAGCCAGAAAACCTCTCCGTCTAGCCAGCGAGCCATCGAGGACTGAATGTGACACACAACTGAGTCGGGATCAAAGTCATCAACAAGTAACTGCATACCATTAGATGCCCTCGCAAGCATTTTCCCTTTCCCAGACAGAGGCCCAGTGTAAATGATGGCATTCGGTGCACTAGTATTCGCTGTTGGATCAGACTGTGAACGCCTCGGTTCCGAGGCGGAGCCGAAATCCACCATGTTCTGATCCTCAGCGCGATCAAATGGCGGCAAGTAGTGTTCCTCGCCGAAGTTTTCCCTTGCTGTTAGATTGCCGTAGATCAATTCCAGCGCAGTCAAGGGTAGTAAAGATCCTCGTACCTGTGGCTGCACCTGCCTCCGGCTCAGATGCGTGTGACGGAGAAGACACCATGTCTATATGATTGGCCTCCAAATCCTCCTGTTTCTGAGGGTTGTAGCCCTGGGTGTCCAAGACAATATCTGTAAATTATTTGATATAATTGATTTCAACACATTCGTCGGACAGAAGAGTTCAACAAGTCACCTTCGGTGTAGATAGGTCTCGGTGCCAGCACGCCCCCTCATCCTGAGGTCCTCCATTCTCATGGTATATCCGATCCAAGTCTCCCTTCATCACTTTCTCGTCCTCGCCATTGTCCGCATCATCGTGGGGTCCTCCCTGTAAGGAATCTTCTGCGTCCTGAATCCGGCGACGGGTCCCAGGGATGAGCCACGAGGTGGACCGAGCCACACCTTTGCGAGGGGCATCACCGACTTGAGCAACTTTCGCCGCTGCGGCGCTTAGAGCGTGCGAGAGTGTTGCAGCACGAGACGGTGGAGACTTCTTAGGCGTAGGCGTAATTCCCTCGTGTTGCTCATCGATATGTTCATTAGTTGGGATGGGGGCGTCGTCCTCGACTTCCTTCTTGGAGTCAGCAAGATGGGGAAAGTCAGGTTCAGTAGGGAGCAGGAAGGTCGATGGAGAAGCGGTTTTCTTTGAGGATCGGTCAGGAATAGGCGATGGGAGGGGTGACGCTCCTGAGACGGAAGTTGGTGGTGTAGTGCTTCTTGAGGGTCTATTGGAGAAGCGTGACGGTGAAGGGGAACGTGACGACGATCTGGATGAGCTAGGTGATTGGACACAAGATTCGGGGAAATTGGGTGATGAGAGATCAAGATAAGATGGTTCCGCCTGATGAGGCATCTTCAACTCAAATGAACTAGATTGAATTGGAATATCGACGTACACGCACGTTCGGGACCTTGGGAGCGTGCTGCACAGCAGCGTTGATGCCCATTTCGTATATTTTTGCGTCGTCGATATCTTTCGAGCTACATTCCCCAATGGGGGGTTCAATGGCATTATTTTCGTCCCCAACCTAACGACATGGGTAAAGTAAATGCGTGACTGAAATGAAATCCCCAACATACCTTGGTGGCATCCAGCAGAGGACTCGTCAACAAGTCCTCCGGCACCTCTTCGGTCGTCTCGAAAACAAAGAATGCCTCTCCTGCTCCCCTATCTTCATGTCGAAAGGTATTGGCTCCCCATTGACCAATACATTGACCTGTGGGAATTATTAGGCCCCAAACCTTACGATGATAGCAGGGCGAGGGAGAGGAGTCTCTAGACGTGGAGCGTATGCACTGATATGCATACCTTTTTGTCGCCGGCCGTAACACTTGCCATTTCCCAAATCGTACATGGAATGGGGTGCACGCTAGTTCGGTAGTCCCAGAGCCATCTTCACTGGGTCTCTCGATAACGATCACATCGATAGCTCCAGTCAAAGTCGAAGGATTGATCGGCGGCAGGGAAGTATAATACTGAAGTGCGGCACTGAAGGGCTTGCGGAGGTAGTCCATCGAATGGGGATTTGGATTTCAAATGCTCGGAGAGCCCGCTGCGAAGAGAAACAACGAAACAAAAACGCCTGAGATTAGCCACGGGTGGTGGCCGATGAAGAACGAAAGTGATAGCAGGCTATAGGGGTTCGACTTGTGCGAGTAAGTACTGCTCGTGTTGTTCAGGTTGAAGGGGCCCCACGTGATGGGACTCAATATCACATGTAAAATCATGTAAACTAGTTCTGATTGAATCACCTGACTCAGTTATGTCGGGGTTGGCCGACAAACATCAATCGGCTCCCGAAAAGGAGACGGGAATGCGATTAGCCAGAAAAATGAGTGTCGCATTTTCGTGATTTGCGGTGGCTAGGAGGAACTCGATTAGCTGGAGTTAATCCGCCTTGCTGTTGGGCATTTGATTGCATATAGCCTCTGCGACAATCTTGGATTGCCCCATTTATTGCCGCCACGGAGATAGATCGTTAAACGTACCTACTCTTACGTCAGGAGATGTGACTGCTGACCGCGATCACGAAAAGCTGGTTAAGGACTAGTGCTCGCCTATCTCCACGGACATAGACATAAGGCCTCTGGCCATCTGAGCCGTACACCGTTCTAGCGCGTTATCCGCCTCTGCTAATGTCCCAAAAGTTCTAGTCATCAACGCAAGAAGTAGCAGGATCGATGATATATCCTTTCATCGGCGTTTGAGGCACTGGACGCGCGTGCGGCGTGGGTTTTGGCAGTTCATTGCGCGCCTCTTCCAGGGCCTATATAGCACACCTGCATTCATATGATGAAGTCCCTCCGAAGTTCGCTTGCGGGAGAACAGGCTGATGACTCGTTTCGGAAAAGATGTACACATTGCTCTAATCGCCGTCTAACTTCTCAATGAGTTTTCATCGAATTTTTACTCTTTCTCGAGTATATCTGGTTGAGCAAGACGATAATTGATGAGCGTTTTAATCTTCTTTTGTCTCCCTAGCCTGTAGCTCATCTAATCCCCGTGGCCGTTCTGCTTCTTGCTTCTTCCTCTCCATCACTTGTATGCTGATTTGGATCATTGACCGGACGGCAAGGCACACGATGAGAACACTTTGTTCAAACAATTTCAAAACCAAATTCATTAATTGGCCCCTTGAATGCCCACCATGTACGCTCAATCCCTCGGGATCCTTTCCACCTTATCCACAATAAAGTCGTATATATAAGGGCATGTAACTTGTCTATCGCTTCAGCAATGTTTAACCACTCAGGGGGCGGGTTTGTGTCAGCTGCGGTTCCGCTCATGTCACCCCTGGAGACATAAAAGGACCCCTCCGCATCAAGATTTTTTTCTTCTGAAAAATTCATCACCTCCCTCCCCCCTCGTACGGTCTTCTAACTATGGTCTCATCCGCGCCCTCCATTGGCATCCTGAGGCCCAGACCATTTCGCGTCTCAATCCCCCAGACTGAGCTGGATGCTATCAAGACACTTCTTAGACTAGGAAGACTCCCGCCTTCGACTTTCGAGAATTCTCATGCCGGAACCAGTCTAGGCGCCCGGCGGGATTGGATTCACGATTCCACGAAATATTGGATCGACAAGTATGACTGGTGAGTATGGCCGCATTGTTTCCGACGGCCATCAAATTATAGCAACATTCCAATGACGACAATCAAGGAGGATCCACGAGGCTCAGATGAATAGTGTTCCCAACTACCTCGTCGACGTGCAAGACGATGATGGGGAGGTGCATACAATCCACTTCCTTGCTTCATTTGCAAAAGACAAAAACGCAATTCCCCTACTCTTATTGCATGGCTGCCCCAGTGAGCAACAAGTCATTCTCCCTCTAAATCTTCCCTAATAACTTGTACTTGCGCCTTGATCAGGCACTTGCTACGAGTTCATCCCCCTCATCAAACGTCTTTCCTTATCCAATTCCTCACCCTTCCACATAATCGCACCCTCACTCCCAAACTTTGCTTTTTCGGCATCCCCGCCACACATCAACCTGACAATGGCTGCCGTTGCGTGTCTCATGGACAAACTCATGTCAGGACTCGGATACGGATCTAGTTACGTCGTTCAAGGTGGTGACATCGGCAGTTTTGTTGCCCGGATGATGGCCGTTAGATATCATGGATGCAAAGGTACGCCAAGCTCAAAAAAAAAAAACTTGCCATTGTTCACCGAGGTTCATTATTATTAATCTCATTCACAATAAGCCGTACACCTTAACTTCAACCCTATGACACCGCCAACTTCATTGCCATCCAACATACCACCCCTCACGGAAGCGGAGCAAAAAGGATTACAACGGGCAAACAAGTTCATGTCAAGCGGGACCACTTACGCCACAATACAATCGACCAACCCGAGTACGATGGGAGCCGTGATGAGCTGCTCTCCAGGAGCGAGCTTGGCGTGGTAAGTCGAAGTTTTCCCAACTCATTTTCACGTCATGCCATAGCAAATGTCGTATCCTTATGCTTCCCTCCCCCTCCCCACCACCACCATACAGGACAGGCGAGAAACTATTAGAACAAAACATGCCACTTGACATGATTCTAACGACCCTTACACTGTACTGGTTCACTCAGACCTACGCAAGAAGCATTTACGCTTACCGGGAGGTACGAGCCTTTTCTTTCTTTTTACCTTTTCCAACCTGCCATCTATCGACGAAAGCTAAAAAAAGAAAATGATTCAATATAGTTATTTCCCGGTGGCGCATCGACGCCAACGCTCCCGACCGACGATCCGTCGCTTTACATCCATAAACCCTTCGGTACAGTTATTTCCCACATGGTACGTAGGTTACGAGTACTACATATCATTAATGCAGCCGCTAACAAACGAACCTGAAAATTGATCGACCAACAACCATGTAACTTTTTTCCGTGCTTTCTTTCTTTCTTTTTCTTTTCTTCTTCTTCTTTGTTCCCTCGTTTTTATAGAAGTAATTCCCGTTCCAGCATGTTGGGTCGCAACCACAGGAAAACTCAGTTTCGTTCGTTATCACAAAACGGTACGAAGAAATTCTCCTCTCGTTCTTTCTTTTCCCTCTCCCTTCAACTGTACTGACATCAACGGGACAATCCATCTCTCTCTCTCACCATTCGATAGGGTGGCCACTTCGCGGCGCAACTCTCGCCAGCAGAATTCGCCAATGACCTCATTGAGTTTTTTGGACCCATGAAAAACACCCTCGCTACCGTTCCTCCATCTCCTACCGCGTCCAACGCCAGTTTCGATGGAGATACGCATTTAACTGACTAAACTTACAAAAAATGGAAGCGCAAGGTTGCTTGCTCCCTCGATTCGATTCGACTATTCGAAATTTCCGGATAAATTCCCTTCTTTTTTTTTCCACACACATCATTTCTTTGGGGCATCGATGAACCTTGAGTCTCTTCTTCTGTCTTCTGTTGTTCCGCTTTACGATCAACAATGAATCTAATATAAAACAAGTTTCATCATTTCGACCATCTTATATATAACACAATTATCCTGTACATCGAGATATTCTCATAGAGTCTCCTCGGGAAATGGGTCATTGACACCACCCTGGAACAACCCGAATAAGCTCTTCCGATCCTTTGCTGCGCGTCGGGAGCTACTACCGCCGCCGTGAGCATCGCCGCCGTCCGTAGTCGAAGGAGTGGATCCCCTGCTAGATCGTTTTCAGCGGTACTAGCCGGTCTCGCCTTCCATTGCTTGTAAGAGCCACGAGTGAGGGTATCCACCGCAATAGCCCAAACGTTATTGCCACTTGCCCGTACCTCTTGTTCATCCAGTCGTTTATCGGCAATTTTACTTAATCGCCTGGCTTCCTCCTTACGTTCGCAAAAGAAAGAGGAGAAAAAGGCTCAGGATCTCAACTAACACGAGTTTTAAAAACCCACTCACAGTGTCCCGCCGAGCGACAATACTAGACGGTGGCGGATTCTCTCCCTCCAGCGCCCAACCCCAATTCCACAACGGCGAATTTATATCCCACTTGTCCACGCTGTCAGAGGAACTGGGGCTACACTCCGCAACTGCGCCTCCGTTACCAGCATCTTCATGCAGTCTAAATTCATCTAAGCGAGCTTTCAACTTCTCAAGAGATTTTTGCGTTTCTTCTTTCGCAAGCTTGAGGTGTTTCTGCCGATTCTTCGCAACGCGCTGGACATCCTTGGCATATCTCTTATCCCACAATGCCTGACCGGAGAGGTAACGTTTCGCGCCCGTCTCGTTCACTTTCCCGATCTTTTCGAAGGGATGTATGCAGCCAGCAAGTTGGGAAGAGGGTTCCAGCTCTCGAAGCTCACCCTTCATCGAGACCCGCTCCCGAATCATGTGGTCTTTGAATGGTGACGCGTTGGGATCCTGTTACGAAGAAAACGCTCAACATTACGCGAAGCAAAAAAGAAAATTAGTAGACTTGCGTCTGTTTTGTAAACATTGGCATGGCCAGCATAACCAGGTCCAGACTTGGACCGGCGCGGCGCGAATCTTGGCCCCACCTCCTCCCATTCTTCCGATTTTTCCGATGTTGGAGATGCGACTACAGGCCACCGCAGGGAGCTCCTAGATTTCATAGAAACGCGATGAAAGAGACTTCGGGAAGTTGGCGTGGTCGAGGGAGACCGACGATCGGCGGAGTCATCCGAAAGTGATGTTGATGCCGATGTCGACCGTGGATTATTCGGTGATGAACTTGAAGCCGACGATTGGCTGTCAAATGACGATGGAGGCGGAACACGAATCGAAAGATGTCGATCGAGCGAGCCGGGGGCAACATGAAGACAGAAGGCAACGATCTGTCAAGAAATCCCCAAAACATCAGGTCAAACATCAATTTGTACGAATTCGAGGGCGAGACGAACAGCTCGATAGCAAAACTTCGCCTGGTGGGTTTTCCATGTAAGCAAAGCACTCATCAGTGGCCTGAGAATTTTTGACTCACTGGCGTTGTGAAAGATAACATAGGGAGGACATGACACGTCTCTGCAAAAAAGGAAAGACACGAGGTTATGGATGCGGGTTAGGACGCAGAAAGGACCTACCATCATATATCTGAAGATGTACATTAGTTGGTCCGTATCGTTCTTCGATGCCTCTCAGGGGAGGATACAACTCTTTTGACGGTTCATGGACCGGATATTCTTCGGGGTGCGCAGCTTTGTGAGCCCTTGAGGTGTGTGCGTCAGACCAGCAAGGAATCGGGAGACATCACATGTGAGCATCATGACACATACATGTACACTATTTCATCCGCAAAACCTCCTTATCGCTTGCAATGACGAACAAAGGTGGAAGCCCGCCTAGATAGCTCAACACGGGCGAGACGAGAGGATGGGTTAATTGATGGTTCCTTCCAAACGCAGCAGTCCTTTAGTTTCGATCCATGAAGTCAGTGGAACAGGAGGGAGAACTTACATCGCGTACAACTGAATCTGGCTCTTTATCTCAACCGGTTTACCATCGACATCCAGCACAATGGCCTTTCCCCTCATTTGGGGCAACTCGGTATGCGGCTGAGCCTTGGGATCTTCTGCAGGAGGGTACACCACCCTCGGATGCAGACCACTGAGGCTCGGCTCCATCGCATGCTTCGTTTCCTCTCCCTGTGATGGTGGCTCAATGACCGTGTCACCAAGGATGGTTCGAGGCGCATCGGAAGGAGAAGTTGGCGATTCACCACCAGACGTTGCGGTAGATCTCCCCAATGGAGATGGCAGCAAGTCAATTGTCGCCCTCGAAGGAGTGAGGACGGACTTGATGTTGTCCACCCTCACGATGTCACGTATGCGAGTGGTGAGTCTTCCCTTTACTTCGGTTTCCATCTCCTCGGAAGGCGGGGGCCACAATGTCGAAGGGCGAAAGAGACTGAGTCCATTTGATGGAACGATGTCCTAAAAAAGCGCACAGATAATGACATGCAGGGTTTAGGAACGGGGAATCACTCACCGTCACCGTGTTCTCGAACACGCTCGGGAAGCTGTGCGTGAGATCTCCCCATGGGCTGATTAATACAGCTCCCGCAGGAAGCGGCAACCCTGCGTCACGAATAACTTGCAGTAGCGCTAGCACGGTTCCGCCACCAGCACTATCCCCACCAATAATGATTTGAGATGGGTTTACCGCTTCATGCGAAGCACCAGGCGGAGGCTTCAACAGGTACAGATCTTGATATAAATGACTTTAAGTTAAGAGCAGGGACCGATTCTCTTGTGGCGAATCACTTACAGCCAGCGAGAGCGTCATGAATGGCGCACTGAGGGAATTCTGTCAGAAAAGGCGCGTGGACCAGGGCTCAAAGTGCGAATCAACTCACGGGAAAAGGGTACTGCGGGGCGAGGCGGTAATTTATGGCTAACAGGGCAGATAGCGCGTGGCACGTCAATCGCCGATCAAGCAGATTTCTTTGTCGAACAACGAACCAAAGATTCTCCCATTCATCTTCCTATCGTGCTTCATCAGCCGGTATTTCCAAAGTCCGAGCGAGGATGAACTTCAGAAATTGATACTCACCTCGCATACCGCTGAAGGGAGTACCTGTACTGGTCAACGGATCCGAAGAAGTACCCACCTTCACAGACGGATCATTCAAAAAGTTGAGAATAAACAACCTTGGATCTCATCCACAAACGAACTGACCTCCATGAATGTAGTACATGCACCGAAGTGGGTCCAACTCTGACGAATATTGTTGATCGTCACTTTCGGGGGACTCCTGCCGATTTTCGACATCGTCCTGGGCACCATTTTCCTTCTTCCATTGAGCACTCATCTGTCTCTGCTTCTTTGCAATTTTCCAATCCTTCTTCATTGCAATCCAGTTTGCATCTATACCTTTGAGACCGCGTACTTGCCACCAGCGCGTGCCCCCCACGATACGCCGAGCATGTTCCTCACCTCCTAGGACTTTGATCAAGTACGTCGCAGCCTGATTGCAACTACTTAATGGGACAAGGAGTCGTATGGAAACAACATGGGGCGACGCTAGCGGAGGCCAACGTTTCAAGATCAGCGAGGGTGACAAAAACTAAGGGGGACAGATGCAGGATCGGGATGGAGACAAAAGTGATGAACGCAGGTTTTCACCCACGCATCGTACCTGGAATTCGGGTGTTACAGAATTCCTGCATTTCCTCTACTGTGTGCCTGAATTTGGGGGGGGAGAGACAGAGTCAACGGCATAGTCGGAGATCGGGATCCCCTCGCTTACCTCGAAGTAGCCTCGAGAAATGACTAAACAGCGCACATCCAAGGGATCGAAGAAACACATTTCAGGGATCAAGCCACAACTGATTGGGTCTCACAGACCTTCACGAACGAAAACGCCTTGGCCGCCGCGCCATTCTAACGTCAAAATCGCGGAAACACAACCCCCAGCAGGAAACACCTCACTCACTTCATCGTACGAAAACTCCTCCTTTGCCTTTGAACCCGTCGGCTCGGTCACGCCAAACTTGTCAAGAAAGTGCCGAAGCGCCGTGACGAGGAAGAGTGGTCCTAACTTGGCAGTGACTCCGAGTGTTAACGACATCTCGAAACGATCCCGACTATGTACAACGCGATTGGCTGCCGTGCAACAGACTTGGGAGATGCTAAGATCCTAGCTTGTGTTCGTGGGGTGGCAGGGAGATGGAACAACCGTATCTGGAACGAATTGAATATCTCATTCAGATGAGCTCGAGCTCCGGCATTCCACAGTACATAACATTAAGTGCACGAACTCTCACCTTGAGGCTGTTCCTCCCAAGGCGAACCTCACCCGGATAACAAAAAAGCTTAGCAAACGAGCATCCGGAATTTCAGATCCCCCCTTAACGCCAAGGAGCAAGTTGAAATTGTCATTGGAAAAAACACTCGGCATTTCCCTGTTCTCACGCTCCCGATCTACAGGCGACACTTCATGTGGAGCTGCCAACGTCAAACGCTTTAGTCAGTACTTTCTAGGGTGCAACACAGTGTTCCTGGGACACTTTGTGTCGTTCAAGCAATCATAGAATACACTTGACTCACCCGATCGCTTATTTCATCCATCTCCACTTCACATCTCTGCAATTGCAGTCCGATTTAGGCCCCCCCTCAAATAACCTTCTCTGTCTCTACGCTGATGTCTGGATCAAAAGCCATCAATCTCTTTATTTGCGATATCCAGCACCGTTTCCGTATGTGAACATCGCATTTTCTTTCCGTAAACGTCACCCTTATTAGTGAACGGCTCGAACCCATAATAATGATCTGCCTTCGATATTTCCAACTTCCGGATCAACTTGCTGATTCTTTACCCTTACCCACCTGGATAATAATGCGATACCCGGCGCCGACCTACTCATATACCGCTCTTGGTATACTGCTGTGAAAACAACATAGGACCAGCGATATCTAACTTTGATCGTGTCGTGGCTACGATTAGGAAAATAGTTGAAGCAAGCAAAGTAAGGGGCTCAACACTTAATCCGAAATCGCCCTCCTTCGATCTGCCCCATCTATCATGCCTATCCAAAAGACTTTATTTCCCTGGTTTCCTCAGCTTTCTTCTCTTCTCTGATTAACTCCCAAGGTGCAAGCTCATGAATATGATGTAGCTCTTTGACACCAAAATCATCATAACAGAGCATAGCCCAGAAGGTATACTGTACAATGCTTATACGTTTATCCCCCCTCCCCTTCTCTGCTGGAAAGAAACAGAAAGCTGACATTCCGGACTTCTACGCATAACAAACGATTTGATTGAACTCTAACCCCACAACGTCCCCCATCGATAATATTGATACAACCAACAACACTCCCGGGCAGTTTTCGGCAATCTCTGTCCCGAAACAGGAATAAACGTGTCCAACCTTCCTTCAAACGTACAAGTTTTCCCGAAGACAAAATTCAGCATGCTCATGCCTGAAGTGAAGGAAGTTGTTCGACCAGGAGACGCTCCCACCGGTCGCCTGGCCGTCATCGTTGGGATTGAGGTGCGTACGCGTGTGAAGCATATTTAGTCCTTTTGCATCATCAATATCCCTCACAAAACTAACGTCGTTTATCTGATCACACTGGGGATATAACTCCGTACGACTGAATATCTCGCGTGATTGCATGCGCGATTATCGATTCAACACAACGGGAGGTACACAATGACAAACGAATAGTCCCACATCTGTGTCCTCCAAACCGCCCTCGAGCTTCTCAAGCTTCGCGAAGAAGTGGTCGTCATCGCTGATGGCGTTTCAAGTTGTAATCCCGAAGAAGTCCCTATCGCTCTTGCAACGATTCGTCAAGCCGGTGGCTTAGTCCTCACTTCGGAATCGTTTCTGTACATGAGCATGGGTACGCCATTTGCAATCTTTTTGATCTGTTATTCGCTCAGTGCTCTCGGGACTTGCCTTGCGCCGCCGGCGACGGATCAGTGCTCCCGAGCGGACCAGGTGTTGGTGGCTCGGTAAAGTACTCCGCACTGTACACGTGTTGCCATTATGTGACACCCGTACAACCATACATATATCTGGGGCTACTTCTATTCCTCCGCCACACCATATATCACAATATGCATGATCCGGATAAGCGTCGGGATTACCAATCCCCTTCCCCCGAACTCCGAGTCGCAGGTTTTCTCGCTTTCTTCTTCTGTGCTCATACTCTCAATGAAGCAAATATGATTGTTAACTTGAATGACCTCTCCCTTTTCTTATAGGCGATGCTGCGTCCCCATCGTTCAAAGCTTCGTCAAAGAGACGAAGGACGAAACTCGCGAGACTTTAAAGGCGCTCCTCCCTGTTCCACAGTCTTCATCTTCTTCTCAAGCACCAAAACTGGTACGTAGCAGCGGTGGAAAGTACCGTAGTAGAAGATTCCGGGGTTAATATCAAGTTAGGCCACGGGGCAAACTCGATCCCTCCCAGCTTGATGTAAAATAAACCAGCAATAAAAAAAAACACCATGCTATAGCCCGAGAAACTAATGAACCCCTCTAGCATGACCAAATTTACTGAACCGGAAGGTGACAGGAAAGCCCACCCTCCTCCACACAATCCCCAAATGGCCGGCAACGAGTGGGGACTAACAAAATCGCCAGCAAGCAACCAAGCCCAGACAATAAGCAGGTTATGCTGCATGACACCCCATGAAGGGGCCCGGCGGCATTTTCCTGTTCTCACGCTCTCGATCTACCTTTGGGGCGACACTTCACTGTCAGGTTGAGGGGCTGTCATCGTCAAACGCTTTAGTAAGTGCTTTCTAGGGGTCCGTTTCCTGGGACATTTTGTGTTGTTCAAGCATTCCTAGATACACTTCAGTTATCGTGGAAAACTTAACTCACCCGATCTTATTCACCCATCTCTAAGCACTTCGCATCTCTGCAATTGCAGTCCGATTTACGCACCCCCCCCTCTCAAATAACCTTCTCTGTCTCTACGCTGATGTCGTCTGGATCAAAAGCCATCAATCTCTTTATTTGCGATATTCAGCATCGTTTTCGTATGTAAACTTCGCATTGTTCTTTTCGTACACGTCATCCTTATCAGTGAACGGCTTGCAATACCCTCTTTCTTTCGTCTCCCGCAATACGTTTGAACCCGTAATAATGATCTGCCCTCGATATTTCTAACTGCCGGATCAACTTGCTGACTCTTTACCCCTTTCCCCCCACCTGGGCTGATAATAATGCGATACGCGGCACCGACATACCGCTCTTGGTATACTTCTGTGGAAAAAACAACATAGGACCAGCGATATCTAACTTTGATCGTGTCGTGGCTACGACTAGGAAAATAGTTGAAGCAAGCAAAGTAAGGGGGCTCAACAACTTGATACGAAATTTCACTCCTTCGATCTACCCCCATCGATTCATGCCTATCCAAAGGACTTGATTTTTCCTGCTTTCTTCTCTTCTCCGATTGACGCCCAAGATGCAAGCTCATAAATATGATGTAGCTCTTTGACACCAAAATCATCATAACGGAGCATAGCCCAAAAGGTATGCTGTACAATGTTTATACGTTTATCCCTCCCCCCCCCTTCCACCCTTCTCTGCTGAAAAGCTGACATCCCGGACTCTTACGCATAACACACGATTTGATTGAACTCCAACCCCCACAACGTCCCCCCCCCCCATCGATACCTAATATTGTCACAACCAACGACACTCCCGGGTAGTCTTCGGTAATCTCTGTCCCGAAACAGGAATAGACGTATCCAACCTTCCTTCAAACGCACAAGTTTTCCCAAGACAAAATTCAGCATGCTCATCCCTGAAGTGAAGGAGGTTGTTCGACCAGGAGACGCTCCTACCGGTCGCCTGGCCGTCATCGTCGGGATCGAGGTGCGTGTACGCGTGTGGAGAAGAATATTTTTTTTAGTCCTTTCGCATCATCAATATTCCTCAAAAAAAAAAAAACTAACGCTCGTTTATCTGATTAATTGCACTTGGGATATAACTACTGAATCTATCGCATGATTCGCATGGCACGATATCGATCCAACGCAACGGGGGGTGGTACCATACACAATGAATGGCAAATGATCAAACTGTTAGTCCCACATCTGCGTCCTCCAAACCGCCCTCGAGCTTCTCAAGCTTCGCGAAGAAGTGGTCGTCATCGCTGATGGTGTTTCAAGTTGTAATCCCGAAGAAGTCCCTATCGCTCTCGCGACGATTCGTCAAGCCGGTGGCGTAGTCCTCACTTCCGAATCATTTCTGTACATGAGCATGGGTACGCCATTTGCAATCTGTTATTCGCGCTCTCAGTGCTCTTGGGACTTGCCCTTGCGCCGGCGCCGGCGCTGGCGCTGGCGACCGATCAGTGCACCCTGAGCGGCCCACGTGTGGTGGCTCGGTAAAGTACTCCGCAGTAACTGTGCACACGGGTCATGATGTGGTCACCTACACAACTCCTATTATACATCTGGGGGCCTCTTCTATTCCTCCGCCATACATATATCATATGACCCTGCTCAGCGTCGGCATTATCAATCCCCCCCTCCCCTTGCTCCGAGCCGCAGGAAGTTTTTTCCTTCTGTGCTCACAATGAAGCAAATATGATTGTTAACTCGAATGACCTCTCCTTTTCTTACATATAGGCGATGCCGCATCCCCATCGTTCAAAGCTTTGTCAAAGTTGGTAAAAGAGACGAAGGACGAAACTCGCGAGACTTTGAAGGCGCTCCTCCCTGTTCCGCAGTCTCCTCAAGCACCAAAACTGGTACGCAGTATACTTATCACTGCCATTAATTGATACTTGATTGTTGATCCTTAACCTCTTTTCAAGTAAATTTGCTTTTCCGGAAGAGGGACGGAACTGTAACGCCGTTGAATAGTTGAAGCCTGCTTGATGAGGAAGTTGATCTGTCATGTCATGGGGCGGTGAGAGGCGGGGAGTTGGGATATCGATGATACGCATATGATGTTACTGTATGTCACTGTTTCAGCAGCGTCGTGTAAAACATAGTGAATCATTGATCGTTTGTCTTTCCGATTGATCTACGTATCTATGTAATCGGCCCCGGGTTCTGTTCCGGCAAAAAAAAAAATGGTGGGGACACGGCACACGTCGATCAATGCCGAAATGGCGTGACAATGGAGTCATGTACCCCAGCCGGATTACTTACATAAGTAATATATGTAACATGCGATAGTGGAAGACTCTGGCACGGTAATCAAGCAAAGCATGCAATAAGTAGTGTCGCTATCAGTGCTCGGATATATTATGCATAAACACCCTAGTTATGATGGAACCAGTGATACGTCCAGCTAATTATTCGACGCGACGCCTTATTGCAATATCCATATATTAATGTTTTACACAATGTTCGTTCCTTAGACGCATGTCGATCAAAATCGACCCCAAGCCCCACAAACTTTATCCGACACGTGGAATTTCATGCCATCATACCAGTAATATATATATAAGCACAACAACAAAAAAAAATTTGCAAAAACAACTAGAAGATCGCCCGCCGTTCGTCAACTCTGATGACTAATATGCATAATGCACGCGGCATGACAGGTTGATCACTCGGCATCCCTTCTAAGGTTTGAGGGTTTTTCTGTCATTGGTCATTGCCGTCTTGTCAGAGAGCTCGTTTTGTGGCCAAAGTTCACGGCAGCCGCTGCCATGTTACTCTCAGGTCCCATATTATGCATGCCCGTGTATCTCCGACGTCTCATGACAAATCATGACACAGGAGGGGGAATGATGGTTCATCTCTGCTTGTACCTGAAGGCTTGAAAGTCGATCCTTTTTTGCCCCAACAATAATACCATATCAGGAAGGATTGGCCCTTCTTGAAGTGGTAGTGCATAATACTCGCTTGTGTGATATATCGTTCGTTTTTTGTTGTTCTTCCCTTGGTTCCACACACACAAATCGATACAAATAAATATCACAGATTTCATTCTCGATCTCCGGAACCGGAACCGTATATACAATACATAGTCCCCCTCCATGCCGAGATGATAGATCTGCACAACGATGGCATGATATGGAGATACATAGATTGACAATGCACGTACAATGATCCAGAAGAAAACTCCCACACCCTCTCTTTCTCTCTCTGTCATGTGTATATATATGGCAGATAGATAACCACGGTATCGCCGCGGCGACGTTCTCGTTCTAACTCGGATGACTGCAGGGCTATCTCCGGTCGGCGTTTACCGATCATGAGTTAGTACCCACCCAGCTTGATGCCAGGAGTTTTGTGGGTGGCCGAACCGAACTCCATCGTGCGCCATCGACTTTCAATTACTTATTGTCTTCCCTGGGAGGCACTTATGTAGGGGCCTAGGCCTGGAGACGGAATGTCGCAATCATCATCATCATCATCTGACGGAATTAGCGAACTTGCGGGGGGCTGCGAGCGCTAGTGCATATCATATTCATTTGTCATGTACATACATTCAGTATACCTACTTGCGATCAAAATTGCTCATCAGATGCTTCCTCGCCTCGCATGTATAGGTGTGCGCTTACAAGGGGGGGCTGACTTTCAGGACTTGTAACGCTGTTGCTATTGCTACTTACTTTGTTCCAGGCCTATAGATCTTACATATGCTATCATGAATGTTGCACGTAGCACGGGTTCTACCCTTCGACAACCCTTGATGTGAAAATCTGATCGAAGGTCGAGTTGTGACTTCTCGAGGGTGTTGAGTTATTATTGCAATGACTTCGAATAATGGCACCCCCAGTAGCTCGTTTCGTGTCGAAACAGGGCACAAAGGACTGACGATCGCGAGGTGGTGCATGGTGGTGGTGGTATAGCTAGTATGTACCGTCAACGTTCCCCCTTCGAATGCAGTCGAGCGATCCGTTATGTTATGTGCGCGCGCGCGCGCGCATGAACGAGCATTTTAGCTAGCGCGGTACTAGTATAAGTATGTGAGTTGGCGTTATGTAATGAATGGTAATGGCTATGTAAAAGCACCCAAAATCGGAATTGCAGGGACCTCGAGTTCGATTTCCGGCCTGGAGCTATGTAGCTGGTGTTGATGCGCCGGTTTAGCGAAACCCAAAACGCCGCATCTTTTTTTTTTTTTGGTAGATTTTGCTCGAGCCCGATCTGATGAAGTGATGTCAGGATATGCGGAATCGGAATCGTAAGTACTTCTCGAGAACTACATATAACATGCAACACGCCAAAAACCGAGCTAGGGATCTGTTTGTCTAATGCTTTTTTTTTTTTGGTACCCGTTCAGAACAAGAGATTCTGCAATGCCACCACCCACTGACGCGCTTACACAGTACTTAAGTAGCTGCACAAGTACATAGTAGGACGTACTGGGCATATATATATATATATGTATCTTCATATGCGAGGTGTTTTGATCATGATTTAGCGGCTGATCAGGAGCAAGCAAGAGCGCGCTTTCTGATCAATCGGTCCCCCCCAATCCACCACCCCAATTTCCGATCCAGAAAAAAATGTCCAATACCATTATGTACAAACAAATCTGCGCGCGGCGCGCAACCACCGGTACCCCTGCTTGCGAACGAACCCGAATTATATTTTACATTTACAATCGGTTGCGCCGTCGTTATATACTACATTGCATGCGGTTCTCTATACTGAGGGCTAATATAACAAGCAACGCTCATAAGCGCCACCCACGCACTTGTACTACATACATAGCTGGTGCGCGCATCTCATGGAAATCAGATAGCGGAAAATCGTATCATCATAATATGCAAGATGCCTCTAGCTAACTTGCAATCAACAGCGCTATATATATATTTGCCAAATTATATTAAACTAGATACCTCCTTTCACTACACAAACGCCCCTCCGCATGTGCGCGCACGCACGTATACACACACACACACAACCCAAAAAGAAAGAAAGAAAGAAAATAATTTGGGGAATTTGAAAACCGCTGGCCGGGTCGGTCACCAAACGTCCCACTGATAAGTAACCAAACCACCGGCCGGTACGGAACAACTTACATATATATATACACAGCTGTTTCCATATATCCACAACATATCCACAATATTAATCTGTAAGCAGTCCATCCCCCGTCTACATCGGATCTTCGGCCCGTTGTTTAGTCGCGCTCATTTTATGTATGTAGGTGATGATGGTTTATGGCTTGCACAGCAAGCAACTTGTCCATCATGTTGTTAAGTAAAGTGATTAGGAGTTCAGCAGGTAGCCAGCAAGTCCCATCAGGATGGGGATGGGATCATCACAGTATTATATATTTGCTCTGTCAGCAAGTGTGGGGGGAATTGTCAGCAAGAGGGGGCTTGCCGGCCGGCCGGCTTCTACCGGATGGTGTGTGTGGATGGGCGGTGGTGTTCGGTGTTAGTGGTGCCAAGGCTTCGCAATAGACTCGAGTACTGATAGCCACGAATATATGCACTATATCGCAGCTAGAAATGTGGGGAAGGGCGGGTGCTCGTGCAAGGGACTCAAAGAATAAGAAAAAAGAAAAAAAGGCCGATTCGTAAGATTCGATTACACTCGTATGATCCGGTTGCTCTTTGCGGCTGTTACGCCTGTGCACAAACGAACCTCTCAAGCTATTATGTATGTAGAGCCCGTGCGTCCAATCACTTATGGTGTGATTTTTTTTTTTGGGGGAAGAAAGGCAAGTTGTTACACATAGAGTAATATCCAGATCGGGTAGGCAAGGGCTTTGTTATGTATACAGATTTGGCAAGCAACCATCTTCTTCTTCCCCCCACGAGTTTAACGGATCAAAAAAAAAAAAAGCCAGTGCTAATGGTAACGTACTCGTGGTTGAAGGAAACCTCATGATCAATTCATTCAGTCGCTTAACGCGCTTGGACCTTGGGAAGGGAAGGGAAGAAAGAAAGTTGGAGAAAAAGGAAAGAGTTGTTGACTTTCCACCGGTCGGGTCGGAGATGGTGATGGTGATGGTGATGACGGTACTACGGTATGGAAGCTTTTTATCGCGTTCTTGTCGTTCTTCACAAACTGCGCGCAACAAAGGTCGGGATCGATGGTATTGAGCAAGCCACGCTGAACCGCAGGTTATACGGGTGCTTCTTTCTAGTTTGTAACTGCTTCTGTTGCTACATACTTGCGCCGCGTGAACTTGAGTATTGCGTTCTCGGTGATAATCAGATGGGATTTCATACGCATGTGTCTCACTCAGCCATATTCATATTGCGATGCAGCGTCACAGACGCAAAGCCCCGGATGGGAATGTGTGAATATTGTTACGTGGGTTAAACGCCCGGCGCGGCCGCGCGTGCCAGTACTTGTGTGGGTGGGGTTCAACGGCTTTCACGGATTGAATGGCCATCAAAAACGGCTTTGTCAGTACGGCCATATTTCGGCACCGAAGCCAACACCCGATGTGGATTGGCAAGCATGAGTTCGAATCGCGCGCGAGAGCGCGCGCAATGACACCCATGCGAGTTGTAATAGCAATCATGGAGCCCGAATGCCGATGTTGATGGAAGATTACCCCCTAGGCGTTTAGATACGATGGCGCGGGTCTCCAGCCGATCCGGAAGTCATGGAAAGGGTGAAGACTGAGAACTAACACGGAGTAATCTTTTTTTCGCGTATTCGATCTAGGCTACGATGAGTGCTGCTACCGGTGCTGCGCTGCGCGTGATGAGATTGATGGGTAACGACGTAGATATGGATGATAGATGATAGAAGATGATGGAAGAAGCACCTTGAGCAAGTTGACTGAGCCCATAGCTGAGACGGAAGTGTGCCCGGGAGGGAGGATGATATGAGGCGGGTGAATGAATTGACCTCCGCGGGCTTAGGAAGATCGTATCGCATGTCACTAGTGGTGTGTTTAGATGATCAAAAAAAGGTTTGATCCGCGTTGTTGTTGGCAAGTTACATGTACGACGACGACGCGGGTACGGAGTTACGGCCATTCACAGATGACTGGTAGTGGTTAGCAGGGGGGTAGTGTAAGGTGCCATCCCACATCCTAGCTGGTTGTAATGGTGGTACCGGGTTGTGATTGTGGAAGGGAATTATGCCAAAATTAATCTGGGATGATCTGATTATGGTAGGATAGAGGATGACCCGAGCGGAGTCGGGAAATTGCCTTGCCGGCCGGCCGTAGAATACACAGCCTCAATAGTATGTTCAAGCCCAGACCCAAAAACGTAGGTTATCTCCTTCGGTCGTTGTCCTTGGTAGCGAAAGAAGAACTTGAATGTTGCAATTACCAGGAATTCCTTCAGCTGCGCTCGCTTTTTCCAATATGTAAGTGGAGTTGTCTCCCGTTTCATTGACTTCGTTTCTTGGCCAGTTTCTGAATTAAATTGAGTCGCTTGAACGGGATAGCAACAACCGTTCCGTCCGAAATCCATTGTGAAATTCAAAAATCATCAGTACTTTTTGGGGATAAGGGTATGTTTCCTACTTGGAAATAAATTCACATTGATTACTTGTTGATTTATATTGCAAGTCGGATTCAAAACGGGGGGTTGGCATGATTGGGTTTGTTTCGAGTTGATCGTGCTTAGGTGATCCAAACGGGTCCTATAAACACGTTTCTTCCCTTTCAACTCTCTCTCTCCTGCTTCCTCTTCAACCACCCACCAAACAACCACCCCCTCTCTTCACAACTCTTTTCCTTGCCTTACCTTTATTCGCGTTATCTCATCTTTCTTTTTCTCTCTCTCCAATCACATTCCAGCTTACCACCCACTCCCCCATGTCAGTCCTCGACCCAGCAGACGATGGCGCTGCTTCCTCCAGCCACATGATGAGAATGACCAGGAAAGGCAGACCGTTTCTCAAGGTAATAATCTCTTCTTCGACATCTTCCTGCTCCCAACTTATCAACTCTCCTTTGTCTTGCTCCATACCTGACGACAGGACACGCACGACCTCTTTGCGACTTTGATCATCTCACTAGAACTCAAGACTCACAAGCAATTTTTCCGATTCTATCACAACTCGTTTACAACGTAAGCTCTTGTTCACTTTTCACACTTCATTTCTGAAACGCGACCGCATCGGATCGCAACATTCATCACTCCGTTCACTCACTCATCTTCATTCTCCTTTTTCATACATATCAATGACTAATGCACATCTAACATTCACGCATACTCCGTGGCACGTTTTCTCATTCCTCAATCTCCAACTTGGTCGTTTCCATCGTGACAGCGACGAATGTTGTGCCAACCTATCACAGCTCAAATTCTCTCAATCCAACCGCGGACCAGATCCAAAGAATCCCAGTCGTGTCATCACTACTACCACTACTACCACATTCTCCATGACGCGTGATATGGCAAAGAGCATGGCTCAGAACTTCCTCGACTCAGGTCTCATCGAAAATGCTGCGGATCGTCAGTCAAACACCTTTAAAGATCGCGGTATCTACGTTATCACTCCAAAGGGTCTTCATGTTCTCGAACGATTCATCAATAAGAACGGCGTCTCGAGCGAGAACCTTCGGAACGTCTTTGTCACTCAGCATGTTTGTATGCGCTTACTCCATCTCGAAAGGAAGGTGGATGATGATATCGTCATGTCCAATCAACTCCTCACCGCTGTCTTTCGACGTTTTGCCGGTCGTTTGCCGAATTATTTCCATAATACCACCGATGATCCCTTGGATCCTGCTAAAGAGTACCATTTACGCGCCGATGGCATACGATTGAGCGAGTATCAAGAACGACACTCACAGATGATCGGCAGAGGGCAAGTTCAGTTGCATAAGCATTGCTTTGGAGCGGTGGAGGCTTTGGAGTGGTTGATCGATTTTACGTGCATTACTGGGAGGGATGAAGCTGCCGAGTTGGCGGCTCAGTTTATGAGATATCGGTGGATTGACCTCGTCTCGGACAAGAGGAAGAATAACGACCAGGCGATCATATTCAGTGTTCGCGGGGAGTCCACGAACGGCGCGCTCGAGGTGAGTTGTTATCCGTTTCAACTTTCCTTTTATTTCTATTTCTTGGTTTCACTTCGCTTGAAGCGTTTACCCGTTACTGACACTGCTTCGTCGTTTACAGGAAGCAGACTACCGTTGTACACCAAAGGCCATCTATCAGATTACCGAGGAAGGCGCTCGCATCGCGCGTTGGAAGGAGAATCAAGCCCTCGCCTTGCCCGATGGATCGGGATCGTTGAACCGCCTGTCGTCTGGTTCGTCGGAAAACGTTCATGAGACTCAGACGAACAATGATCGTGCTATTCACCGACGGATATCGATTGCTGAGAGACTTCGTGGCGAGTATCTCACTAATGAGAACCAGCAGAGTAGCGGTGCTGCCACTGGTGCTGCTGGTGGTAATAATGGCAATGGCGCGCCACGTCATTCGAACGCGGATAGGCTGCGACATATCCTTGCCGAGCCTGCTTTGAGAAATCTGTTTAGGGATTTCTTGAAGCAGAATTTTTCCGAGGAGAATCTTTCGTTTTATTTGGATGTGCAGGACTTCAAGAGACGGTTTCAGACGACGAGCAGTGCTAATGCTGTGAATTCTCACACCTCGAGGCCAAGTAGTGCTAACGCTGCAGGATCGGGTACCGGTGCTAATGGGAACGGGAATGGGGCGTCTAATGGGTCGTCTGGTGGTCAGCAAAACCGTCCGGGTCAGGCTGCGATGCAGAAACATCATCGTGATCTGATCAGTATGACGTTTGTGATCTACAATACGTACCTCGCTCCAGGCTCCCCATGCGAATTGAACATCGATCACACCTTGCGGAACGAACTTCTTCATTACTTGACGGATGTGTTGAAGAATACGACGGGGAAGCAGTTGAGTGGCAAGGTGGATCCTGAAGATGCCGAGACGTTGAATGCGACGCAGTTGTCGGCGATGATCAAGCTTTATGAGCGTATACAGACGAACGTTTTCAGGTTGATGGCTATGGATTCGGTGCCCAAGTTCGTAAAGACGCCAAGGTTTTTGGCCTTGAGGACTTGGGTGGAGGAGTATGATGCGTTGGAACAGCAAGAATTCTCTGTGTCTGGGCCTGGGGGTGCGAGCTTTGATGGTGCGGGAGCGGGCGATGCTGGTGGAGGCAAGTTTAGGGGACCTCCGCCTGGTCTTTCGCCACTTGATATGGCGAAGGCTTCTGCTTATATGACGACTTCCTCTGTGTCTGTTGGTCCTGTGGCCACTGCTCCGACTGGATCAACAACAACAACAACTTCAACGTCGGGATCTGAACCCAAGCCAAAGGTATCATCCGCTTTCCCCTTCACCGATCAGTCACAGCCAGTCTCGGCTACGTACGTGACGACGAGTCCGAAAGCGAACGAAAAGTTTAGGGAGATGGTTCAGAATCAACATATCGCTTCTCAGATGAAAGAGAAGAATCTTTCGGAACCCAACTTGAGCGGTGCTGGGGCCGGGACTGGGGCTGGAGCTGGAGGCGGGACGGGTGAGAATGCTGGGAATATGTTTATGGTGCTTAAGGTTGGAGGGGATCAATCCGCGTCGAAAGTTGGAGTTGGGGAAGGGGTAAAGAAGTGATGAACTTCTCCTTCTCGTTTTCGTCCTTTTTTTATCTGCATCGCAGCGATGGCTCGTCGTCCCTTCTCCTTCGCCCTCTTGTTCTACCCATCTCATGCATCCGCCTTCCGTCATTCATTTTTTCTACATCAATCCCTATGCAGGCGGTCTCTAGTCTCCCCCCTCCTCCCCCCCTTCTCGCTGATTCATTCCCCACTCTTGTGTCTTGTCATCCCCTTAATCCCTCGCCTCCCCCCACGCATCAGAGAAAACAATAGCAACTTCCCGTATAATATGACTATGGAAAGCAATCCTCCCGCGCCCCCATCATTCCCTCCCCCCTCCCCTCCCCCAGCTTTCCGCTTTCCGATTAATAATGTGATAATTTGCACACACACAAGGACCATACGTGAATGTATTCCTTCCCTGGTCTCGTCTGATCTCCTCGTCGTGGTTGCGCGCGTCTTCCTGTTTTTCCTCTAATCTTTCATCATTACCCAGCAGCAGTGGTTCGTAGTAGTCTGTAGTAGGAGAGGGGTCGGTCGGTTCTTCTCTTTCGCCCATCCCTGATTCTAGCATCCGGTCTTGATCAGTTCCTTTCTTGCACTCCCTTTAATCAACAACCTTCTCGTTTGGCTACGTTGCAGCCCGTCAAATAAATCGGAAGCGGAGCTGGTGTTGAACTTGCAATAACTCAAAACGATTATTCTGTGTTGCATGTTGTTGTCCTTTTTTTTTTTCTTTTCCCCGTTCCCTTGTTCTGTTGCTGTTGGTTTTGTTGCAAAGCAATCTTATCTGCGTTGACCTCCACCGCCCTCCCTCATCCTTCATTCCTAGTCTCTTGCGCACTTATTCCACGTCGTTGCATATTCTTTTTTTTTTTTTTCCTTTCCTTTCCTTTCCTTGTTATTACACGCCAATTAACTTTTCCACCCACGCACACTCCAAACGTTGTTGAACATCGATTTTTTACTTCTGTTAGAACTTTCTTTCTTCCGATAAGCTGGGTTAATCACAATTGCAGAGTCGCTACTTACTACTTTCCATCAATTGTTTTCCTACTTTCTTCCCTTCCTTTCCTCCCCACTCCCCCCGCCAACCCACAGTTCCATATTGAAAGAATGACGGATCGAACGTTTGAATTCTTGATTCATATGATGAGCGGTTGCGATGATTATGGTATAGTATGCGCACACGTCACCGTATACATATCTCGTTTCTTTTCTTCCTTTCTTTTTCACCTTTTTTTCTTTTTTTTTTCCATCTTGCCTCGATTTTGTTGACCCCATGGTCCTTGAAATCTTTGCCTTTTGCATGCACTCGGAAATAGTGCTACTACTACTACAACATGATTCTCCATCCGCGCTTACCGCTTGCACTCAACTTTCCCTCTTTTTTTTTTTTTTTTTGTTGATCTTGATGTTGGGCACTTGAAAAGAAATTGGTAATGTAATAATCGATTGGTTGGTTGTGGTTGCGCATGCGCATATGCGCAATGCCTCATATACAGGATGGTTGGCCTAAAGTATGCGAGGTGAAACGAGAGAGACAGTCTGTTTTAAGAATTAACCGATACCAGGGGCGTATTATCGTCGATTTAAGACCCCCCCCCCCCGTGTGGTCGCAAATTGACAAAAATGAAATAAAATACATGCAACAGGCTTCCCAGGAAGCCGAACCCTCACACATACACACATTTTACCTATAAACACACAAGGCCTATCTATGGATCTATGGACGTACTAAATCGTAGAGAGGCCCTACATTGGTAGAGGGATGCAGCTAAAGGAGGCACTTGAGCGAACAAGCAGAATATCCTGTACTTTGGGGGGGGGTAGGGGCTTACCCCATTCGCTCAATAACAGTAAAACTTGGGGAGCTGCTTGCGTTGTGTCATGCTTTGGTAGAACCACAGGCACAGATTGATAGAAGATCATCTGGTTATCGTCCTTGCTGAGAATACAGAAAACCCATGATATGCCATCTGTCAGTACGAAGCGCATTTCCTCAAGCCTGCATTGGGGGGGCAATCAGACCATCATCATCATCATTCCCAATTACAAACGTGAGATGCACGGACAAAAAAAAAAAAAATTTTGGCAAAACAGTACATACCCGAGGAACCGACTCAACGCCATGGCCTGGCCCACCGCCTCCGGAATATAGTCTAGCAAAGCTTTCTCATCAACACGCTTCGCTTCAATGAGGACTATTTGTTCATGTGCCTGCATAAGTGTGACCCGCAAAATAGTATTGAGAGTCATAGAACTCAATGCAAGCATGCGTTCTTTTTTTTTGGGGACAACCACATCAAATCAGTGAAGTCGGCTCGGCTCGAAGATGGACGACCAAGTTCACCTTTGTTCTGGCGGAGGTTCGGATAGCGCGTGACACAGTAGTCAACACTTCCTGTCAACCATATTTCACGCCCAGTGGCCGGGCTAACAAATTTTATCCCATCCATTGGTAACTTGAGCTCTGGTAAAACGGAAACGAGCATGGGTGATTCATCGTCCGTAGTGTGGGGGTCATCTGCAGCGATCGTCCACAGGGTCCTGAGAACAGCATCGAGAACCACCCTAGTACCCGCCTCGTACCGTGGTAAGTAGAGAGAATGTAATTCAAAGTTGTCTTAACTTGCCGACATATTGACATGCGCGTAGATATCGCTCATCTCCAACGAAAGTTTTTTGCATACTTCTTCGAACCCAGTGTCCTTCCTCTGTGCGAGGAGACGGGAAACCACTTGCGAATTAAAAATCAGGACACCAGCGATTACGCCAAGCTCGTCCAAATCCCGTGCAGTGACGTTGGAGAAGCTCAATTTCTAGTGTTCTTGGTCTCAGATGTGTTTTGCCACTTCGGAAGCGCAACACGCACAGGCTTCTTTGTATTGTGAAGGATATTCTCGAGGGCCTCAAGTTCCGTAATTACTCGCTCTAACGCGCCTTCCGTTTCTTGAATGCCTTCCAACTCTTCTTTGAGCGATTCGACAGCCACTTGCGCCAGGCGCATCTTGCTCAAATTGATGGGAGTATCTTCAATGCTCCTCTTGCACTTGTGACCTATGGATGACATGTTCACCACTGTCCTTATCACGTATCCAATGTGATAGACGAATGGAGGAACAAATGACTGAAGCGCCCAGGTCACATGGGTGTTGCTTCGGCACCTTCTAATCTACGCAAACATAACAGGCCCGAAAATGTGGTGCACAGGACAAAGCGTGTTATGGAAAGAAGCAAGTAAAGATAGAATGTAGCCCAACGAAGAGCAAGAGCAAGTTGTTAACACGGACACAAAGGGGTTAGCCCCGGAACTTGCCAAATCTCCTTCCGCTCATTCTTCGACATGATTATTCGCGTGAAATAAGGAATTAAACGCACGCCAATCGGTCTGAACCAGCAGGTAGTCATGGGCCAGCGGCGGATGCAATTGCGCAGCGCAGAGAGCAGCGGCCCGTAACAAGTCCCCGCACATAGGTAGGAGGCGGGTGGAAGGTTGGTAAAATTGGACTAAATAATCCACACGCTGACTGCCAAATGCCGATGGACCTTCTGGATCAAAGTTGGATTTCGGCGCAGATAAATCAGGAATGCATCGGAGGACCAGCGACTGGTACTCCGGAGGCGTTCTAGGGAGTACCGGTCAGAGCAAGAGCAGTGGCACTACCAGCTCGGAGGGAGTGCCCAGCGACGTCATTCGAGTCAATTACGTTTCTCAAATGTACAATAGAGTATGAGCACGTAGGAATAGCCAGAGGTCCGGCAAGTGTGGGGACTTTGCGTCGCGGGACGTTAAGTAATTGTAAAGGATTAAGTTTTCCACTCCTCGCTTCAAGGACGGCGTCAACCCCTTGAAGGATTGTGCATGAGAAGGAAGGAAAAGTGAAGGCGGGGGCGTGGGCTGAGTTTAACCGTAGATAGTTGCGCAGCTGATGAGAATCACCGTCCACCAAACGCAACCAGTAAACACAATTGAAACAAACAGTAGATCGTCGTGTGCGGGGGCGTAGGTGTAGAATGAAGCACTAACTGAAGATCATCCTTAGTGAGAGCGCGTTTACGGGATGCGGGAGTACGGAACATCTTGGAGCAGCCAGTCAGAGTACGTGAAACTAGCTTTGACACCCAGTTATTTGCCAGTAAGCTCAGTGCATATTCCTAAAAGGTAAGATGGCGCAGAAGTAAGCTGGATGCGAGCACACATAAACACAATATGGAACATCAGTGTGTCAAGTGTAGGACGCAGAGGGGACTTGTGAATATTGCAGAAGGCGATGTATGATAGCAATGGAGACAAGTAGGTGCGAGCAGTAGAAGGCTCCAGGGATGCCCCAAGGGCAGCAGCCCGAGCCCGACGCAGGGGCTCCAAAGACCAAGGCTAGCGAACTGGTTGACGGGTCCTGGAGCGCGGGCGATTCATTCTTGGGTTGCCCCCAGCTTCTGCAGTGCTGAAGTTAATAAGGTTTGGCACCAGACTCCTGGCGAGTTCGAAACTATGTCGTGACAGTGCGTCAGCAACGGCACAAAGTTTCCTACTTCCAAAACTTAAACCCCCAAGATAGGACTGCTAAGTGTTGGGCAACAGAACTGTTCGCACCAATGGTCAAATGAACCCGGCGAAAAAGGACCCATGGTCGAGCCAGCTGTCGGTGACGCCGAATGAGCCCCGTGTCCAGGAGGATGCGTAGCAACTGCTGGTGAGGTAGAAACTGCATCCCAGTTAAAGTACAAATCATTCGATGCACTAAGCTGAGGCGGAATGGCAGAGATGGGCTGAGGGAGTGCAAGGAATGGAGAGTGAGGGGAGGGCTGAGGAGGAGCGGAAACAACAGCAGGATACTAGTTGTATATCGATTGGGGTTGGGAAGTTTCCGTTACTGGAAGACTGGTGTAGGCAAAGTGTACGAATTGAATGAATAATTCCCTGTTGCAGATGGAGGCGAAAGTGAGGTAACTTCCTACCGTGTCACATTCCTGATACCCAGTGCGTAATTTGGAATTGGTAACACCTCTGGCACACCGCCACCTTGCAGGTCGAAGCCATGGACGTTCATCCTTCCTGGGAGTTTGCACCTGTAGAGTCTGAATACTGCACAGTTGGCACAGCAAGGGCCGGGGAATTGAGTCACAAGGCCTGAGATCCAGGTGCTGCCCTTTCGAACAGGCATATATGAGACCGTATCGGGTACGGGTATCTGTGATGATAGAGTTGGCACGTGGGCGATGGCATATGCAGGCAGTGATCCCATACTTCGGTCCACATTCCCCAGAAAACGAATCCATAGCAAGCGAGTAGAGCCCCTCTGAATTGGTCTCGAGCGTGCTGCCTCTTCAAGCACCTAGGTCGTCAGTATGCAACCCTCCTCCCACTTCCGTTACTTAAAGGTCTAGAACTCGAAGTCGAGGCGAGAGGACCATATGATTGGGTCGGTGCGTAGTTAGGATCAAATAACGGTGTTGGAGCTGCTCCTGGACTGCGTATGGCAGGAGGTGGATACGAAGTCGAAGTCCCGTGCAATGGCAGCGGTGTTCTGCAGGCGACGGAACCATCAAATGTTGAATGACACACTCAGGATGTCAATTCCTCCATCAACGGCGGCGCCCTTGCGCTTGCGAGAGGATGAGGCCGACTTGTTCAACCCAGTCGAAGTGGTATTTGGCGTAGGCAGGTCACCAGGCTCTATTAGAATAGATATTTGGCACCTAGTAGGGGCACAAGCAAGTCAAATGGTGCTAGACGGATTGGACGTTCTCACTCACGTGCGATAATTCCCTTGTCACAGTGTCAGTCTGGCCGAAGCAATCTCCTCAGGCGCCATCTTTGTTATTCGTGGGTTCGGGGCATGCATATTGTATCCCGATACCGTTTCTATGAGGCATAAGCCATCAGACGAGTTCAAAAAAAAGCCAGAAGGCTTGAGTAACGATGAAGCCCGGCGTACCGCATGTTCCACCTTGAGTTGTCGAGCCTCTGCTCGGAAGATCTCCTCTGGAAAATCGTTCCAACGATAACGCTAAGATCTTTGCTCGGAAATCGCGACAATCGGCGCCTCGCACGAGTCGTGTTGGAAGCGTTCACTTTCCCTGATCTCAACAGCGTGACTGAGGGCCCTTCTCGGAATGATCGACTCGATTTGTGCCCACCAAGGGTAGTGTGTGATTGTCATCTAAGTGGGTAGAACAGAAGATAGTATGGAGAGCAGTGTTGAAGAGGGAATATGCTTCGGGATTGGTATAAGTCATCCGGGGCGACGGTTCCTTCTGAAGCAGGAGATCTGAGTTGTGAAGGTGGAGAGTCAAGATTGGGCTGGAACTGAAATGCGCCCAGGTCGTCCTCTAGAAGGTATGGGATGGCTGGACGGGGCGATTCGGTAAATTGGTGCTTGCGGAGAATGAGAGCAGGAGGTGAAGTCACCTTCGACCGTTGAGCACTTCGTATGGAGTCCTGATAACGAATCGCAGGCAATCCGCTAGAATGATAATGAAGATCCCGACAGCGTCACGGACCCGACGACCCCGACACAGGCAGAGAAGAGCCCCGCGTACTTCAAAGAACCACGATCGAATGATCTCGAGCGCGACGTCTAGCGGCAGCATAAGTTGCAAGCGTCAAAAGACTCTGTTCAAGTTCGTTCGGTGCTCCGGTGTTAGATGGTGAGTGCAGCGATTCCTTAGCCTGCTGGTTATCACCATCGTCTCTTGGCTTTCAATATATCCAAAGCATCATCCAACCTGTCTGACTTGTCATCTACGAAATCAGTAAGGTGTAAAAGTTCGCTCACTTGCTGCCAATGATAAAATCGTCTATACGTCCCTCAGGCCATTCGAACAGCATCCTTTGATTGTCATCCCGATCAAGGGATCCTCTAGTCCCTAGACGCTGGCACTCACTCCACCTGCCCATTGAGCTGTTTACAATGACCGCGTTGAGCTACCTTCGTCGTCGGTGCTTGAGGATCAGTTTGGGAGGGCCGAGTTTTCGAAACGCTTTTCGAGTTCCTTCTGGACTCACAGATCTCAGAATCAATCAGTGTTGAAATCAGCCCAGGTCGAGTTGCGTCAAGACACCGCCCTTATTAAAATGACTTGAAATAATGTACAATCATTGTATCAGCATTTTTCGCAGTCCATCAAACGGGATGGCTAAATGCCCCAAACCTGCACCCCGTCAGCATGCCTTTCCCAATACATCAGTTGGCTTTTGCGGAAGCTTGGAAGCATCGGAAGCAAGATTCGTTGAACGAGATGTCACCTCTTCATCCACGATCTTCTTCATGGCCGCCAGCCACAGATCCACGTCTAGGCCTGGCTCTCCACAATCTGAAATCAAGGCGCTCATCCCGATATGTCGTGCATGTGCCAGCACAGGAAGGCGACGTAGTGAGCGGCCGGACATTTCCTGTGCGGGTCGTCATCAGTCATCAGTGCGACAATGTCAAGTGACGGACGCATCACCTTGCACTTCGCGGCGAGGAGCCATAAATCTACCGCAGTTCGCCTTTCGCGTTCTTTCGACGGGTTGTCAAATTTCATAGCGGCAGTACGAGAGTAGTCCTCTGCTAACTTCGCGTCAGGGATGTCCTGTCACGAAAGGCTCGGCACTATTCGAAATGAACCGAATGGGAGTCGCGTAGAACGCACTACATGCTTAATAATCCGCGTCCTCATCAACTCGCTCAGACAAGAGCTGATTATCCAGTAGATTGCATCCTGAGGCGGCAATCCTACGTATTGCACGACATCAGCCCGGTCAATGAATGCCGAATCTGTGTCATATGAGCTCAAATGTAACGACTCCTGACCGTCACTAGGCTTACCTATTGCGGAGGAGAGGTTGGAAGTTGACATGATGAGGACATTCTTGTAATGCTTCAGTTTGTCTAGTTGTGTCAAGAGGGCATTGACACTGCGTATAGCATCTGAAGGCTCATTCCCAGCCACGGCACTTGCTCGTGCAGATGTCAGGCTTTCTACCTCATCTAGAGGTTGAGAGAAAGGGAGGTGAATGACAACTGCATGAAAGGTGATGCAGGGATATGCACCAATCAATACGACCACAAATGTATCTTCATCATCCACCATTTCTGTTATCCCTTGGAATAACTTTTGAACTAATTTCCCTGACTCGGAGAACCATCGCGAGAATAAGGAATGGGCGTTCACTTCGACAAGCTTCGCATGTGAGTATCTAATCCAAAGGTAATGAGGCTTGTCTAGGGATGGAAAAAAGCATAGCTACCTCAATGATAATCTTATGGATAGCTTCTGAGCAAGGGCTCGGCACAAAGACGTTTTACCTGTGCCTGGTCTAGTCACCGATGAGAATATAATCTGAAAGTATTCCCATCTGACTTACGGGCCATGCAGCAAGACGATGCTGAGGGAAGGTTAATAAAGTGGTGACGGAACACCGGCGCCACTGACCGATTCCATGCCACAAGGTTTGCTGGAAAGAGCCTCGGACATATAAAACAGGTGTAGCGATGAATCTTTACTCACAATTCACGTTAGCATCGGAGAACAGAAAGGTAGCGTATATGTAGTTTAACAATCTCGGCTTGATATCATCTGGGTACATGAGACTGGCCGGGCATAAGTGAGCAATTCATCAGTAGTGACCGTGTGGGTACCCACCTGTCCCAGAGGCCTTCGAAACTGTGGTTAGGAAGATCGCAGACAGTGGCAGCCACGTTATCATCGCCATCCCCTCTTCCTCCACTACTCAGCTCTTCAAAGGCGTCAGCCTCGGAGGGTTGGTAAACATGCACGTCCAACACCGCGTCTTCAACGCGCAAAACCCGATGAGGGCACGCTGGCAATATGAAACATAATTATTAGACGGGTAGAAAACGGTCGACACGTTTTGATCGCTGCGTACTGCTCTCTGTTGCCTTCATGAACTCTACGTTTTGACCAAGCACTGGATGGGAGTCCCAACCTCCGACACACGAAGGAAGATATATCTGTTCATCCTGTTCTAAATGATGGCGAACGAAAGTGGCAATGGTATCAAAACGAGCCGTAGATTCTGGCTTTAAGCGCACTTCAACTGAAAAAAAGGATGTCTTATGGCAATCAAGATTGAGCGAGATCGCCGAGACGCACTATGCACTAGCCATTTGGATTGTAGAGATGACGGCTGAGAATCCATCGGGGATGCGAAGCGCGCATCTTCGTTATCGTTCATCTTGACGGGATAAGGACAAGAGCAAACAGGGAGCAAACAAACAACTTGCTTCCGCCCTGGACCCCCTACGATGAACTACCCTCCAGTTCCATACCCACCCATCGTACAGGGGCAATGTGAGGGCTCTTTGGACAGTCCACCTCTATCTCCAGGCTCTCTTGCTCGTCCATACACTGTTGATCCCTTCCAGCCGGTTGCCAGCCTCGTGTCCATCACTTCCCAGGCATCTTTGTTGCCTTCTTCGCAGCTCCAAAATCAAACAGAGGCTCTCTGTAGTGGCCTCCTAACTGATGAGACGCGTTTGACGCGTGCTAGAAACTCCGTGGCTGCACCTGATATTGGCAAATCAAACGACCACGAGACATCGCGAAGCGCCACGCCGCTCGATCAACTCGGTTCTGGTTTCATTCCTTTGGCTCCTCCTGCACACATCCTATCTTCTTCTGATCTTGCTCTTGCTCGCATTGACTCCGGAAGCCGTGAAAACACTCCTCCGAGTTCTGCTTCTTCGTCCCCTCGCACTCCATTCCAAAAGGCTCGAAATATCAATGTGAGCGTTTGTCAAATCCTGCCACAAAACCAGGACTCTATGATCTGTCATATAGCAAGACCCAACCATCTATAACCCTGACCTGGACCTGCTGCCAATTAAGCGCATGCATGATGAGGTCCGCTCGCGTTGCTTGTTAGAGATGCAACGCAACTGATGAAGTGTCGCAAGCAGGAAAATGTGCCGACACTGGAAAAAAAGCATGGCCTTGATCTAGTGCCTGGAACACCCCCCGTGGAGAAGCGCCAGAAAGTTACTCTGGTAGGAGTCCAACTGGTCTCTGGTAAACAGAATCTCACGTCACCTCAGCATGCGAAATCGAAAGTCTCGTCGACTCGCCTAACTCCTGCTGCTTATTCTTACTCTCAGCATAAGAAACTATCTCAGCCATTCCGCTCTCCCCTAGATAGCTCGAAACTCCTACAGTGCAACCGAGACACCGAGTCTTCTACTACCAAAACCTCAATCAAGTTTTCAAGTATCTCGGCGTCTTCATCTCCAGTATCTCTCAGCTCATCGCCAACAACTTCCAAAAAACCAAACGATGCTAATACAAATCATCCCTACTCCCGCACTCCAGTTGCCTCTAAATCCTTATCACAACCCTTCAGATCACCGCTCCTTGCCCGACCCAGTGGAAAGGGGACTTCTATTTCCGTGCTGAGCAAGTCTAGGGGCTCAGTCAAACGAAAGATCCAAGCGTTAGAAAAGAAGATAAATATATTGCGCCAGGCGCGGAAGCTACGTCTTGCTGGGTAAGCGTGCCAAACATACATGCTAATTTCCGGGTTCCCAACCTCGGTTGACCCTAATTATCAGAGTAACTGAGGAAGTTGAAGAAGGGATGAAGAAGTGGAGAGATGCTGCGCGGGAAGCCGCAGACGAACTTTGGAGGCTTACGCAATCCGATACGATGGGTGGGATGCTCATGTCCCCGTCCGCCGGTGGCTTCGCGTCAAATCGGAGCGATGAAGAAGAGGATGACATTCTTCAAGAATTTAAAGAAGGATTCCAGAAAGGCTGGGGATGGGCAAGTGATTTACCCAAAGAGAGCGACAACGAACAAAGGGACAATGAGGAAGCAGTAAATGACCTGGAAAATTGGGAGCCGCCTTCTCCGTATTCTCTCATCAGGGATCTTGCAAAACGTGGATCCAAGGCAGTGCACTCTGATGGATGGGATCTCGGTGCCCCGTCCGCCAAGGCATATCCGTACCCCCCTACAGAAGATGAGGATACTGAAAAGGAAGGAGTGAGATCACAAGGGTGGAATATTGGAAGCATGTTAGTGTCTCTCGGAATTAACCCAAAAGGGACTCTTGGGTGGAATGACGAAGAGGAGGATTTTGCAAATGATGATCCGCATTGAGATCCGATGCAGGCTATATCATTTCTTGGGACTTCGTGCTAGATTGTGTTTTCTGCTATACTTGCCTAATGCTGCCAATTCGAAGTTGCTGAAATAAGCGCCGAGCGTGGGGAGTTGCACGTGCGTGCGATTTGGAGCCCGGCGTTTGTGGCTCTCTCCATGTCATCATTCCAAGGGTAAATACTAGTACAATTCTGGGCAGATCTAACCGTTTGTTGTCGTCGAGGCTGATGTGAAAAAATTCAGAAATGTTTCCCTATACCTGGACCCACAAATCCGTGATTGGGTTCTCTTTCCAATCACGCTCGTCATGGTGTGTACGCCTGTCGAAGATTCGAATCTCCCCACATGCCTTCTCTGTACCTCTTTGGTTATCGGTTTCTTGCATGACTCTGACTACGCGGCGGCCGACTTTTCACTAGATTCTGGTTGGAATCCTGCGGCACTATGTTACCCTCCTCCTCAACTCTCCACCAAAGAAACAGTTGTTACTTGCCATTAGGGAGCAGTAAGTATTATCTTGCTCCTTTTTCTACTGATCTTGTATGCTTACTCCTTTTCCTTCTACTGCACCCCGCCTATCACTTTCTGACTGTTCATCACACAATTATTAGACGGGCCATTTCTCGCTCTCAGATACTTCGAGCCACATCCACGTCCTCCCCCCTTCCACCGCACCTCTATCGCACCATTTCATCACATCTCTACACCGCATTTACCGAAGGGACTTACCTAAAAGACTCTGAATTGTCAGAAGAAGAGAAGAAAGAAAAGGAAGAAAACCCTCCAAATCCACTCACTGATCCAGGTACTATGGATGGCATGGTGGAAGGGCTGAAGAAGCAAATGGTCATGATGGTGCCGCAGATGCTCATTATGGGATGGATCAATTTCTTCTTTCAGGGTTTCGTTTTGAGTACGTTTCCAGCACGTTTCCCCCCCCCCCCCTCCGCACGGAGCACTCCCTCCCATGAGATGGCCAAGCGGAAGGAGTCCTTCTCCCTGTTACTGACATTGTGCCTTAGTTAAACTCCCATTCCCGCTAACGCTTGGCTTCAAATCAATGATGCAGCGTGGCATCGAGACTCCCGATATGGACGTTCGTTGGGTTTCTTCTCTTTCATGGTACTTCCTCAATTTTTTCGGCCTCAATGGACTCTTTCGGCTGCTTCTCGGGTCAGAAAATGGTCAGTATATTGATCCGTTCCGGTTTCTTTTTGTCCAAGCTATTGGCTGAATGCCAATTGTTTCCTACCCATTTATGCACTGCCCTTCCTACAGCCGCAGACTCAACGTCAGATATGGCTGCTCAGGCCTCCCCATTCGGCTCCGTGCTGTCTGGAGCTAACGCACCGCCAGCCGTCGGACCAGGGGCCCCGGATTACAAGAAACTTTTTGCTCAGAAAAGGATAATCTGCAGTTTGCAGAGGGGCAATATAAGTGGGTTTGCGATGATGTAGAAATCAGAGTGTTGGAGCAATGGGGTAAGATACCTGCTATAAGGTGACCCTAGTATAGGTGCATTCGGCTATGCCTCCGTGTAGGTGTTTCCTGTTCCGTTGGACGTTGTGATATAGGGATTATTATTATGATTTTAAGGACAAGAACTCAAGGATTGCGGCCATGTCATATTGAGGGCAAGTTACGATGCATTCGGCCATTGCTCCGTACAACCTCGTCTATTTGTGTCGTGATATAGGGGTTATCGTTATGATGGAGGTTCAAGGACGTGGTATTAAATCTCCGCATAGAGCGCTTACGTTCAGGAGTGGTGGCCAACTGATAAGCGACACAGCGGCGGCCAGCAAGCGCTGGGTCTTAGCTTGGCAATATTCGTGGCCCCACGCACGTGCGAACTCTCACGTTCATCTCACTCGGCAGCGGGAACGCCGGAAAGAAGCTTCCACCCAATAATGGCGGAGCATGACCGTTGGATCAAAACAAGTTGGGGCGCGTGGTTGATTGCATCGGTCTATCCACAGATGTCTACACAGCAAGTCGTTTTGAACTTCTAATCTCAGTTCAAGGCCTCGATCAACATTGCGATACTTAGTCGAACACCGCTGGCTTCGACTGTTGAGTGTGACTCCCCTACTTCTAGTATAGAGGCTGGGTCCTGTCTACGACGCCCCCCTACTTTAATACCAGACTCTTCTTGTTTCTTTCCATCTCGAAACTTCACTGTTGCGGCTCTTTAGCATAGCAAAACCAATCCTGCCAGCGACCCGCTATGAATCCCGAGGCTGTCAAGAACAAGATCAACCTTGAGAATGGGAATGTATGTTTTCCGCTTGGTTTCGATCAACAATGCTAACGACAATTTGTAGCTCGTTATTGGTGCGTATCACATGAAGCCCTCACACTTGCGATGTGACGAGACCGGACGGGACTCTGACCCTTCTTTTATAGTCGCTAGTCTTACCGTCTTGATCTGGGACTGGTTGATCTGTCTGGACCGTGAAGTAAGATGATCAAGAGGTTCGAAGGGAGTGAAGGTGTGATTGACGCTTTTCAACAGCGGCGACATTTCTGGGGATCGAAGCCGAACGCGGGGACCGTCCTATACTTTCTTGTGAGTAAGCTAGTAAGCTATGTCGGCGTGTTACGTGGTTGTGCTAAGACCGCCCCCTCCTTCCAGAATAGGTGATTCTTATTGATACAGGCATAGGCTTGAACAAATCTGACTTTGGGGAGCGTTAATTAGAGGGGTTTCCATGCTGGGCGCCATCTTACATCTCCAAAGTGGGTATTTGGTACTATCATTGTATTGGGTTTGTTTCTGATCATTTCTGTATCGATCCAGCATCAATGTACAATTTTGCTCCTCATACGCAACTTAAAGTACGCTTAAGCATCTCTAAAGCCCTACCCCGTCGTGCTCAAACTCGTTCGTTCCCCTCCTCAGCTATGTGGACCTCTGTTCCACACCGTTACCTCTCTGGCCGCTCTCAATATTGCAATCGTACAGGGTATGCACAGTCACGCCTTCCCCGCCGCAAGAGGGAAGTTGACTACCGTTCGTTATAGTTATCTTAACGATGCGTACATATGCATTGTACAGTTGCAACAAGGTACTCTTATGGACGCTTCTCGTTCTCGTCATGGTGCGTGTAATGTGTCAGACTTCAAAATACACCCTCTGACGTTATCGGATTGATTCAAAATCGGTTAGGGTGGATTGCTGAACCAAGTGCTGTCCATGTGGCTCGGCCCGTCGATAGGTATGGGCTGTATGTTTGCGACATTGATCTTGCCCTCTCATGCTTCGAATTAGTCATCATAAACTCTCAGCCAGCTCCTTATACTGGGTGTCTCATTCGCCTGCCCACATGGTCATGGGAGCGACTCGTTCCGGTTATGGTCTTTGAAGCCTGTATGTCTGACTCCGTCATACTGGTTTGGAGCTGTTAATGATGGTTTTAATTTTTTAGTGTCTATAATACTGTTCACGATCAAGTTCTATTTTTACGTCAAGGTGGGTTCAATGGGTGTAGTACCCAGGATGTTGTTCCGCGATGGTAAGATTGTTTCTTTGTCTTTCATCTCCAAATCACGTCTACATATATCATAAATAGGCTTTATTGGGTTTCTTGGTGAGTGGCAAGCGCGAAGCTCAGATCGACAACTCATTCATTTGAATGCTTACGCTGCATTAGCCACTTCCAGTACGAATCTATATTTTCACGGGGAATACATGCTTACATGCCGTTACTTAGTATGTACATCTATTGGACTACTTGTCCAGATTTTACGGCCAGTAAGTTCGCTACAATTTGACGCCAATCTGAGTCAAAACTTACTATGCTCATTCTCATCTTAGCGACCATTGCTTACTTTCGGCGTTGCGTAAGTCGGAATAGAGAGCACAATTCTTGACAGGCATTCTAACTCTCGCCTAGTCTCACTCCAGTGGTTCCCACCCTCGTTTCAGCCCACATGCTCCTCGATATTAGGGATGTTATGAAAGTTTCTTCTCCAGTAGCCAAGCCGACTCCCCCGACACAATCTCGGTTCCGAAGTTCCCAGCCACCCGGGGGTCTCGTAAGGGGGAGCTTCTCAGGTCAGCAAGTTGATGATGCTGGCCTCCAGAGCCTGGTGCCTGATTTAGAGCGGAGGGGTGTAGACAGTGGAGGAAAATGGATCGAGGACCACGATGACGATGACGATGACGACGACGATGATGACGATGATGACGACGGCGACGACGGCGACAATCGTCGCGACCGGAGAGGATATCACAAGTTTGGGAATGCGGATTCGCTCGAGGAGAACTGGTACGAGATGAACGCTCGGCCATCTGAGACCCGGTACAATCTTAGAGGGACAGCGCCCTCTCTGGACGAAGTCCAACTCCAAGTGAAGGAGCACACCCAGCATTACCCGTTCCTGTAGCACTACCAGCGTTCCCTTCTAGTGTTATCCGCGGCAACGAAGAAGCTGCGGCGGGCAGCAGTGTTGGAGGGCCATACCTTCTTCCCCAAGAACGGACATATCCTTCGCGGGCTGGTGGAAGACGGTTGGAGACGATCCTTTCCCAGCGTTCGGAGGAAGGCGATGTGATTGATATTCAGCAGTGAGAGATAAGAATGAGTCTGCTTGGTGGTAGGGATTTTTTGGGAACATTTAGCGTTATACCCACTCCTTTTTTTTATTACATTTTAATTCACAGTCTGTTTCCTTATATTGCTTTGCTTTACTAACCCCCCGGTCCCGTTCATCTTGGTTAAGGATGACTGTTTGTATTGTTGCATTTCGAGGCTCAGATCTGGGAAATGGTACATGAAGTGGTTGACGATCGGCCCAGAGCCGTGAGAATTACTTGGTTCATGTGAAAGTTGAGGAGCAATTCAATGGGATTGTTCAATGGGGTAACAGTACGGTAGAGTACAGTCCCTGTCTCATTTGGGCTCTCCTCGCTTTACAGTAACATTCCCCTCTTATCCTGACCGCTCATCATGAAGGAGTTTACTCTTGAACAAGTTGCTCAGGTATGGGTTCACACGTGTCCCGTAAATAGAGTTTAAGCGCTCATTCTATTCCACCTTGGGCCTGATGCCTATCGGTTGTGCTGGGAATGCATGCCTGGGAACGTAGCATAACAAAGATGGGGATCTGTTCATTGTAGTCGATGCTAAAGTCTATAACCTGTCAAGGTTTGCAGGCTTACACCCTGGAGGGAAGGCCGTCCTTCTGGACGATGATGTTCGTGAGTTGTGTTCATGCGTGGCAGGCTTTCCCGTTGCACGCGACTACATTAAATGATGTCATACGCTTGTCAATGTCAAGGCGGAAAGGATTGCACGGACCTCTTCTATTCTCTTCATCGTTCAGAGGTGCTTCTCCGACCTCAATACGGTCGTCTTCAGGTTGGAGTCGTCAAAGGGAAGACGGAAAAGCTCAGGCCTCTTCCAGCGGGTTCGCTTAGTCCAGTTCCTTACGGAGGTGAGCACGCGTGACGTGTTCGTTCGAATCTGTCTCATTCACTTCGATCGAACATCCTCAGAACCTCAATGGCTAGTCAAACCGTTCAAGTCGCCGTATTATAATGAGAGCCACCTCCGACTTCAGAGAGAGATGAGGAAACTGTGTGATGAGGTGCATTGTTTCACTTCAATCATCATTTTTAGTGCTTCACCAGTTCTTCCTGCTAGGTTATAATACCAGAAGCCCGGAGAGCCGAGAAAGCAGGGGAGAGAGTCTCACAAGAAGTCTTAAACGAACTTGTGTGGGTTTGTGTTCTGTCAGTGTACACTCCCTTTGCTCACCTGAGCCATTTTGAAAGGAAACGAAACCTCATTGCTATGCGCTTTGGTCCGGGCTCACACCTCAAAGGCCGTAAACTCTTCACCGACATAGACCCCTCCGCGTATGACTACTTCCACGAGCTTATCATCCACCAAGAAATATGCCGATGCGGTCTTCGCGGGTTCATAAATGGCCTCTCCTCCGGCGCTTTGATAGGTCTTCCACCGGTGCTTCATTTCTCCAATGACAAAGAGTTAGGAGAGAAAGTGACGAACGAGGTTTTCGAAGGAAAGAAGTGGCTTTGTTTGGCTATTTCGGAAGCGTTTGCGGGTAGTGATGTTGCCGGAATCAAGTGTACGGCCAGGAAGAGCGAGGATGGAAAGTTTTGGATCGTAAATGGAACGAAGAAATGGATTACGAATGGGATGTTCTCAGATTACTTCACGGTAAGCTTGCCAAGCCTTCCTTTCGCTCGGGATTTATATAATTCACTGGATGCTCATAAACTCGTATCCAGACTGCGTGCAGAACTGGTCCTGTCAGTAGCGTTTGTTTTATTCCACAACACCTCCCATTCTTATTGAATTACAGAAAGGATTCACGATGCTGCTCATTCCTCGCGGGCCGGGAGTCAGTACGACGTATATCAAGACATCTTACTCCTCTGCTTCCGGAACAGCATATGTCACGTTCGACAATGTGCGCGTACCAATCAATCACACGCTCGGCGAAGTAGATCAGGGGTTTAAGATCATCATGTCCAATTTCAATCACGAGCGGTGGATTGTCATTGTTTTTTGTGTGCAGTTGATGCGAAACGTCGTTGATGAGACTTTGAAGTGAGTGTGGATTGGCAGCTCAGATGGGCAATGTGGCCTATCGGCGCAATGGAGTCTGAAGTTTGTATCTGATGGAACTGTCCTTTAGGTGGGCGTCACAGCGCATCGTCTTTGGCAAACCCCTTATTGAGCAGGCGGTTGTTCGCCACAAGTGAGTAGGGACAACTCCATACCTTCGCTGCCGCATACCCACTTGGAGCGTAAACCAGGATTGCGCATATGATCAGCGGCGTTGAGTCGTCCCAAACTTGGTTGGAACATATAAGTGAGCCCCAATTTTTCTTGCTTCTAGGTCGGCGTCTAACCAATTAAAATTTTCACCTTATCTAGCCTATCAAATGAACCACATGGTGGGTACGAGAAATTGGAGACTAAAGAGGGAGAACATTGATGTTGTTGAATGATTCGGTTCAGTCATACGCGGAACAAGCGAAGCATCTTGCTGGGTGAGTTTCATACAAAAATGTTCCGGTTCGTATTGGAAGACTCACTTCAGCCAAAAATGTGAGGCCTATGGCATTATTGAAGCAGAATACGACAAAATTTGCGCAGGATATTGCCCGTGATGCTACCCAGGTAGGTTTTTGACTGTGTTTTATTTACTCCATCTCTAAACTGTCTGATCCTTTGCCAGATATTTGGCGGCCGAGCGGTAAGTCCTGATCTTCGTCTCACAGCACCACCGGCAGCGTACCCAACCTATTACTCCCACCTTTGAACCATAGATCACGCAAAGTGGCTTGGGGGATCTCATCGAGGAGTTCCATCGAACCACTCCGTTTGATGCAATATTGGGTGGCGCAGAAGACGTCATGGCAGATTTAGGCGTCCGTCAGGCTCAGAAGTTCATTCCGAAGAATGTTAGACTCTAGCAATGTCACCTCTAGCATGCGGGATGGGATCAAACTGTGTTTGTGTTAACCGTTTTTATCCTACTAATCGTAAATTGCCTGTATGGCTTCGGGTGTCGGAGTCTTGTCCATCCTCAACATGTACATAAATATGTACTATGAACAAGGCTGATTGACAGCAGTCGACGGTTCCAAATCTTTTCACTGCCCCTAGGGTCTTTCCACAGTTGCATCTCCCTAGCGGCTCATTGAAAACCAGATCAAGATCAACAAAGTTACGTGTTAAGATACTCGCAACAATATTGTCGGGCCCTGGAGAGAGAATGCACTCACTTCTAATTCTGATTGCGCGTGATTGCAGACGAATACATTCGGCCAACTCCGGGCCGATAATGCATTCACATCACGTTATCATCAACCGACCGTGTCACCCCTGCCACACCACACAACCTTTGCGTCTAGGCAAATAGTCGTAGGGGTGATTCAGGGATCTCCCTTTTCATTTTCACAACGCTGTGTCACGCGCAATTTCAACAGAAGGAAGTCCGCACGAGCTCAACAGGTGCTGTGGACGGTTGCCCAGTCATCTCATGCGAGAAGAATAAGAGTGTGGATCCCTTCCAATGCACGCTTACGAGCTGGAATGCTGTTAGCGTTTCCCTAATGCTACCCATTCCGAAGGATGCAGCACCACATCGTTGACGGCCCACGGGCATTTAACCAATGTAGTGAACTGTGCGGCAACTTCATCCTAGCAACCCCAACCCCATCTATGGTGAAGCAGACTAGTAGAGCTGGCTCGATCAGTTGACTACATTCAAATTGAATTCATATCCTGACTTGCCATCGTGCGGAAGGCGAAAATCCAGACACAATTCCCTTTTACGATGTCAGTCTGGAGCCCTCGTCAAAAGGTGGGGGGAAGCAATAATGGTTCGAGTACCCAGGTTTGTCCCTAACACCTTCGTTTGATCGTATTTACACCTTTAAGTTACCCCCAATCACACTGGGGAGCTGATTTATCTTGCTGGAGGGTCCGGGAGTTGGACTACACGTCCTTGGGGTATCTGGATCGTGTTATGGGTCACACGAAGTCGTGTCTCTCAATCGGGGTGGATACTCATGGTCGATACAGGCGGGAGTGACGTTCTTGTCAACATATGGAACATTCAAGACTGGATTTTTGTCCGCACCATAGCGAATGCAGAGTAAGAGAATCTGCAACAGTGGTCTCCGCGTCCTATGCTCCAGACATCCGGTCGTTGCTACAGCATTCTCATTGATGGAGAGTTTGTTACTAGTTCTTCTGAGAGCAACTATATTGACATTGACATTGTGTGTCCTTAAAATCTTCCTATTCCAGCCCCCTGTAACGATATTCGCTTGTCGTCCAGACTGATTCTGAGACGGGGCTGCACAACACCAGGGTCCCTCAACGAGTCAAGGTCACATCGTTGGCTTGGCACCCCATACAGTGGCCTCTATTGGGGGGAGAAAAGGGGAACCACGGATCAGCTTGTTACATGAGTGAACACCGCTTCATGGAGCGATTTCTAATTCAGCGCGTAAAGGAATCTGGGCGATGCGTTTGATTCATGATGATCTCTGATTCTGGTAGCCAATAACTAATCATCAGAAGCGGGTCAGCTATCCATGGCCATAGGGCTCGGAAAGCACCGCATCCCGTTCGATCTGCGAAGTTAAGTCGAGTGCCGCACAGCTAGTACCATAGTAGGGGACTACATGGGAATCCTGAGTGTTGTGGTTTTGTTTTCCCTTTTATCAGTTTCTTCCTTGCCTTCTCAATTCCAAACTTCATAGCTTGGCTGATCGACTACATTCACCCCGTCAACTTTCGAAGTCGGATTCGATAACATGTATACTTGCCCAACTTTCCCCTGAGCATAACAATTGATGCTAACATTCGCATTTCAACAGCCTTGTGGCCGGTGTCGAATGGTTAATAGAATGGCTGTCAATTTCAATCAAATAAGTGTTGGAAAAAACAGCGTTGGTAGGTGTTTGTACGGTGGATGGCAAACCGGTAAAGTATATACACTCGACGTAGGCAACAATAAGTACATGATTCGGGCTTGATTTTAAGCAAGGCAGCTTATGTTTGTTAGCAGGGGCCCTCCTCGATGATCTGCCCAAGTTTCCCTCAGTTGGTTAAGCGGCCAATTGCCATGCTGCAGTGGCTAACCGCGTTTTGTAAGCCTCCTGTCTATTGCGTGCTCTGTACACATGAGTTTTTCTTGTATGACAATCTACTATTGTTGGATTCGATTCAGGCGGCGACCGGCCATGATGCCTGAACCACCTTGTCCTGTTCCGTTACGGACATTTCATCTCCAAACACTGTGGGACTTGTAATGAGCTGGAGAATAAAATTATACCCATCGAAAAGAAAAGAACCATTAAAATACAAGATCGACGTGTAGAACAAGCATGTCGTGAGGATTGTAGGATATAGGATGATGCTGCACTAAGGGACGAGAGCAAGGCCAGTTCTAGTCTGATTTCTTCTTTTTCTTTGCCTCTCCATCACCGTCCTCCGTCTGCGCTTTGAGAGCCCGTGCGGCTTCCTTGGCGGCCCTCTTCTCAAGCTTTCGCAGCCGTTTTCTTTCTTTCTCCTTTTCCTCGTCTTCGTCCTCATTGTTATCGGCACCATCTACTTCCATCCTCTCCCCCTGATCGTCATTGGAATCTTCCTTCCTAGCCTTCTTGCCTTTTTTCGCCTCTTTCGCGGCGCGATTCTCCTCCTTCCTCTTTAAGCGGTCCGCCTTCACCTCTTCAGCTGCCTTAAGAGCAGCTTTGACGGGTTCAGGGGGGAGGGCAGGTTGACGGAGTCCGCAGCAGTGTTATACTTAGCGGTGGCTGGACCACCACTCATCTCGAACTTGGGGTGATTCCTCGATACCCGACCTCGTTGTCCTGGTGCTGGATTTAGATCTGATCGGTACGATAAAGCACGAATGCGACTCTCGAGTTTGGCGCGATATGCAACGCCAATGGATGGCGCCTGGTCATCAGACTTTGTGTTTACATCGGCGATAGCGTCTACGCGGGCAGAGAGAGATGTCTTGGTAGCAAGCATGCGTGACATCTTGCCCTTAAGTTTGGGAGGAGTTTGGCTAACAAGTGAAGCCTGGGCGATGTTAGAGCGTCGACAGTGACTTAGTGGATGGGGACGCACATGGTACAATAGGCCATACTTAGGAGTGTTGTGTTTTGCCTTGAGAGCTCGGAACAGGGCTTTCTCGGCACCGAAAATTTGTACAGTGCTCGCAGGTTGTTTAGCAAGGTTGTTCAAGCTGCCCGCATGGCTTATCAGACGGGCGCCAATGAACTCACCAACTAGGGCGGTGAGGTTGGGAGCAATGGCATGCATGCGATTTTGCAGGTACTCGCCCAACTGTGAGCGATATTCGGTGATAGAGATAACCTGGTCACAAAGGTGTCGGATATGCTCCATGTCACCTTCGGAGATTTCACTACCCATACTGATTTCAGAGGAAGCTTTGACTGCGGCTTCAAGGTCCTCAGGCAGTATGTCAGCAAGGGATGTTATGGCCGCATTTGTACGGATTCCTAACAAGCAAAGCATAAGGGAAGTTTGGAGGTAAATTGGCAGTGGCGTACCCAGGGTTTTGACCACCTTGGCGTATGCCAGATTATCAACAACGATTTTGCCCATCTCGGGGAAGTGCCAACCGTACCATTCCTGAAATAAAATTAAAACAGAAGGTAATAGAATCTGATCTGATGAAGGTGCAAAGAGGGGAGTCTCACCTTAATTCGCATGGAGTACACATTAATCTCTTTATCCAGATCATCGATCAGAGCAACAGCTTGAATAACCATCGTGTCAATTTTGTCTGGGGAGAATTTGAGCTTGAATCTAGGAGATCATGAGAAGCACGTTGTTTTTTCTTCGAGCGGCGAATGAACACACCTCGACAAGGAGTGACTGAGGCCTAAATTCATGGTGGCCATATCCTGTGGATTAAGACCATCTAACAGGGTAGCCAGCTGCCCGCGAATTCCCCGGAATAGATCAAGCGATGTACTGTCTGATACGACATCGATTCCGAGCTTCTTGTGTATGGAAGATGCTGTATAAAAGACAACCAAGTAGTGAGGGGAGTTTAGCGCGGGATTTCAATCGAACAGCGAGAATAGCTCATCGTTCACCTAATGTTTTATCAATAACGGCCAGCTTGTCCTTTTTCCCCCTTTTTACGACCTCATCTGTGAGGAAGTCTTGGAGTGCTTTCGATAGTTTGCCTTCCTGCATTGCGGTGATGTCCTCGACCGCATCGGCGGTGGAGCCAAAGCGGTGAATGGCCTTTAGTTTTATGCTAGCGCCCCAAAGGAGACCGAGTCATACGTAGAGCACTGCAATAAGTACCAAACCTCTACACAAGGTTGAGAGGGAGATATTCTTACGCTGCATTTGCCCGTTCTGGAGTCTCGAACTCCTTCCATATGTCCGTGCTTGAAAACTTTCCTTCATTAAACTTAAATAGACAGAAACCCAATGGGGTCTCAAAGAGTACTAGCATGTTGAAGATTGGGATCCAATGTTAACTGCTTGAAAAAATAGACCGAAGAAGCTTTCAATTGAACAATTATCGGAATACGCCGATTCGCAATGGCGTGTTTTTTTTTTTTTTGTGGAGTGCGGTATGTCAATGTGTGGTGTAAAAAGACGGAATAACATACAGTGCAGTCAGTATTATACGCAATAAGGAGATAGGCAGTAAATCCAAGCAACCAATAGATCACGAGTGACGCGATGAGATCTCAAACTCTGATCAATCCGTTATCTATACCTGTCAACGACGACCGCATGATATTGCTGTGGAAGATGCAAGGAATGGTTGACACTGGGGCCTTTAGCCCTGGCATGTCGCATAGCCGACCCTCGTCCAACGGTTCCATGAGTGAGCCCTTGCAGAGTCATTGTGTCGCTCAGTCCAAAGGCGGCAATACTCTGCTGGGCATCTCTAAATTCCTTCTCCTCAACGCGATCAAGACGTTGTCTGTGTAGAATTTCTGCCCGTATCTCAGCTTGACGTTGAAGCTCATAGTCTGAGTCATCGCTCAAGAAGTCTGTGAAGTCTGACGAACCGCCCGCGGTGCTGGACCCCCCGTCATCAATACTATAAGAGCCTACGGAGGTAGCAGAGCCATCAGAGCTATCTGAAGAAGAGGATGAGGTGGAGTGATTAAGGGGGTTGGAGGTGGAAGATAGGTGGTTCGATGGCATGCTGGATGTAAGCGCCAGGCCTTGCAGAGCACGATCCAAAGCGTGCACGCGTGCCAAATCTTCTGAAGACAAAGTGCTGCGATCTGCTGCCACCATACCCTCCATAGGTGTCCGGACTGCGGGTGGAGTCGCATTCCTATTTGCTTCTGGCATGACGACTGGGACGTCAATCGACCGAGGCGATGCATTTGGCCGTATGGATGCGCGGTTGCGGAGAGATAGCGTCGCGTCTTCTCTGGGGTAGAAGGCGCTTTGGTTTTGGATGGCGATGGTGGTACGGCGCGGTGTGGACGCGTCCGGCTCAACCGGGGGGAATAACGACGGATGTTGGAGGCCACAGTTTCGCGAGGAACCACAAAGGAGGATCTCTCGACGGTGACAATGTCTGATTGGGGAGCAAGACGCTGCCGGGTGGAAGCTAGCTCATTATGTTGACGGGCGGGCGGTGTGGTTGGTTCGTCAGGAGAACCGGAGCTGCTGTTTTTGTAATGGGTTGGTGTTCCGGTTCCCTTATTAGAGCGCGCTTGCGCTTGCGCATCTTTTGATGCCGTAGCCACGATCGGCGGCGTACTGGGGCGCTCGCGTTTACCGTTACCAAAAGCGAGTGGACTGCTTGATCGGGGAACCGGGTCCGTCGCGACTCGAGGTGGCTGCACACGACTGTTTGGTGAATGAGACCGTGGCACCGGCCATGTTGTCATTGGCTTTGCCGTGGGGGAAGATCGGAGCTTTATGCATGGCTCCTCACGCATTGAGGGTGACGACGAAGAATCTCGCGAAGTTTGCGGGGTGCTGCCCTTGTGCCCCTCGTTGGAAGACGCAACGTGTGATAATTTGAAGATAGAGCTGACGGCCGGCCAGTCGGCTTTATCTATGTAGAGTTGGTAGTCTTGGGCGGAGGGGGGGCGACCTGACGAAAGGAGGTGCGAAGATGAGAAGAGGGGGAGGTCCCAAGGGGCTGCGGTACCCTTAAGGGGGAAGATCTACGTACAGCAGCCGGGCCAACCAGGATTGCTAAGACGGTCTCTTTGGGTTCCGTCTGGATGCCTTTCAGCCCACTATGATGGACGAAGGGCATGAGGCGTACACGTGTAGGTCATTAGGACAAGTACATAACCAAATAGAATCAGCAAAGTACAACTGACCTTGCAGTAACCACACCCATTGAAGGTGTTTATCTCAGCGTTGCGATAGTGAATAATGTTCGCTCCTCGAGGATGATTCTCACGGCTCTGACAGATGCCCATCGCTTGCACATGGGGACACGCTGTTCGAGACTTCTGATACACCAATTTGGTGACAGCGCACATCTTACATGTGGCTGTCTGGTATTCGACGGAATCTTCAGCGTAGCACATATGGTGAAGTACGGGTCAGCGGAGATGTCTTGGGGCGAGTGAGGGATACTTGTAGGCGCTTGGGTTAAGGGAGAGGAAAGAAACATGTTGCGATTCAAAAGTGGCCGGGGTTTTTATACATCTTGACTGATATTTCACCCTTTCAGTGCGACGCAGCTGCCTGGTTTTTTGAGGTTTTATTTCCCGACGATGCGGCCTGGGCAGCTCTTTCTTAATCATCTTCAATGTTCCTGAGGTAACTTCGGTCCATCAGTTAGAAATACATTTCAGACTCTCAGACAGAACCGGCCAGAGGAGAACCAGCCAACCATATCTGGCATCAGTGCAACTAATGGACTGCCGTTCACTTCCGAGGTGGTCTCTCCAATGATTCTAGGTCGAACATGGACTGTTCGAGAAACCCTTGACGATGGTCGTTCATCAGGAGCTTGCAACCCGCACAAAAACCGTCTGCTCATTCTTCGCCATCCAGGGTACCCGCAACACACAGACACGTGGAGACCGTACGTCCAAACTCCGCCTCTTGGGTTGCTTGGCCCCTTTTGAGAGTTTGTCAAGCTGGTTTCCCTTTTGTGGCCGAGGAAACTGCCGAATATTCGTTCTGTATGATACTCACAGCACTTTCGGGCGACGGCCACTGGTCCGCGGAAAAGCCTTTCGCATACCTGTTGCAGATAGATGACGTGAAGATATTGCTTGACTGCGGGTCTCCAGAATGGTGCACGGAAAATGGCCAAGCAGATTGGACATCGTATACCTCGGCGCTTAAAGCGTGAGCCTCGCTCAGCAATTACCCTAATTGTTTGATAGACACCCTTCTACAAAGCATTGCGCCATCAGTTGATCTTGTCCTGTTCTCACACGGGGATCTGAGCCACATCGGCCTTTACGCGTATGCCCATTCCAGGTGGGGGTTACATGCCCCTGCGTATGCCTCATTACCCGTCCAGGCCCTTGGGAAACTTGCCGTTTCCGAAGAGGCGGAAGGCATACGGTCTGAGCAAGACGTGGAGCAGCAAGAAATGCCCGCTGGAAACCAACCGGACGGAGAAGCACCTGATAATGAACACGCGTCTACCGCCAGTAGCAAGCCCTTGATTCCTACACTCAAAGAGATATCCATAGCCTTTGATTCTCTCATCACCTTGAGATACTCTCAACTTGCTCATCTCTCTGGTAGTTGGTTTCTTTTGTTATTTTAATGCCACTGAGCCCCACGACATTTAGGCAAATGTCAAGGATTAACCATTACGCCATACGCCGCTGGCCATACACTCGGTGGCACAATATGGAAAATTCGATCGGCATCTTCAGGCACTATCATGTATGCTGTGCATTTAAACCATATGAGCGAGCGGCATTTGGATGGCACGGTGCTTATCAAAGGGGGCGTCAGCGGAAGTTCAGTCTTCGAGCCCCTTGCTCGGCCAGATCTCCTAATCACCGATGCCTCACGCACTCTTCTGACGGTTCCACGACGGAAAGATCGCGATGCTGCTCTGCTAGGCATGTCTATTGATCTTCATCAACTGTGCGATTCATCTAACAATGGTCGCTTCTTCAAGAAACCATCACTACTGCATTGGAAAATTCCCATTCGGTCTTCCTCCCCTGCGACTCTTCAACTCGCTTACTGGAGCTTCTTGTTTTACTAGACCAACATTGGACATTTGCCCATCTGCGAGTGCCGATGTGTCTCATTAGTCGAACTGGGAAAGAGATGTTAAGCGTCATCCGAACTATGGTTGATTGGATGGGTGGAGCTATTGCAAGAGAAGACGTCAGTGTGCCGGTCAGTCGGTCCGGTCAAAGAAGACGAAACGACTACGAGGACGATCTCGTTAATCCTGCACTCCGTTTACGGTGGGTTTCATACCCTGTCAACCATCACATCGCGTCTCATGTCCTCCCTCATTGCTTCGTTGCTCATCATTACGTGTGTCTGAACGGATTTGCCGTACCCACTTTCGCCCAGTTATCTCGAATGTTTCTCCTCTCCAGACGCGGTAACCCGGAAGTATCCATCGAATATGCCGAAACTCATTCTCGCTGTCCCACTAAACCTTTCGCATGGGCCTTCTCGACAGTTTTTCACTGAACTTGCCTCTGTTACCGGAAACCTTCTGGTTCTAACGTCCCGTGGTGATCCGGGCACACTGACTCGCTTGCTGTACGACCAGTGGCATGCCGCTCAGAAAAACGATCACACTCTAAAAGTTGGGGAACCGATTGATGGGACTGGCGAAGTTTTAAATGTAGTGGTAAGCATAGGCATACTGTTGTTGCCTCCAAACCTTCTTCACTGATTCTTTGCTTTCAAGTTGCGCTTGAAGGTGCCATTGCAGGGCGCTGAGTTGGAGGCATACGTCGCTGAAAAACGTGCTATCAAAGAACGGGAAGCCCTCCAGCAAGCGACCTCAGCACGCACCCAGCGACTGCTTGAAGCTGATGAAGGTGAAGAAAGTAGTGACGAGGAAGACAGTGATGGCGGTTCCGAGGCAGGAGGTGGTACTAATGATGCTCATGATGGGGATGTCACTATGGATGGAACCCGCTCGAGATCGGGCAATGCGGGCGGAGATGCTCAGGGTGGACTTGACTGGTCCCTTCTAGATGCTGACGACACTCAGTCTCGGGCCCAACAACTCTCGTTCGATATTTATTTGAAGGGGAATGTCTCTCGTGCAACGTCGTTCTTCCGAAGCACTGTCGCTGGTGTATCGTCTACTCAGCAGGCGGGTCTGACGAGATTTCGTATGTTTCCTGTTGTGGAGAGGAAAAAACGAATCGACGCGTATGGTGAAACGCTTGACGTTGGAATGTGGATGAGGAAAGGAAGGGCGCTCGAGGAAGATAGCCGCACCGTTGAGACGGAGGAAATGGACGTGGTAGAAGCACAAGATGAGGTGTGTTGCCCGATATCCTCGTGGAATAAATTATGGCCAATACGTGTTGCGATCGAAGGCGGCGGAAGAAGTGCCATCGAAATTCGTCGCGGAGAACGTGCCTGTTCGACTAGCGTGCCAGATCTTCTTCGTGGATATGGAAGGACTCAATGATGGCCGCGCAGTCAAGACTATCGTACCCCAAGTAAATCCCCGGAAGATGGTGAGCGAGTGCTCTCTTTATCTAGTAAACCAAGCTCAGCCAATTTCCACAGATAGTTGTCGGAGCATCATCCGAAGCAACGGAGGCCTTGATTCACAGTTGTGGCTCAATCAGAGCGATGACGAAGGAGATCTTTGCGCCAGCTGCTGGGGAACGCCTGACGATAGGTCAACAGACGAATACATTCACTGTCTCACTATCTGATCAACTTTTGGATTCAATAATGATGTCGAATGTGAGTATATCTTCAGGCTTCTGTACTGTCAGTGTTAAATTTTAGACTAGTTCGAGGACAATCAAGTAGGCTTTGTGCATGGAAGGATAACGATGAGCGCAGACTCCTCTATCCCCATCCTCGAACCAGTCGTGAATGCGTCCTCAGCCTCCGCTCAATGGAACAGGGTTCCTGGGTGCATTCCTCAACTTCCCAGGTCTACTCTTGCCCCACGTGCTAGTTGTTCTCTAGCACCTTCCACTATTATCGGCGACCTGAAATTGACGGCGTTAAAAAACCGTCTCGGAGCAGTCGGCATCAGTGTCGAATTCGCTGGTGAGGGTGTTCTTGTATGTGCTTCCCCTAGTGGAAGCGATTATGTCACAGTGAAAAAGGTGGGAAAAGGACAAGTCATCCTTGAGGGATCTCCATCCGAGCTATATTACTCCGTGAGGGATGAGGTGTACGAGCTACACGCAATGCTTGAGACTTGACATCTTATGTCACCATCTATATCCCGTATGTCACAAGTATTATTATTGCGCTGATTACATATAATAAGATTCTAATGCGAAGTCCGAGGATCGCAGTTTGTAACAAATAAGCGTGATAGTGAGTGGTGTGAAAGCGGGAGGGACCTCATCACCCGGCAACGCTCCTCCACATGGTTTCATCTGGGACATCACTCTGCCGGTTGAGAATCTTGAACGCATTTCTTCTGCCTTTCTCTTCGATCTCGTCCTCTCCTAAGACCTCTTCCTCCTCATCTTCTTCATCCGGTACACCCAGTGCGTCTCCGGGGTCCTGAGACCTTTGAACGTCACGTTCTGCATATGTCCTATCTCGAGCGACAGATGAAAAGCTCTTGCTACGCATCCTGGCACCGCTCCTACGTTCGCTCCTCTCGCCTACTACCGAATCGGTGGCAATAGGTTGTTTAAGTGGAGGGACAAGAACGCTTTGTCCTTCGATGAGGCTCGACTTGAGTTGTAGCGTCATACTAGACTGTGAATATGGGTGAGGAACCAAGCTAATGGATAAAGGAAGCGAAGCTGCAATTGTAGTTGTTTGATGATTCCATCTTGGTGCGGGGATAACAGGAACTGCAACCGCTCCATCATGACAAACCATACATGGCACGTGTTGGAAACACTCACGTTCATCGATCAAGCTATCCGTATCCTTGCTTACCGGACTCGAGCTTGCGGATGTTGCGATCTGGGCCTCCTTGGCCTTTAATCTCTCCAGGATGATCTGCTTCATGTCCACCCCATTGTTGAGCAAGGATGAATCTCTCCATGAAGTCGGAGCAAATGAGGTCAATTTGGCCAGATTCCGATCCTCTGGCATTGACCCAATGAAACCAGCACGCTCTCTGAAAGATGCAGCGAGAGGTCTTTCCGGTTTCTCCCGCCGCTCTTGTGCCAGGCGTTGAGCGTATGCTTTGGCCTCATGCATGGTATCGTCGGCGTGCGGACCATCACCCGCCTTCGCCTGCGCATCCTCATCATATGCACCGCGATCCGCTGGCTCGAAAGCGTCTTCAATCTCAATGTCGAACACCCCGACTAGCGAGGACACGTCAATTCCAAGGGCTAAGGCACAATAATTATGTATTACTTACTCTCAATGTTGTCCGAGCGCGAACGAGACGTCATTGCGACCGGGTCGTCTTCCTTGGTGGCCTCAAACTTCACCCTTTTTTTTTCGCCAGCCTTCGGAGACTTTGTATCGCCCCTAGAGACTGCGGGGGAGTGACTACGGGGTGATTCCCCTTTCGAAAGGGGTGGTCGTCGGTGATTATCACGGAAAAGGAAAGGAGGTGGGGTCTCTTCATCCAGACGTGAATTTATTGCCTCATCTGGCAGCACAGCACTATTGGTTGTCGAGATCCCTAGGAGAGAAAGGAGAGCGGTGTCTGATCCAGACACATTGTCGAACATCCTGATTTGATGGGATGCGGCGACTGCACGGGATTCGTTTGACGCATCTTGGGGAAGGAGTCGTTTGCGACGACTATCCGTTGGGCGTACAGCACTGGACGAACCGGCACTACCGACGGCCTCGACGCCGGGCGGAGGAACTGTTGATGTGGACTGGATTGAATCTCTATGGGTGGTTGATGGTTGAGGAAGAGAAGATGACATTGAGGCTAGATGTGAAAAGAGATTGTCTGAGAGTAATGACGATGCCACGCCTTTGGATAAACCAGTGGCGGAAGTTGCGTGCAGAACCCGGGGGTCAATATGTACGGAGGGCTCGGTGAATTCGTTGATTTTAGGTATCAGGCCAGGAGCTCGGTGCATTCCTGATCTGTCTGGCCCCCGGTGGTTCGAAAGATTGGTATGTTCCAACCATCCGGAACGCCAGTAAGACCAAATGAGGTCAACCTCTCTCCGGAGTTTAGCGTCAAGTTCTTTGAACTCATCAAATTTCTTCTTGGCAAAGTCATTGATTTCGCCCTGCACCTTTCTCCTCGCTTCGTCGGACACAGCTTGAGCGCAAGTGCTAAGGTGGACAAAAGTTGAGTCGGAGGGAGTATACGGAGGGGGGAGGAACATTGGGGATGGCTCGGGAAATTGGAGGACTAAGGGTGGCACAAGGGTGGGCGCAGTCGATTGGATCGAATTGGGTAGAGGATTAGGCAAAACAAGTCTGAAGTATGGAGACCATTCCGCTGATGCCTTAAGATCCTCTGCTTCGCTTGCATTCTGATGGTGGTCGTTCAGGCGGCGAGAAATCTCCAAGCGTACTCAGTGACTTACTACCAAGGCTTTCGATTTCGAAATCTCGATCCAACCATTCTGAGTCCGTAATGGGTTGTTCCGGTCAGATAGTAGGTCTAAAACAGGGCCATCTTTCATTTCTTCTGCACTTTCTGCAAGAGAAGTCACTCGATACATTGGTAACTTGCAGATGAGGCATGTTAGAAGTGTAACTCGGGTGGGCTGCGACGGCCCTGGGGCGGGGCGATAGTGGCGGGTACGGATGGTAAGGTGTGGGTGGATCTGGGCAGCAGGGAATTTTATAACTGGGTCAAACCGCACGGGGGCACAGGGGGATGTTCTCCTTACTATTTTGACGCCATTGTCATCAACATTGACCCACCGATATGTTGGGTCAGTTACCACAGGTCTTTCGAAGGGTTTTGAGCCCTTTGCCTCAGTGATGTGAACGTTTAGACAGCGGCAAAACCATTCACTGGCCATGTAAGATTGAATGGTCCACGGCGCGCGAGTACCAACAGTTCTCCAATGCCGGATGATCCCGGTCTGAAAGTTGACTCAATAATGTGTTCGCTGTCGCCCTATACGACTGCGTAGTTCTGCAGAATCCCATTCATATCCTAATGCTCGATTCAGCTGCTTGCCTTGCGTTAAAATTTCAGGCTTCGAGTCCCTCAGATCAGCCCTGAATCAACATGACACTCGCAGTCTTGTTCACATTGATTCGAGAGTTCATCAGAGCGCAAAGACAGAGATGAGGACATGTTCGGGTGCCTCTAACTTTCGTCGGGGAACCCCAACCCCCAACCAACCCAACACCAGAGCCAGGGAGCGGCATTGTTTTTCAGTGCCCATAGGTTTGAATTTCCACTCCCGCAGTGGAGTTCGCAGCAATGGTGTCGGTTCAAGTCGCTGGAGGTTCTAGGGCCATGTGCTCTGTGACGATTCCCGTTATTCTCCTGGGACTCTACATTGCCAACAGGGGACTAGGTGCCATTGCTCGCCAGCAGGATCCCAGACGTTCTTCTGCCCTATTTCAACTACAAAGCTGCACACATCAGGACACTGAAGTGCTTTTCTACGAGTGCTTTCTTTCTACTCGTCGAGCCTCCTACTAATTTTCGACGGTGTCACCAGTCTTACCATGTAAGCGGACGCTAACAACAGCTTACTAACTCTTGTAACAAGTTCGGGATTTCCATTGCAAGTCAAACAAGCATTCATGATATGGTGGAATGACGCATCTAGAGCCCTTTGAGTCCTTTGACCGCTTCCTGCGCGCGAGGCCATGATCCTGTACGAAGATATTGATAGGCTGTGGCGTTCACGGCTTAGGTCATGGTTCGGATGCATAGAACGATCGAACCCTAACGAATCTAAGCTCTTAGGCTTGACGGGGCCTTCAAAGCGCAGGTTTCGGTTGGAGCACAGCATCCAACTGTGTACTGGGGTTCTGCAATTTCGGATCCTTTATGGTATCATGAGCCTACCTAGTGGTAGTGCCGTAGCCCATCGAAGCGGAATGACTCATTCGATCAAAGCTGCCCGGGGTCTCTGGCTTGCTCCTCCAGCTTTGTTCATACTCTCAGTCTATAGATGCGGAATGCCGTACCGCTGTACTCCATCTAACCTCTCGACGACGCCTTGCAGGTTTTATTGGAGCTGCCAGTCATCCTGGTCGATTAGTTTGTTTCAAGGGACTACGGCTGGCCTCGATTATGGAGTGATGTTCCTCAGTATGTGCTTTCCCGGCGCACAAAGGCTAGTCACCATGCACCATACGGTGAACTAATGTCTCTTGAAATCCCAACCGGATCGAGTCAGTCTCATCACCGATCTGCTGCCGTCTCATTTTTATGATAATATCCTTAGTGATTATGGATCAATTATCGGAACAAGCCCGATACGGAAATCACTGGACGTCCCGGACTGGCGCAATTGTTTATTATTTTCAAGTTGCATGATTTCCCGTCGTCTATTGTCTCTGACCTGGGGGCTGCATTTCCGAATCCTGGAAAGCACTGGTGTCGCAACTTCAAGTACGCCTTAACCTGTCTGCTGATTACCATCCCCAAACCGATGCGTGCTTATTAACAAGACGATCGGGTTGGTATTGCCGAGTTCCAATGCAATAGTTCTAAGCCTGGTGCTACTAGGGTGTCTCCATTCTACGCGAACTACAGATACCATAAATGCGTCATTTCCCCTGATCCGAACCGTCTAATTCCCGCAGCTTCAGATTTAGTAGAGCATTTGGCGTTTATTCAGGAAGAGTTGCATTCGGAACAAGAAAGTGAAAAAAGACGGCACAATAAATGTCGCGCCCCTGCGCTAGTTCCCCTGCCGAATGATTTGGCCATGGTCTTACGTCGCAATATACAGACCACGAGGCTTTCTAACAACTCGATAATCGTAAAATCGGCCCATTTAAGGTGGTTGCACCGGTGGTGGAAGAATGTTCATCATTTCGAATCACTACCACCGTTGTCCCCTACACCTAGTGTTCGGCGTAAACTTGTTGGAACGCTATGTAGCCCCGAACAGCTCCGATGATCGGGCCACTGACCCAGAAGTTAGTCTGGAGGGAGATGATCTACTGAACGTCAGTGGACGTTTGTAATGTTGGTCGACGACTCGAACACTTCAGTGGAACAGAGCAAATCATGTCTGCTAGCCCAAATGGTTCGTTCGAAAATTAATCGGTCTGAATCCATCAGGCTCGCATCTCCATTGCACATAAACCACCATCGGTGACGCGAACCGTATCATGCAATTGTGTGTTTACCGGATGTTGCGTTGCTTAGTTATTCAGGCCAACAGGACCAGACGCTCGTCGTCGGTCAGGGTATGATGCAGCCAGGATGTATATTAGATGTAATCCAATCAAAGTCAGCAGGAGGTACAAGAGCCTCGTTTTCCCCTGCCTTGTTCCAATTCCATTGTCACACTTTCCTCTTCTTCTCTCCATTGGTTTGAGTATTTTGTTCTGTATTGTTGTACTTTCGCTTTCTGGAGAGCTTCTGTTCAACAGTCTCATGAGCAGCTTCAACTGGAGGGACGAAAGCCTCAATCCTCTTGGCTTTTCGTTCGGCGGTGGCTTCAGCTTGCTGGATCGATGAGATGAGCGGACCAGTAGCAAGGGACAGCGATGAAGTCAACAAACCTTGTCCCGTTTTTCGGCAAAACGGCGAGCCTTCTTTTCATGCTGCTTCAAGAAGTACTCTCCGGTTTCAAGTTCGATATCAATCTATGAAATCGGGAATTTAATATGAAGCAAAGTAAAATGCTGGCCGTCGGTGGAATGCGCACCTTTCGAGGCAACTGAGGCGGAGGGAAGGGTGTATATGCTTTCTTCTTGAGTTTATTGTTGGATGCCTCGGATGGAGGTGGGAAAGCAGCCGTCCCGTCCAATCTGGACGGTCCTGGGTACGCCAGTGCATTGGCTTGGACTTCTGCCTGGATCCTAGCTTTCCTGTCTGCCGCTGCTCGCTTTTTGGCACTCTTCTCTGCAGTCGTGAGGCGACGTTTGTTGTAAGTGGGAAGGAATCGATCCCACGATTCATTAGCTAATTTAGGATCTTGAGCTAGTTCACGTCGAATCATAAGCTCCTGGGACAGATGGCCATCTCAGCCCCTTCACATTCATCTTATCACAATACACGTACGTGCCTTGATTCGGTAGATTGGATGAATATTATTCATGCAATCAATGACGATGCGTCGTACTTCTCTCAACCCTGAGTATGGTCCCATTGCGCTCACGGTGTTCCCCTGAACGAAGACGTAGCATTTTGTAAGCAGTTCGATTGCCTTGGGATCAGCATGGGACGACTGGTGAGATCGGAAAAGATAAACCTAAGGGACGGGGGACATACTTTGAGTGTACTTCCATCCGGGCCCATGATCCTTTGCCGCCGCTTTACGAAACGTTCCCTGTTCCGTAAAATATTCCCTATCTTGATCACATCGCAAGCAACCCCATCGTTTAGTATTTTCACGGCTTGACCAAGGGAAATCCCACGGGCCATAAGTTTTATCATATCCCTCGCTTTCAGTATGATATAGGGGTCGTATGTTTTCCGCGTCGTACGAACCGACATCGAGCCATTGATAAGATCAAGTTCGGCTTTGATGCCCTAAACATCGGGTTGTGTATCGTTAGTTAGGTTATAATGAAGGGTCACCGACAACTCACATGCGGCTTAAGGGCCCTCGTTACGCCTTCCCAGATGTCTTGCAGGTACTTCTCCCGGTTTCTTGGAAACAAAGTTGCAAATGATGACTCCTCTGCAAATGTGCCACCTTTGTTGTCCTCTGGTTTGAAAGGCTGTACTTCCCACTTTTCGGGCAATCAGTGCCTAAAATGATTTGAAAGCCATCTCACACACTCTTGAACAGGGAATTGCTGTGAATGAAATGCTACTTGCATGAAGATTTGTGGCACTCACAATTTCTCGCCCTCTAATTCCGATACTACGACGGCCACGGATTAGTTCACAGAAACCCTCCAAACAAGGTAAAACCCACACTCATCTCCATCCTCACGGCGAACGGACCCCTTGGAGCTTTCTCCTGCGTTCTCCTTTGTAGACATCAGAGGGATGAAATGTTCGGTCACGTGTTCGAGGATACGGATTTGGCCGAAGTTCTTGACTGTTGTAACCCTTCCATTGTGGCATCATCATTCCTAGACTACAGTGAGAACGGAAGATGCAAGAATTTGACGGTTTCCTTCCTGAGGAGGAAGATGGTCGACCTGAGCCATCATTGTCCGCCACAGAGGACGGAAGGCCTGCCATGGAACCCGCGCCAGCGCGCAGCAGGAAAGTTTATAAGCTCGCAGACTCCGCTGTTGCTATTCTTGGCGGTCGCTTAGCGAAGGTAAAGAGAAAACAGCCTTCTTTGGTCATGAGCCGGGTTCACACCTAGAATCCCAAAATTCAGCGAAAAGCGGAAGCGCTTGCTGCCGCTCAGGAAGAGACTATGAACTATGGTAGGCTCAGTGGGGTTTCGGCGAAGATACCCGTTCGCACTCAACGGACGGCTGTGTACATGGCAGGAAGACGGTGATGTGGAACGACGATCCAATGCTATCCTTATTCGCGGCCCGCCAATAAAGCATCTCAGTACAGACAAAATATTCGCCTATACGGGGCACTACGCCACTGCTGCAGAACAAATAGAATGGAGTGGGTGTTTCCCTAATTATATTTACTACTGATTGACTCCGAAGTCACTGCATGCAGTCGATGATGAGAGCTGTGTTCTCGTCTATTCTTCCTCGTCAACCGCGATGGCTGCGTTTTCTGCTCTGAAAAAGTCCCGCGAATCGTCCTCTGCAGAATCAGGCATGGAAGGAGAGGAGGAGATGACAATGTGTCAACCTGTCCGTAAGTATCTTGCTGCTCCATCGTTCATGGTGGAACTCAGGTGTGTTGCGGACATAAGCGGCGTTGCTCTGGCCAATAGAAGAACGGCTTTCCAAGTCACTGGGTAAATCTCAAGGCCTTACAGGACATATCGTGATGCGTTGGGCGCTCAAAACTGACGTCAAACAAAGAGGGTCTCGAAATAAAAGCGAATTCTACAAGAAACATGGAGACCCTAATGACACGACCCCATTGGAGCGGTCTAAAAAGCGAAGACGATGGGATGATGATGACTCACTTGCAAGCAGACTTGACGCTGAACCCAACGAACACGCAGCCCGAGCTCATGACCGCGCGGCGCTTGACGCGGAACTTGACGCGTTTGTTTCAAGGGGAGAAATCAATGCTGGGATAACCGCGTCTCCAAAGGAAGCAGGAAGTATCGGTTCCCTGATGGATCGGCTAGGTCCCTTGATAGATAGCAGGGAAGTTGCTCCATTACCTCGTCGGAAAGGTAGAGACGGTGGCTATGGGCGTGGTCCGAGCCGTGAGCAAAGACCCACAACAGACAAGGAGACGCTGGATGCTGAGCTTGATGCTTTTCTCAAAGACAGGGAGGGGTGAATTGGCTTACACTTCTTCTCCATGGTTTATTCAAAAACTGTAGGAATAAAATGTAACATTAATTCCAAGAGGATGACTTGGCGCTTCACAAGCACGGACATTCAATACATAGGACGTGTTTCCGTTTCCGGTAACCTCATCCGTCGACCCGGACATGATCTACAAGCGCGATGCAACACGCTCCAACGTGTCTTCAGGTCTAGATATATCTTTTGACGACGGACAAAACCAGTCCATGCCCTTAGGCAGCCCCTTTATGCTTCAAGACGCGTCCTTTGCCTCGTATTCCTCACCCGTCATTCATCGCTTGCCCCGCACCTCCCCTAGTAGTAACAGTCCAAATAATGCATCCAATAGACCCCCTTCTCTTCTCAAGCGTCTGCGAAGATCTGTGTCATCTGTGCTCTTCTCGTCCGACGTTTCTCTACCAGATACACCACCCTCGCCTTTCGTGTCTCCCGAAGCATTACTTCAGCGCACTGTTCTTCCTCCTGAATTAGATCATTCCTCTGGTTTGGACGGTGTCTATTGGACTCTCTCCGACACTCACGCTGAAGTGCAATATAAATATGTCAACCTAGCACTCCTTCAGAACATTTCTCCTTTGACGCCTCCTGACTCTCCTGAAGTTTGGAAACGGAGCTTGGCATGGAAGGAGTCTTCTCACAGCCCTTTACATCAATCCCTACCAGTCATGGTCCCGCTACCTGATCCTTGCGATATCGCAGCCCTAGGGGAATACAATAGAATGGCTGATGACTACCCGAGGGAACCGGTTCTCATATCTCAGCCCTCTCCAGACACTACGCTTTCTAGATATAGCTCCGAAGCATCGTCGGTGCCGCCTTGGAAGTACGCTGATATACAGGAAGAGGCTGGACAAGATATGGGGGAAGAAGATGATGCTACTGTTCGAAATTACAATTCACCTCTTGTTGAGCTTACTAGGATGGACGAAGACCCCAAAGGAAAGGCGCCGGAGTGCCTCTCTCCTCAGTCAGAGGTAGGTAGGAAGCGGCTCTTGATTGAACGTCGGGTCAACTGGCTTTTAATGAATGTAAACCTAGGATGGCGACGTAGTCATAGCACCAGAGGAAATATACTATCGCGAGTATCAAGAATGGGAAAGCATCACCGCTACTCTTGAAGAATCCAGAATTGAATATCGAAATGTCTCAATGCAGAATGAGCCAAGCGAAGGCGAATTTTCAATGGTAACAAACATCTCCCATTCCCGCACGTTCAGATGATACGCCTCACACAAATCGCAGAGCTTCACTGCCTTCCTACAAATCCACGAGGGGTATTACGACCGGGTGTACGATGAGTATTATTTCCATCGTTGGATGGCATGGCATCAAGAAATGAGTCGAAGACGGCGAAGGGCACTGGACCGACAGCGTTTCGCTTCTCTGGCTTACGATCGTTCACGCTCCGTACGTTATACCAGACCAAAGATGAGAAAGCGACCAAGATCCGAGGTCGGAGAAGGTTCTGTGTCTGGTGTTGAGGTGAGTTTGCAGCTAGGATTTTGCATCCCCTTCCAATCTTTTGCCGCATCATCATCTACCCTGTTGTAGATAAACGTTCGGACGAAAATACTGACTCTTTTCCCTTCTTTGTGAATGCATACATCCTAAGGCGAGAATAGGAGAGATCGAAGAAGAGTGTCGGTTGGCAAGATCCGCATCCGCATTCTTCTGACACCAATTCGCTTTACACAAGGAAAGAGTATCACACAAGTCTGGAGGCATTTATCTTGAAACAAATCGTGCCTTTTTAGCACTTCTTTTCACTTTCACTGGCGGATCGCTCATTCTGTGGCATTTTATTGGCTGTCTGCTGTCTGCATCTTTGTGCCAGAGGAAATCGATGAACTAGACAAGTGAGAGTATATTGACGAGTCAAAGGGCTAAAATGATGATGATAGTGGTGGTTGGTTGGATTCCAATGAACTCCCATTTTTGTCCCAAAGAAGCAACGAGTTACCGCATCGAGGTTAACCCTTTCGCATTCACTTGGCTTCGAATATACCAAAAACGAATTACTATCCATCCTACTCTTTCTTAGAAGTAATGTACTGAAAATTAAGCCATTGCAATGTCTATCTTTACTGTATACGTATGTCGAAATCACAAAAGTCGTTAGTAGCGTATCTTTCGTGGGCTTAGCATGTGGATGTGGACAGGACAGGGTACAGTCGGGGACATTCTTTGTCGTAAGCTTAATGTATATATTTTTAATCTGCACGAGTGATATGAGGAACCGAATGGTAGGGATAATGACAATATACTCATTTAGCTATTGGAATGGGGGACACCACTGCACCGCTCCAGTGCACTGTTGTCGATATCGAGCTCACGACTTCGACAATGTATGGATTGAGGAACCGTCGCTTGACAAAGGGGTTCAGAGTAACAGCAACGATGAAGAAGGCATGGTCTATCTTTACCGCATGGACGGTTGAATTTGATGCAGCTGAATTGGGAAAATATAGGGCGGTGGTTATACATACGCTGTCTCGGCGTGCAGTCTTCAATCTCTTTATCAGGGTCTCGGAATCTTGATCAGCAAGCCAGTACATGTTTGCCATATCATTGTTCGGTTTCTCCTTAGGGTCGACAAAAAAGTGGTCTGAAAGTGGCTTGGTGCGTGGTACCTTTAACACGATGCGATGCAGAGGCCCGGCGCAAATCAACTTTCGACTCCAGGATAACTGGATCGTAATGTACAATGCAAAGTTGGTGAACATACTTCGGTTCCAAATCGCCTTATCGAATACATTTCTGGGTTGGACCTTGGCTCTCAGGCCTGAGATGAATAAGTAGCTTTCGAAACCAATTGTCAGCATATGTTCAGTAGCATAGGTCAGCACTGTGACCGCTCACTATGACTTTCCACCTGGCTCAACGGGGATAGAACCAGCATGCAGGAAAGCTGACAGGTTCAATATCGGGCGCGTCTGGCCCTGACGTTGCATCTGGTACTGGGGCATCAGAGAGACTCGATAGGTTGGCTCCGTGGATGAGGTTCTTGAGAAAAAATCGAACCTAGTCGCATCAAGGCGGAGAAAAGTGACACAATCCGCGTGCTGAGCCAATACGTTAGCAACTTCAAAGAAAACAAGTGGCGGAGAACAAGCATTAGAAAAAAATGGACCTGGGCCAAAAGGGCATGTTGAAGAAGATACAGCAGCACATAAGGTTTGAATGATCGAGATAATCAACTGGGTCCTTAGGGCGGGAAATGGCAGAAACCATGAGATGCTGAATGACGGTTGGTAAAAAAAATAGTTAGCTAGATTTTTGGTGTATAAACATCGGTTAGGTTCCTTCCAACGTGTATGCCGAAGCCTTCTGCGTCGAGGACTAGGCGGGGGATTTCCGCCCTCAGCAGCACGTCGTCGGGTCCAGTCCCGGACACCATCAGTATCTGCAGCGTGCTGATCGCTCCTGCGCACAGAATGACCTCCTTGGCAACAATTTGAGTCTCATTTGTGTGTGGGGGCACTCCAGCTGGTGCAGCCTCAACCGTTATGCATTTGGAATCAGGGTCGTCAGATGCATCAGGAGATGAGAGAAAATATAAGGATGGGACGTGCAACGACAGCAGGCAAAAGATAAGCAGGGACATCCCGCTGCATTGACAGATCCCTCAACGGGGATTCACTAAGAGAAGCCAATGCATGTATCGATAATAACCTGCTGCCTGGCTCTGGAAGCTTACTAATCAGTCAAGTCGTGTTCCATTCGCAGTATCTCCGGCGAATACATACGTTGAAAACTGGGCCAACATCCCGTCAGCTAGGCTACAACCTTAGCAATCTAGTCGTTATTCAACGCTGTTGCATGTAAGATCGTCCTACATCCAGCTCAGTGTCACAATAAGCTGCATAGTGGACGGCAACATGCATCATTCAGTGGCCACAGTGGTTCTCTGCACCAGATACTCATTGAATCCTGATGATCATTATCGCGGGACCCCACCGCAATAGCGCCAGTAAACTTCTACGTGCCATCATTGGATGATAGCGGGCTGGGATCGCAGACACGACCTCAAGATTTGTTTGAAAAGACCCGCAGTTGGAATTAAATTGGTAATTCCATACCGGTGGTGGCAATCATACCCACCTGAGATGAAGGATCAGACGGCACATACAGCGCGAGTCGGGTGAAACGAAAATCGCGTTGGGGGTGCCAAGGAATAGAGAAGTGCGAAGGATGGGAGGTGCCCGTATTCCAGTCTTCTTGTTCGTGGCACCTCGAACGGCACGATTAAGGTGCGGAGAGGAACAAGAGCAGCACGGAAACCCATGGGGCAGGGATGGGTCTGTGTTCCGGCGTGGCGGGGGGCGGTACTTGAGGAAATGCTTTTTGCCCAAGCCCCCGAATACCACGAATCAGATGAAACGAGAGGCACAGGTGCAATCAGGGGGGAAGGTGAGAACGAGGGAAAACAGGAACAAGGCTGGGTGGATCCCAACTCACGGCAAAGCACGATTGATGAGAACGTAATAAGCGGTAGGGTAAGGTCCAGATGGTGTTTTCGGGTCCGATCATCATTCCCAGTGCGTGGCATTCGTATGGGGCGCCCAACGGTACGTGGGACCAAAATGTGAACCCGGGCACTTTCTCCCATTTTATTGTCACCGTAGGTTGTCTAGCTATGGCGCGGGACGGGTTAGAGAGAGTATATTAGTATATCGATATTTGTTCCAAGACGACATTCAGCTCTCCGCGGGTTTCTAAATTGCTTTATCCACTGCGGGAACACATACAGAGTGACTGTAGCGAGTGTTTGTAGCTATTATTGCACCAGGTTGTCTAAATTCGGGCTCGGGATAAATTTCGGTGGGGATGATGATATCTTTCCCAAGACGACGTCCGACTTGCAACACAGTTTCCATCTCAACTTTCCACTTGGCCATCGCCGTCCTCGAGGTGTGCTGTAGCTCGATAAGCTTCATATTTTGACTGGATGGAGAGTTCAGGAAGCGCATGAACTCGTGCGGCCCAAAATAACTCCGCCAAATCAGGGTGCGCAATATGCGAAGTGTTTCAGGCGGTTTGGAGAATGAAGAGAGTGGAATTGGACTGAAGAGCGAGAGCTCTTCTAAATGTGGAGAGCTTTGGAAAAGTGCACAAGGGAGTTCGGAAAAATCATGCCACTCCCATGTTTTGGTGATATGGAACTGGTCTGAGCCGACCGGACGACACGTAAGAATCAACGTCCTGAGATTGGAAAACGCCTTGGTCGTTTGTATCATCCATAAGAAATCCTTGGGCGTTAACCAGTGTGGCCGCTGCACTTCTAGCACACGTAAGCGGGAAGTAACATTCTCATCTTCTCCGAGACATTCTGTACTTTTCAGAAGCTCGAGCATATGGGGCAATTCAGGGCCTGACGTTTTCTTAAGACGGATTTCGCAAAGTCGTGGAAGAGAAGGGAGGCGCGAGATGGGAGTAAAAGGCCGGCGGAATGTGGACATAGGAGTGATTGGATCCCATTCATAAATAATCAAGGTTTCTAATGTCCGAGAAAGGTGCTGGAGAGCGCAGCGCAGCCCGTGTGAATAACACCCAATCGTCCACGTAAAATGTTTTATGGAGGCTGGAGCGACGACAGTCTCAAAGCCATCATCGAACTGGGCGAGTTCGGCAAAGGCATCATTGTACCAGCCAAAACTCTCCAAGCCCATCAGGTGCGAACATGATGCGATAATTTCGTTTATCAGTATAGCCCTCTGATTGAACCGAGTCAGCTGATCGGGATACTCGTCAATGAGAGATGGTCGGTCCTTCAGATGACGGGTTCGGGAGTCGAGAATGATGGTTCGAACGAGGTTCCCATGGGACTTGAGTGATTCGCGGAGAGAATATACGGATGCTTCAGTGCAGATGAATATTGCGATTTCACGATAGAGGCCACGCATCACAGGGTCGACCCAATTACAGGAGACGAGAGCGAGAGATGCCAAAGCGGCACGTTTCTGGATGTAACTCGTCACAAATTTGGGAGAAGGTGAGTAGCCATCCTCCCCAGGATACAAGTGACACGGGATGAGGTAGTGAACAATTTCGTGTATAATATCCGAAGGGAGTGTATTCCAGGATTTGGATGCACGCAGTGGACCCTTCGCGTGGGTGCGATGTTCCAATCCTCGTCGCAGCTCCTTGATCATGACGAGTCAAACCCCTAACGCCGACACCGTGAACCAGATCAGCCCGAGTAGGACCTCAGCTTCTATGACTGCGTAAATATGATGCAGAAAGGCTCTGCCATAAGGGGAAGGGGAAGTGCCGACGTGACCAGAATGCTGTTGTGTTCCGCTATTATAACTGTTAGGCAGGTAACTGTTCCATCTTCAAAGGACATGGTTTGCTGCCAGTTTGACGCAACGGCCATTGTTTAGATCGTGAGGACGCGGGCCGTTGCATTGATCCAAATTCTCATTCCTCCAACCTGAGGGTTTCTGTGTATTCCTCGAATACTCCACTCAGTCTGACCATTGGTTTTTCATGGAAGGAGAGGACCGCCCATAATGCCAGCAATAGTACCAGTTTCTGAAAGCTGCCATCTGCTACTCCGTGGAAGATTTTCATATGATATGATCTGATGATCGAACATGGGCTCAGGCTTTAAATGAGGTGCATACGGGCACTTCATGATCGAAACCCAAATTTCTTGCTGCCATCTTCTCTGTCTTTCATGGCGTCCCAAGCACAACCCTCATCACCTCTTAGGAGACCAACTCAAATATTTCAGACTCGACTACCCGCTGTGGACCAAGGTCGCCTTGCAGGCGTCCTGGAGAGACAAAGGAAACAGCATTCTAGGTATTTCGGCATCGGGAGGCCTGCTAACGAAACAATACTTTATGGCCCTGTCAATGCCATTGTGAATGCTGTATTCCCGGAAAATAGTTTATACAGGCCTATGCAACAGTATACACTAGAAGATGGGAAGCGGGATCAACGCGAACTGCTGCGACCTGACATTACCGTAGTAACTGATGCAGGACTTTTCGATCAAGACTCGGATTCCCTCACCTGTTTGGTGATAGAGGTGAAGAATAAGCCACTTTCGGCTAAAGATAGGAAGGAGGATACAAAGAAAGCGGTAGATCAACTCTATCGGTACATGATCGATGCCTATCAGAAGAGAAATTGCCCAAGTATCCTATACGGCATTGCCATCGTAGGCTTTCGAATGTACCTGTACCAGATGATGGACATTGGTGCACCGATGGTTCATGTCGACTTGGGATTTGCCCCAAATTTCCTAGACGACAGTGCAACCGAGCTTTGGATGGAAATTCGCAAATTGAAGTGCATCGGAAGTCACTTACGTGGCCGCGCGCAACTCGCTCTCTCAACAGCAGTGTGGGTGTGGCCCAACAAGATGCTGACATGGAGAGACCCCAAGATACGATGGGTGGTCTCTTTGAAGACGTCGTGGCACTGAGATTCCCTCCAATGCCCGAACCCAAAGACCCCAATGTATTCGGTGCTGCATCTTACCTACCAGGTCTTAGCCCTGCAAACACCGATTCTACTGGGCCCCGTGAAATTGAGAGCCCAATACAACTTCGTTCAGCTGATCGGGTTGGGGAAACTCTCTCATACATCCCGTTCTTCGATTCCCCTGCCTCAAGCAACTTGAGCAGCGATCATCGAGTTGGCAGGACACCACATCTCCCTGGCAGTGCCCAACAGATGTCCACCCCCCAGCCAGGTCAAACATGGCCTTTTCACGGGATTCAATCCAAGCCTGCCACTCACTCAGGTGGAATGCCACTCACTCCGGGAGCACCCTCAGACCCACCGTTGCAACCTGTCGAAACACCATTCTCTCCGAATCTTCTCATGCTTCCATTGGAATCCCCTGAATCACCACTCCATCGCTTCTCAACACAAAGGAAGCAGCTGCAAATAACTAATATTAGCACAATCAGCACCCTCGTGAGAGAACAGGATCAGTCCTCTGGTACTGCAAGTCAAGGTGAACCTGAAGAGGGTCAAGCTCCTCGAGGTGGCACTAGTTGGAACCCAAGCTATGCTGCTAATGCACCTAGAACACCTGAACCGATCAGCCGATGCAGCATAACGAACTGGTACACCATTTCGGCTTCACAGGCACCTTCAACCAACAGTCAACCACGAAACTTTCCGGCTCCCAACATTGCCTTGCACAGCTCGCAACACCTTCACACGTCCGAGCGAAATGTCGACGATAATAACCCCGATACGCCCACCCCCTCAAGTAGGATTGATCAGGGCAGGCGAAATGATGCCCAACCAAATCACCCCAATCTCGGCGGAAGATAGGTCGCGTCGTAAGTAGCAAGGGGGGTTTTACCATCACACGATTGCTGAACACGATTGCTTGTAGGTCCAACAAGCGCATGAGCTCATTGATCGGGGCCAAAGGTACTGATCTCTTGCTACGTCCACGGGCATTGTGTTCTTTCTTGTATTGTTGTTTGGAGGACCCAGGCAGGGACCGTGTTTAGTTGGGCTTCCTGCATGTTGCATACAGAAAGTGAATGATAGATACGTGTACTGTGTTCTACAGGATAACTGGGCACCGGATTCCTATGCCACTGAATTATGACCCCCATACGCAGCTTATTGGAGTCCGGCGATTCTTTCCAAGATAAAATCCGGTAGTCGCTCCGCCATTGCGATGATTGTTGTTGTAGGGTGGGTCGCAATGTGGTTCAGGAAGACCGAAGCCTCGCAAATGTGCAAGTTCTGGACACGCAAAGAAGGGTTGACGACGCATTTTGAAGGTGACTCAGCCATCCGAGCCGTACTAGTCTATTTCCACTCTCCATCAGCTCCCACATTTCGATGCAGAATGGACGCACCGGATGATACACTGTCTCGGCATGCCTCTTTATCAGGGTCCCAGGATCTTGGCCAGCAAGCCAGAACATGTTCGTCAGGTCATTGGTTTCTCCTTGGGGTCAACAAAAACAAAGTGATCCAAAAGTGGCTTGGCGCATGCTACCTTGAACACGATGCGGAGGCCTGGCACAAGAGCCTGAAAATTAACTTTCGACTTCCGATAACTAGATCGTAATGAGATACCATGCAACATACTTCGGTTCGCAAATCGCCTTATCGAATACATTCCCGGATTGGACCTTGACTCTCAGGCCTGAGATGAATAAGTAGCTTTCAAAATCAATTGTCAGTATATGTTCATTAGCACGGAATGAACTCGGTTACCCAAAATACGTCGTTTCATCATGTTTCCAGGCTTTTTCATGGAGATTAAAATTTCTTTCAGACTTTGCCTGTCCGCAACTGTATGTTCATTAGCATAGGTCAGTGCTGTGATCGCTCACTATACTACATAAATGACTTTCCACCTGGCTTAACGAGGATAGAATCAGCATGGAAATATGTTGCAGGAAAGCTGACAAGTTCAATATCGGGCGCGTCTGGCCCTGACGTTTTATCTCGTACTGGGGCATCAGAGAGACTCGATAGGTTGGACCCCCACGGCTCACTAGATGAGGTTAATTGAGAGGTCTTAAGAAAATAAAATTCGGCGAGCCCAGTCGCATCAAGGCGGAGAAAAGTGACACAATTCACGCGCTGAGCCGATACGCTAACAACTTCGAAGGATACAAGTGGCAGAGAACAAACATTCGTGCAAAATGGATCTAGGCTGAAAGGGCGTGTTGGAGAAGACACAGCAGCAACTGAGTCCTTAGAGCGGAAAATATGAATGCTGGATGACGGGTGGTAAAAAAACACCATAGAATATTTACAATTAGCCAGAGTTTTGGTCTCACATCGCTCTCCGATCTTGGACACCATCAATATCTGCAGCGTGTTGATCGCCCCTGCGCACAGAATGACTTCCCTCTTGACAAACAATTTGAGTCTCATTTGCGTGTGATGCAACCTCAGTCCATATGTCAGGGTCGTCATGTGCATCAGCAGATGAAAAAAGGAGCCCCAAGGTATAAGTCTTCAGAAGGACGGTTAGATTCGGACGTGCAACGAGAGCGGGACTTCCCGCTGCATTATACTAGTCAGAATAGATGTCTCCCATTGCGATCGATGAACGAAATCATGCGGGTAGTTCCGATAGATCCCTGGGGTATTGACGGGGATACACTACGAGAAGCTAGCCTCGGTGCCAGACTCTCACTCTCTGGTGAGCAGAACAATTTCATGTATGATATCTGAGTTTGAGGATCTGGATGCACGCACTGGACCCTTCGCGTGGGCGCGATGTTCCAATCTTCGTCGCAACTCCTCGCGCGATCATGACGAGTCAAACTCCTAACGCCGACACTTGGAACCGGATTAGCCCAAGTAGGACTCCAGCTTCTGTGACTACGTAAATATGATGCGGAAAGGTGTTGTTGGTCTCTCGTCAATCGCCGTACGAAGACTATTGTGTTCCGTTGTAACTTCGACCGCCCATACTATCTTCGGTTTTCTGCCAGTTTGACGCAACGGGCCTTGTTTAGATTGAGATCGAGGACAAGGCCGGCCATTGCATTGATTATCGGGTGTATAGCATGTCTTCTACTATATAGCCTGTTGGATGCTGCGCAATTGCATCTACGCCGCATGTGGGACATGTTGCAAAAGGGGCATCATGACTTGTATTCCAACGACCTCAGTTAGAACGTTCGCACTTTGGACACACGCGTGTTTATACTGTAACTAATGGCTCCACAGTACAGCGAACGTGTACATTTACACATACCCAATACATAATGTTCTTGGAAAGATGGAATGGAAACTGAAGGTTGGAAAGGAAGAAAAACGTGGGGAATTAAGTTGGAGGAGTTAGTTCGGGGCCGGGAAACAACGGAGCTTCACAAGGAATATTGCAGTGGCGGAAGTCACTCACTCGACTATTGGCTTGTGAATTCTAATGAGCCCATGAGTTGGTGCAGGGGGGAAATGGGGGGAAGGAGAAAAAACCTTTCGTACCGGCCGACAAGAGCGATGTAGACGCAGTATCAGACGCATATGTATATTCAATATGAGATGATTGTATGTGTAAAAAATAAAAAATAAAAAAATCAGTCAGGTTGAACATATATACTGAGCCTAGCAGAAAGCGCTCGTGGTGGCCTGAGACATCGCGATCGATCAACACCACGCCGTATAGCCTACCCCCCACTGGTCCCTTAGAAACAGACCAGCTTCGCCTCATCATATTCCCGTCGGCCCCAGTCAAATATTATCCACGATCCCAGGGAAAACGAAAGTGTCTCTAGCCAGCGTTGGCACACGTTGCATTCGGGCTAGGCCGCACCAACATCCCCATGTTACGAATAATATTATGTTCCACGAGGGAAGGGGAGGTGTGTGGGTGGAAAATTTTTTTAAAGGATAACTCGAAGCGGAGGCCTACCGCATATAAGATTATGATCGGTCTGTAGCATGATACTGATCACAGAAGCTCGCGTAGTATACTCAGCAACTAGTACTAGTAATGGTCGCAGTCGTGGCAGTATTAGAGAAGTCGAAATGTATATATTAATTCGTATAATTGCATCAACCTGACGAACGTTTGATGTCCACATCCAGGCGTAACTTGGATGCATACCACTTTCCCCAAATAGAACCGAGCGCCAAAGTGGAGGTTGTGCTTCGTGATTCGAATGCGTGAGATTACTGTAAATACAAGGATCCAACTTGTTTTCAAGGGATTATGTAAAGGAGTACCCAAACATTCGAATGTCGTATGTCGCTAGCGGGTAGATAGAAGAACGTTCATCGCGATTAAATAAGTCCCAAAGAAGACTTAGTTGATCAGCAAGATGAAACGGCTGCCCTGCCGCTAGCATACGTACTAGTAATCGAACGCACGCGTGTCGGCGTCGGGCAGTGGTAGCATAGTGATTGCGGTGAAGCTAGTCAGTAGCAGCGAGTGCATAGCCATTACCATATCCAACAAACGTTTGACAGGGACATATATGGTGATGGGCGTGCGTCGCACATAATGAATGGTGATGCCACTGGCTGTTGTACATGTAAGCGAACTCTTTCCATGAGAGCCTAGCTCGGCGTAGACCGAGTCAATATTGAACTGAGCGCAGTCTTCGACGCATGTATACTAATATAGCAGTAGCTCGTGTTTACCACCCCTCTTGTGTGTGGGTGTCATCAAGGGCACTTGGAGGATTCTTGATGCTGAGCCGTGATTCAAGAATACCTTGGGGGAGAGATGTAAGTAATGCTGATCACACACCCCCTGGGTTGTGACCTTGAGCGAAGTTTAATGCAGGGACTAGATATACCCAGTGTGGGGATTGTCGATCGGGAGCTAAAAATAACGAACAGGACGACTGAATGCTGTCGTTTCGTCTGAGTTATGTATCGCGCACGATCTAGAATCGATCGACAAAGCCTGAAAAGGTATCGGTTGATGGTATATATGGGGGAGCAAGTTGAAAATCCAGACGATGCGCATGCCTACAAACTGACAACACTAACACGATAGCCAGCCTGTTACGCAGCCATGTCGAGCTTGAGACTTGTCATAAGGCCCATTCGGGCACTAGCGCCACGCCGTATACGTCCGTAGTATTGGTTACGATGCTTTGCAACTCTGAAACCGATCAAATACCACCATACCCAGTCCGTTCTACTCCCATGCAAACAGAGGCATATCAATATGTCGTCACGCCGAAACGTGGAACGTCGTAAAGTCACCGGTAACGCCCGTGCAGTAAGCCCACGCGTTCCACGTAATGACCCTCACAATATTGATGACAAGGTTTTGGTGGTATCAAATTGGATCAGAGAGCACTTCACATCGTAAGACAATTGGCACGGTGGCGGATATGGGGATTGTTATGTATGAGGCTAGTCATGGCGCGGAGGACAATTAATGCGTGCAGATCGAAGACCAATATTACATGAAGAAGCTGACGAGACTGGAGGGGACGGTATTTGTGAAGAGATAGGCTTGACCTGAGCGGGAGCCAAACAATGTCTGAAGATGGATTCCAAAATCGCGCCTCCCGTCTTCCTCTTCGCATCTGGTGTCGAGATCAGAGTGGAGCGTGGAATCGTGGAGCGTTGGTAGGTGTGAACGCGGATCGTGGGAAACTTGTGGAGGGGGAGGTATTCGACCTTCGATCTCACCCCCCCCCCTCGTCATACCCAGACTGTTGCTGATGTGTCAAGTGCACGTGCAGGTACTGCCTTTCGAGTATCGGGTGGAAGGGCTCTGAGCGAGAAACAAGGTACAAGCAGTCGAGTACAGCAGCTATCAAGTAGATCGGATGCACCGGCAGGCGGCAGCGGCGGTACGATGATCGCGACGTCACTGAAGCCCAGAGTTGGCGAGTTAGGCATGCAGGACTCCAGCCATCTATGACAAACAAACAAAACAATATATAGCACTGATATGGATTATCGGTGGGGTTCGATCGTTGTAAATCGGCCAGATAGGTCTGCTGGCTGCCTACTAGTACGACTTGGAGTTGCTGGCAGCTTAAGCCTTGAACAACCAACCACAGCTGCTGATGGGTTGGTTAATCTGTATATTAACCAGCTAGATCGATGGCGTGTGATCAACAGTAGCAGCGCATATATAGTTGTCGGTTAACCCGGATCTTTCCGGCCCAGTTTTTTTGTTTTATGCTTTTCCCCACAACTTTCTTTCCTGTCACCACCTCAAGCCCGTTCCCGTTGCGATTTTTCTTTCGTACTTTTCCTTCTTTTTTGTTTTTGTTTTTTGTTTCTTCAACACTTTCTTTCCACATCTGTATTATGTATCTTGGATAGTGCACAATTATATGTGCACAACCCTGCCTCAACGTACGCGCTCCAATTTCGTTCTAAGAGACCGGGGGGACCGGTATCAGTAGCTATTGATGAGAACCCCCAATATGCGTAAGTAGGCTGAGTACCCTTAAAAGCGGCAGAAGATCACGATGCAAGTTTGCATTTGCATTCCCAAAGTCGATCCTATCTTCCCGAGAGTGGGATCTAAGTGCCCCGGCCGGTAATTATTATTCCTCTATACTTACACCAGAGTATAGTATATAAACCCCCAAGGACACAGCTGGCCCTTTCGATCTCTGTCTCTCCATCGAGTCTTTTTGCATGGTAATTTCCCGTACTGCATGCTGCAACAAGCTGCTGCTGCTTGCTTGCACTTGCCTGATTCTGGTAAGTGGCGAATCGTTTTATGCTTTGGGAGGGGGTTGGCACGGGGTCGCATGGAAAATACCGATATCAGAGTTAATTGTGTGTGCGCTTGTGTAGCTGTACGGTAGCAGTAGTACTAGTCTGATGATCTGTGCGCATGATCAATTCGACGCTGATTATGATGTATGTATGTATGTATTTTTTTTTTTGAAATGGTTTGAAAGCTGGGGGGATTTACTTGTGCCGTGTGCCGCAAAGGGAGCCTAGTGGCCACGCGCTCACAGTATATATTATATATAGTGGGACGAGGAAGCGAAAGCGATCCCCCCCACCGATGGGAAGGGTGAGATGTATGTATATGGTATGCGACAGAATTGGATATTATTGCTGTTGGTCATGCGTGTGCATGCGACCCTGGCGCTGCGGACCGGGTTACAACATAATTGGTGCACGGGCAGGCTCAGCTGCCAGTGGCACAAGTCCCCTTGTGACTTCGTCTTAATATCATTTTATTTTATTTTTGGAGTCCATGCACCACCATCTAGACCCATTCGGGAGAACCCTATTATGAAGTTCTTCTAGTCCATACTCCACTCTCTTCTTTATGATTGCCATAAAATGATCTAGAGGTTGTAAATGAAAATCACTTCCTTCTTTGGGTGACTGCTGTCAGTTACCCCCACACGGGGAGGGGGGAGTTAGGCACGCGCGCACGGGGATTCTGGTGATTCTCCCCTCCTTTGAATGCAAAAACAACACCAATACATCATCGATATCGCTTACATAAATTGGGTACTGCTATTGGCTAGCCTAATGAATGCCAAGGCATAGTGTGATATGATGAGAAGCTAGTAAGGTATGTATATAGACAAACGGGTGGCGCTACTATAGGTCAAGCAAAAGTGGATGGTCGACGTTGCATGGATCCTACTTCGACGTGATACATATACGCGGCGCATGTGCGTGCAGGGCGAGAATGTGGTTGGTAGCAGTTATACCTCATGACATAGTAGTAGCTTCTTACTAGTATGCTTGTACGTACGAGATATTACAGTAAGCTGCTAGGACGCAAGCTGACTCAGCGTGATCGCTGAGAATGTTCCAAGAATGAGTGTTGATCATATAATGTCAGATTGGAACCGACGGTGCGGTAGATGAGAAGAGAAGATCGATTCGAAGAGTCTAAGGGGGGACTTTGTATCTAGTAGCCCAGAACTCTGGTGCCTACATCCCTGAATGGAGGTATATGCACATATAAGCGTTCATCTCGTGTGTGCGTACGCGGCAATCAGCGATAAGGTATTCTGCAAGTGGCTAGGCGCCTTGTTTGTGCAAATGCACAAATCACCACACCCGGAATCGAAACTGAACAGCCCGAATCGATAAAAGTTACATAGCGACATTAGCGACGCGGCTAGGCGCTCAAACAATCTGATAAATAAACGGTTTTCAGGGACAGCAGAAAAGGGGGGGCGGCTGGCGGGCCGCTGAATAAATAGTGTGTGTGTGTGTGCGCTTGAGCCGACGAATCGATGACGTTACTTTAATGTGGAAACAGTACATGGAAACAGAAAAAGGGGGAATGCAAGGGAGGTGTCCGAAAGTAGAGCCTGGTTGCTCGGTTGGCGCAGTTAGTCATATGTCGATTGAAACGGGGTGTTGTGAGGAGTCAAGCAGTCCCAGCCTATGTACCGAAGACCACTCGGTCAGTTGGATGGTGAGCAATGAGATATCTGTAGGTAAAGGTCGAGAGGATTACAAATATATCTCCGAAAAGGACGCTCGACTTGGGCGACAAGGACTAATATCCAATTAATCAATGATTTAGGGTTTACGGCGTGGCGGGGTATACGGTACCCGTGGGCCGTGGGGGCGGGGAAAGTTCGTAGGTTCGTTATGCATTGTCGGGAGCGTTGTGTGTCAGGTTGCTGGTTGAATGTCACATAGGAGGGGGGGCGGGAAGTCCAGGCCTCTGCATGTCGACATGTCCGAGGACATACTGGGAGTGCGTGTACTTTGTACGGAGGTGTTACTAACATAAAAAGAAGTCTAATTGGGGTAATGATTTGCGGCTTTTGTGGGCAGGGGTGAGGACTGATGAGGATGAGAGATCGGTGGAAAGTGGTAGGATGAGACGTAGGTATAGCTCGATCGGATTGTGGGACATGTGTTATGGGTGTGGGCGGGGTGTGTGTTTGTCGTGCAGTGCAAACCATGTGGCAGCCGTCGGATTGGACGTCCGGGCGGGCACGTGGCCATGTAAAGGGCTAAACTGGTGTGTGTGAATTGCGACATTATTAGTAATGGAGGATTCCAAGGAGATAAGAGGGGAAATCGCGGACAGGTGGCTCCCTGGCGGAATCGGCGGTTTAAAGTGGCGGAATGAACGGTGTTAGTAAGCAAAAACTATCACAAATACACATACAAATCGTTGTACTCTTGATGCTCAGAGGGGAATTTGCGGGTGAATAACCCACACACACACTTCCTCACCATGTGAGTAGGTGTGTAAAGCTGGTCGCTGCGCCCAAGTAGGAAGGAGAGGGTGGCTGTGTAAGTATTTGGAAGGATCTTGGTATTGCTATTCAGTAAGGGGTGCTTTTTTAACAACGTTCGTTCCTGGAATGGAAAGATGAAATACGAGCCTGAAATGGAAAGTGCAAAAACCGCTTTCGTCATTGAGAGGTGAAATTTCGCCTCATCCCTTTCCTTCGTCGCGTGGAGTTCGTTAGCTCAGGGGCATGATCGGTGGGGATTGGGCGTCTATTTTAGACCTAAAGGTGGGAGGAATTATTCCGCACCTCTACTTTGGCTGTCGACTAAATTATATATCACTTTGTTCACCGATTGGAATTCGCGGTCTAATACAATCGACAGTTGATGGAATCAATAATATTCAATTGAAGTCTATCGGGGTTCTGAAGTTGCACTAGTCAACCACCCTTTGGCTCGAAAGAACGTGCGCCAGAAAAAAAAATCATTTTGGATTTTCATCTGGTTTTTCTTTTCTTTTTTTATTCTAGGGCCCCGCGTGCGATGAGGCCACGAGTGTTAGAAACACTGACGATGACGACATGCTACAAACGAAACAGTTAAGGGCAAGCCAACACAGCAAGCAATCGTCCCCCTCCTCAAACCCTCATCTTCTCTCTCTCTCTCTCCTCCCACCGGCGACAGAGCTGCGCTCGTCACCTCAAGTCCCACACATTATATGAGTACTACCATCTTTGGATCGATGACATTCACGGATCGAGTCTGGAACCGGATGCAAAAAATGGGAAATACTCATCTTCATTCTCATTCTCCTCCTTCACATCTTACTTGGAACAACTCCGCTCACAGCAACAACAACAACAGCAGCAGCAACAGCAACCATCATCATTTCGTACTTCATTTGGGTTCATCAACCACTTCTTCTACCTTCGCCGATTCTTCTATAACAAGCGCACATTACACCCTCTCTCTCTCTTGTCTCGTCCTTCTCGCTCTCAACCTACATAGGTATATGACAAGGACACTAGCCGACTCTTCTGCTTCCCCATCATCCTCCGCCATCGCTACTGCTACTATCCTCTTTGGTCCCTCTTCATGTTCTCACCTTGAGCCTCATGAACCTTCCGACGCCTGTCTCACATTATCGTCATCCCCAACAAAACTTACTCCCACTTTGCTTTCTCTCCCCACTTCTACCTCTTCCAACAAACCTACTACAACAATGACGACTTCTCTACTCTCACTTCCTTCTTCCGCTACTCCTTCCACTGCTGCTGTATCCGCAAAGTCACGAGTTTTACCCAAACAACCTTCACGTCGATCTAACACTCTGACTAACGTACCTCTCATCTCTTCCTCCTCGTACAGCGGTCACACCTCCCCTTCTTCGCCTTCATCTTCCGATGGTGGTCAGCTTGCAACAGCGGCGGGAACTTCAACCTACGTTCCCACAGCCACGACTTCGCGTCAACACAAACGTGCCTACCATGACCACTACCCAACTCGGCACTCCCATTCCCGTAGCCCCGGCCCCCGTCCTTTCGCCTTTTCCTCATCCTCAAAACCTCTTTTTAACCTATCTTCACTGCCACCTTCATACTATTCCAATGTTTCATCCTCACTCTCAAACAAAAACTTGGAGCATCTACCCTCCAAAAACAAAAGTAAAATCACTACCACTGGTTTCTCACTCTCATCATCTAGTGCATCTCGACCTAATTCACCTCCAACCCTCGCTTTGTCATCAGCTTCTTCCACTTCTTCGTCATCCGGTTCGTCATCCGATTCATCAGAAGAAGGCGGAGATGCGATGGAAGGGGGAAACCATTTCACGGCAAGTTCTGCTGGACCTCGTTATCATTCAGTAACAGGACCATTGAAAAGTACAAGGCGAAGTGAGGGTCACATTGGTATGCGTAAAACTCTAGCAAATGTTTCGACCGCAAACTCAGGGATGGTGGGAACAGGTCTCAGTTCAGGGTCGGGAATCGGCCGAAAAGTCGCAGACTCGTTGCAGCTGTTTCGTGAAACGGCTGGCGGATCCTCTGGTGTTTCTGGTGCGGGTGCGGGTGTTAACCCTGCTTCTGGATCTGGATCTGGATCTGGGTCTGTGATTCGTTCCAGTTCTGCGATTGGCTCGGGTTATTTGACTGCTGGCACTGATGTTTCTCGTACGAATTCTACGGCACCTACTGCAAGTGCGAAATTGGGTTCGGTTATAGGTGAGACTCTTGTGCTTGGCGGGGCCACGGCAGATGGAGGACCTGGCGTTTCTCGTTCGAAATCGAAGAACCTCAAAGGACGCTCGCCTGGAGCTTTCAGTCATCTTAAAGGCGGTGGTAAGGAAGAAGAGGAAGAGGAAGAGATTGGGGGGACGGTATTTGTGAAGAGACAGGCTTGGCCTGAGAGGGAGTCAGTAATGCTGAAAATGGGTTCCAAACGACAACAAATCGCGCCTCCGCCTTCCTCTTCGCATCTGGTGTCGGGATCGGAGTGGAGCGTTGATCGTGGAGTGTTGGGTGGTGTGAACGCGGATCGAGGGAGACTTATGGAGAGGGGATGTCGACCTTCGATTCCCCCTCGCTGTACCCCCCCTGTTGCTGATGTTCCGAGTGCGCGTGCAGGTACCGCCTTTCGAGTATCGGGATCGGCGTCAAGGTCGAGGTCGGGGTCGGGGTCGGGGAAGCGTAATGATGAAGGTGAGTTAATATCGTCGTCTCGTTTGGCTTCTTATTGGATTGTTGCTCTGGAAGAACTACCTTTTTTGTTCTATCCGACCTTCCTCGATATCGCGTGTGCACGAGAAGCGTTATCATTGACTTTGTTGCTGTTCCTGATAACATTCAACGTCTTGATCTCCTTTATGTTTTCGGCATCCCACCCCCTAATTTGATCTCACATTGTTTCGAACTGAAACTGAAATTCCTTTCCCTTTGCTTGGATGCATGGCATTTGTATGGTAATTCTAATTTTGTTTCTATTTTTTTAATCAGACACGACGGTTACGATTCCCGATCGCTACAACCACCATTACCGCAATAGGGATGACGATGGCGATAGAGTCGACTCGGAGGTTGACCGCAAGTTGCAGGCACGGGTGCAGACGCCTACCGCTTCCCCGACTCAGTTGCCGCCTTCTACGGGAGCCGCATCTGATGGTATGACGTCGAGATGGCCTAGAGGTGTGGCGGGGGGATCCGGATCGTCCGGTGGGCTTAGGAACAAGTCCAAGTCCAAGTCCAAGTCCAAGTCGAGAGGACCTACGCCTCCACCTTTCCACCTTATACAACCGCATTCAACAATCACACCATTACCGTTGTCTCAGTCGCAATCGCAATCGCAATCGCAACCTCAATCTCGTTCGTCCAGCGCAAGAATACAACCCTCCCCTGGCATATTGTTGGAACCAGTCCTACGGCTAGCTCTTTATCAACTTCCCCTTCCCTTTCGAATTTCCCTTCACACCCTAGCACTGATTCCTACCTTTCCCCCTCCACTGCCACAACAACCGAAAATGAACGATCACCTCCGAGGAGGAAGTCTTTGCTGCGGCCATCGAAATCGAGATCTGTGATCGGAGGAAAAATCCTTGACGACTCTGTCGTAACTTTTGGGAAGAGTGGTGAAGGTGTTGGAGTTGAGGAACCTGCTGCGTTAAGTTCTGGGTGGGACACCGCTAGTACGACAACGCCTAGCGTCAGTGATACGGAAGACGAGGATTATGATGAGGAGGATGATGAAGATTATGATGAAGGTGAGGAAATGTACGAAGGTGATGGGGATGACAGGGTGAGAAGGGATGCCACGGTCCCAGGTGCGGATGGGTATGTTCGAAGCGGGCGCAAGGTTGAGGGAAGGAGGATGATGAGTGATGACGCGCTCAGTTTGAATCTTGGTCGACGTGGGGAGATGTCGAGTACGCCTACGATGACTGGGAGGGACGCTGAAGGTTATCGCCGCCATCATCATCTTCATCGATATGAGTTTCCTACTCGTGTTCCCTCTGCGGAATTTGGAGGCCGTGCATGGAGGGATGCGGAGGAGATGGAGGAGGATGGTAGTGGAAGTTCTGGGAATGGTGTTGGAGAGCTGATGACACCGCAGAGTCCAAGGCTACCTCATGTTCCTTTGAAACCCTTCAGGAACCAGGTAGGTGGGCATAGCGCGATATACAAGTTTACCAAGAGAGCCGTATGTAAGGTGAGTGGGGGATGTTGTGGTGCTTTGGTCTATCGAGGTTGACGACCATGCTTTTTGTGGTGTTTCTCGTGCTGTCGTGGATGATTCTCTTGTCGTCTCGTTCATTCCTTTTCCAGCCTCTCGTCTCGAGGGAAAACCTCTTCTACGAGGCCGTAGAGCGGGAGTCACCCGAGCTCCTGGACTTTATCCCCCGATATCTTGGTGTGATGCTCGTTAACTACAGACGAGTTCGGAAGGGGTCCCATTTGCACAATCCTTCGGCCGCAATTCAGGATTCTGAGGAGAAAGGGGATGGGATGGGGATGGGGAATGCTAGGGTCCAACAACATCAATATCAGCATCGCCGTGCCACTCCCCCAAGGACTCCTACAGGTGAGCTGACGCAGCCATCTTCCGGAGAGAGCACGCCTGCTCCTGGGCCTGGAAGTCCCGTCATCCCAGTTGATCATCTTTCCCTCACTGAATCTGGGGATCGAGTGGGTTTGAAACCCGCTCTGCGCAAGTTTGCGACGACCGCTGGTGGCACGGGGAGCGGGATCAGGCACGAGTCTGCTGTGCCGAGTCGTAACAAATCCCCAGTCATGCCCACCAGCCAGAGTTTTGGAGGCGGACGTGCTCGAGCTGCCAGTTCGGGGATGGTAGTGGGTCGGTCTGCCATGTCGTCTGTTCGCGAAGGTGGATCGAAGACGGACACGGACACGGATGATGAATTTCCTGAGGTTGAGCTTGACAGGAATCAGCATATTATTCCTAGGTGGATGTTACGTGGTGCTGCCTCTATTTCGGGTGGCTCCGCGTCGTTATCGAATTCTTTCATGACTGCTAGGATCGGATTGAGGCGCGGTGGAGGGAGGAGAGGATTTGAGAGTGGGACTGCTTCGTCTCCTGATTTGTCGACCTATGGGTATGGATATGAGTTGGGGTTGAGGAGAAGTTTGAGGAGTTTAGAGGGGGCGAGTTCGTCGTCACAAGGGTTTGTGTCGAGTCCTTTGGCGAGGAGTGCGATTCTTGACGAAGGGAAGGGGACCAGTGAAGCGATTGCGGCGAATGGGCGTGCCATTGATGGTCTTCCTACTGCGTCCAGCAGTTCTCCACAGGATCGTGCGTTTGCTCCGACGTTTTCCTCTGCTCCCATAACTCCTGTCTTGACGACCATGCCGAGACCTCTTCCTACTGCAATTCAAATGACACACGAAATTCCTACGCCTTTACCCGCGCTCGGTGATAGTTTCACCCAATCATGGCACGAAGATCTTCGTTGCACTGGGTTGGGAGGAGGGATCGGATCGACGGTTGTGAACACAAAGTTGAAGGATCATGTCTTTGGAGCGATCTTGAAGAAGTTTTCGAGACGTCAGGCGTTGGGATACGGGGGTCATTTGCATCCACATTCTCCTCCACATTCATATCAGTCCCAATTGCTTTGCCATTTGTCGAGGACGGAAGACGAGGGGGAGAGGGAGAGAAGGCGGCGGCATTCTGGATGTGGGTTTTCGCCCGGCGGTAGTGCCAGAAGGAGACGGATTGTTTCGATGTCCCCTGGAGGTAGGGGCGTGAACGGTGAGAGGTCGGTCGGGGAGGTGGTTTCTACCCCTTCGACGTCGTGTGGAGAGGACCAGGATGCAAGGACTATTGCTCATGCTGCTGATGGGGTTCACGAAGAGGAAGAGGAAAAGGAAAGTCGGCTCCGAAGGGTGCGGAGTGAGAGCGCCATTCCTTCTCGGTCGAAGATGGGAACGGACAAGACCTCGCCCATTAATTCCCCCATCGGCGTCGGATATGCTTCCCCGCCCGTTGCTGGTGCTGCTGTTGCCAGGTATGGCTCAATGTCCCGAACGGGGAGTTTTGGCGACGACACCGGGGTCATGTCGAGCTCTTCGTCACATTCGAATGGTGTGACGGAGACGGAGGTGCACCATGGTCTTTTTGGGCGGGATATTCGAAGGAGCAGGAGTCGAAGCGTCGATGAGGGTCTGCAGAGAAGGCCTTTGCCTCCCAATCATGAGAGTTTTTTGGCATCGTTGACTATACCTGAAAAGGAAGAGTCGTGCGATCGCTTGCCCCTTGACGCGGATATCGCGTATGCCACCGATATTGGGTATCGTGCTGTTGACGATAACCTTCGCCAACTGCGTCACCAGATCTCGACGCAGGGTCTCAGACAATCCTCCTTCCAGTCACATTCACTCACCCCACCAATCGGATCATTTAGAACAGGTTCCCCTGCGAGACCCTTGATTCACCACGATGGTGCCGGTGATAACGGTGAGGGACACCCTAGTGGAACCACGCGTCAGGAGCACTTTATCCTAATGGAAGATCTCACGGGTCGCTTGAAGTATCCCTGCGTGCTGGATCTCAAGATGGGCACGAGGCAATATGGGATCGATGCGACCGCTGCGAAGAAGAAAAGTCAGAGGAAGAAATGCGACCGGACGACGAGTAGGACGCTGGGCGTTAGGGCATGTGGTAAACAGGTGAGTTGAAGGAAAGGAAAGAGGTGTGGTCGTGTGCACTTCTTTTCTTATCGACACTGGCGAGCATCAGCTGACTAGTTTTTCTTCCCTCTTCATCGCCTCTTTTCGGTGCAATCTTTCCTTTTTCTGACGGTGGTTAAATTGCTCTATCTGGGGCATTCAAACTTGGAATCGGCTAAATCGACTTTTTGGTGCCGGCGTTTCATATCTAATCTATCCCACTCGTTCAACTGCGGGCGATCCTCCAATTTCCAATGACTGCGTTGATTTTGCTATAATTGTGTTGCTGGTGGTGGTCTTTCTTCACCTCAGGTGTGGAACCACGTCTCGCAATCCTACGTCACGCAGGACAAATACGTTGGCCGGGATACCCGCACGGAGGACTTCCCCTGCGATCTTGCCAGGTTCTTCTCCGATGGGGAACGTCTTCTCGTATACCATATCCCTGTCTTGCTTCACAAGCTTTATCGCTTGGCCAAGATCATCAATAGACTAAAAGGATATCGGTTCTATGGCTGCAGCCTGTTATTCATATACGATGGCGACCATGAAACGCAGGAGACGTACCGGAAAGCTTTGTCTGAGTCTCCTGGCTCTTCGCATGCCAAAACGAAGAGGAGTGATTCTGTCGGGAGACAAATATCTCGGGAGTCGAATCATGACAAGGCGCAACATCCGAATCGACCGAGTCTCCGACGGACTTTGAGTGAGGATTTACATGCTGGACATGCTGCTGCCCGACATTCCCGACAACATCCCCGTGGTTGGAAGAAGCGGGGCGAGATCAATATTCGGATTGTTGACTTTGCGCATACGACAACTGGGCGGGACTTTGTCGTTGTACCGCCAACTCCGCCTACCTCGATGAAGGATGCCAGTGTTGCCAGCGCCAGTAGTAATGGTTTGCAGCCACCTCCTCCTTCGCCCTTCCCGCGACCTTCTTCCGGTGCTTCTGTTGAGCGCACTGAGAGCGTACGTCCAGATGTGGAGAAGAAGCCTCCAGGGTATTATACCGACGTCGATCCCGAGACAGGACTCATTCGTGCTCGGTTCCCGCCACATCGTTTGGAACGTCCCGATCTTGGGTTTATCTTTGGTTTGAAGAACTTGTCCGAATCTCTTGAGCGAATTTGGGAGGAGGAGCGTTCGAGACGGGCGAGACAGATTAGGGAGGGGGCGGTTGACGTCGAGCCCCTTGAAAGATTGAATACGGAGTATGGGAAGGTTGTCTTCGAGAGTATCTTCCAGGGTGAAGATGAGGATCCTGGTAATTTCTCGACCTGAATCGGCGCGAGTAATTTGTCTTTTTAATCATGTTAACTTTTTTTTTCCATTCCTGAGCATTCCACCCCCCGTTCATATCCCCAAACACGATTGTTCACTATGCTTTCACTGACCGCTCTGTTGTCATTGTCCGAGCCAGCTGTCATGTCTTTGTTCATTTTCCTGCATTACCACGCATTAACTACTCACTGACACTGATTTGCTTTATTATTGCTATGGTTGGTCATACATAATTCTCTCGTGAACTTTTCGATTCCATCCCCATCCCTGATCCTGGTCCGCAACCGTTCCCTTCTGATGCGTCTGCGCTTGTGCCCCCCCCCCCCCCCCTTCCGTCAACATATGTCTCATTTTTGCATCGCATGTGTCCTTACACCACAGGCCCGGAACTATTTGGGATTCAACGAAAAGTGATTCGTACTAATCAGTTGTGTCGGTAATGCTGCGTGTGTAAGAACAAAAAAATTATGTGTACCAGAAGTCATGCACGCATATATGGTAAGCGCATAGTCAGGAATTACATCGGGATCCCGGCACACGCGCTCACATGCACGAACATATGGAATGGAACTGTGGATACCGGCTTCATTATGCATGAGGCCTCAGAACTGCATTGTGTATCTATAAGAATGCGCACGAGTACATGTCTGTTAGGCAAATTACGACTAGCATTATTTCCGCCAACTATTCTCCTAGTGTGATGCCTTTGCATGTAGACAGGCGAACCAGCCTCTATTGGAATATGCCCCTGCGCGGCCCCCTGTAGACAATGAAGAAAAAGACAACGAACTTTTACTCCATGAGGGAAGAACTGCATGAGGTCAATTTTTTTTTGCCCACTCACGCGCTGAGTCCCCGGGCCGAAGAATGAGAATTGCCTGCAAGTTAGTGCATGGGCGTACGTTGTTTCGCTCCTGATGTGCTGGGAGCCTGGGGAAGTATATGCACGGTCTTTTTGTTGAGCAGAATTATTGCATGAGATACGGCGAATTATTTCAGATATATATGGGTTCGTTCACGATCCCAAATCCACGCCTGGGAGACGACAACAAGTTTCCTCATACATGTGGTAATGGGATGAAGAAGGCAAATGTGACGAGCCGAGTCTGAAATGCAACTGAAAAATGAACTCACCAAAGGCTAAAAGGCAGTCATATAAACGTGAATGTGACGGTTTTTCAAATTTGTTGAGTAGGGCCATTCTGTTTCCGGCGCTGTGTATCTCTTTGACCGTAGACTGCATACTGTAAGTTTCTCATTTTTGGATTGCATCAATCAAAAAGCTGTTCTGATCAATGATTGCTCGATCAGAGGCCATGTTGCATTCACCATTTTAGGCAATTCCGCTCAGGTGGCAGTGTCACCTCGGAGAATTAAAATCATCTGCGCTTCCCCTGAGAGCAACGGCGGACTTGCTTCCGCCCTGAAGTTCGGGCCACCGGTTCAACCACTCCTGGTTCTGTTCTCGACTACTTTACCTACTCTCTCTGGCCCAGCGCATACACAAGTGGAAGAACAAGGATATGTCTCACTCTCCAGCCCCTGAGAACTGGAAACCGAAAGCGGGTAGACACGGCGTCCAACCTGGGCCATCATTGCTACGGGCGCTCGGAGTTGAAGGGGCGCCAGATCCATTGGAGGATTTCTACTCGTTTAAATGCACGTATGCGATCTTGTTCTTTTGAAACATCATATGTGTGTGTCAGAGAGAGGGCCTTGAGCTTTGTTCACCTTGCTAGATCAGTTCAAGCCTGGTTCAGACGACTCGACTCGGCCTGGGAAGATTGGGTTTATGCAACATAAACCGGATGGGAAGACTGCGTTTAAGATGGAGCGTACGAATGCTCAGGTGAGTTGTGCGTGTGTATGTGTGTATGTGTTGCGTAGTTTATTTGGAGTGTGTTACTGTCATGGCCGGGGTAGAACCCTTGGAAGAGAATGCGCGCTAATGACGATTCCTTTTTATTGCTTATCTGAATACAGAACGAACGACACTTGTTCAACGTGCAACAGCAAGTGAAGGAATGGGAATGTGTGCTCATATATGACGAGGAGACCGGGGTACGATCCCACATATGGGTTTCTTCTATTTGTTGTTATCACACGTTGATTTCGATTGAACGTTCATCCTTCCCAATTTAACTTCTCCGTAGACATTCACGCTAGAACGCCTTGAGAGTCATATGCATATAACGTACGATAGGTCTGGAACGCGCGCCGCACGGGAGGCTGGGGCCGCCGCCACCTCGGCGCCTAGTCCTCCCGTTGCGGCTTCTGGTGTCCCCAATGGCCGACAAAATGCCCCTAGTACGAAATCATCATCGACTCCTATGCCACGAGCGATGATCCCCATGACCTCAACGGCAAACGGCCATGATATTGATGAGGAGGAGGAAGAGGAAGAGGAAGAAGAGAAGCCACTTGCCACCGTTGTCACTCTTCCCACCCAGCAGAAGGTTCCCCCTCCGAATAACAACAAAGCCGCTGCGCGACCGAAAATATCTCTAACCAAGATCGATCAAGAAACACCCGAAATAGAAGAACTCCTAGATATCTCCAATCCAGTGCTCGTTGGCCCTACCGCCTCCACCACCATCATCACCACGAAACCGCGTCCACGGCCGAAACCATTAATATCGAAACAGGAGAAGTCGCAACCATCCGAAATCATCTCGTTAGGAACTCTCAATGCACCAGCTCCGAAACAAAACGGCCCGCTGTCGTTACCAACTTCGAGCGCGTCATCCACATCGAAACCATCTACCCCTGTTCCTCCGTTCACATCAACCCCCACTCAGTTCAGCTTCCCTCAGTATAGTACGCAACAGGATGATGAAGAGGAAGAGGAAGAAGAGGAAGAAGATATGGAAGAAGCTGCTGTACTGCAGCAGCAGCCGCAGCAACAGCATCGACAGCCACCTCCTCATCTTGCATCTTTATACGTGCATGATTCTGCGAGTGACTCGGATAGCGACAAGCCCGAAGAAGAGTTCGATTTCCTTGCGGATGCATTTGGGCAAGATGACCCTGCACCTTCTGCCTCAGCCCAACCGGGTTCAGGCCCTGGTAGGAGAATCATGAGTCTAAATCGTCTTGCTGGAGGTGGGCCTAATCGCTTCCTTCCATTTCCAATGCTTTCTCAGCTTTAAACTAATCGCCACAATGCTAATGATAGGGCAAGAAGAGGAAGAGAGCTCTAGTGATGAATCAGACTGAGTTCTTTCCGAGTATCCCTTCCTTCCTCACTATTGACATCTGACCCCCATTGGATTTTCGCGATGTGCAGGCCAACATCGTACATCCGCCTCGCTGTATGTATATTTCGAATCCCTTATTGTTACCCATCCAAAACGGGACAACCCCAAGTTGTAACAAGTAATCACACCACGATAGCAAAATCGCACAGAATAATATTACGCATCCTTCTACATGCCAAATCGAGTGCTTCCTGCCCCTTGGACTATTCGACTCAAGCATTAGTACGGGTTTGGGACGATTGAGCGTCTTGTGTTGCTTGCAGGGATCTCTCCCGATCCAATGACTTTGAGTCCAGCCCCAGCTCCTCTGGCAACGTGCGCCCACCAGGAGCGGGAGTGGGCTAAGACGAATCCGTTGAGGTGGATGACATTAAGCTCATCATGAGTGAGCTTGCCTGATCAGGAGACAGGAGTGTGGACGTCGTGAATGGAAGAATGCCATTACCAGCATCCGATGGAATCGAAGGCGCAGGAGATGGTGCGGAGGTAATGGTGGGAGTAGAACTGGTTCCACTTCCACTGGATGTTGGTATGTCTGTGTTTGTCGGTGGAGCGGAAGGAGTGCTGATGGGACCAGGAGTGCTGGGGATGGTGGTTTCACCAGCACCACTGCCAGCGGTGCTGTTATTAAAAAGCGCCTCAGAAAGCGCCTCAGGTTGTGTGTCGATGAATGCTCCCGTAGGGCCGGCGACGATGGATCCTGAGAACTGATGTGTGAGGTCTTGGAGAAGTGGTTGGGATGTATTAGTGATGTAAAGATACACGAGACCGTTAATGCCATTGGGGACTATGCACTGGTCGAAGGGGAGAGCGATAGCCATGGGTGCACCACCAAGCATCATCTGACACGTAAGATTCTGAACGAACCATTGTGTCAGAACATAACGGGGAGAGGTATTGCGGCGGACTTACGGTAGTCAAAGGAGAATTATCAATAGCAGGGGAAGAGAACGTCAATTTCGTTCCGGGACCAACCGTGCCATTGCTTGTAACAGTGAGAACAGGATTTGCTGCAAGAAAGGAAGGCATAAATATCGATAGTGCCTAACAACATTATCTACTTGCCTGGTATGCCCAGGTCACACCCGGAGATGAACGGCCCAGCCATAGCAAGAACTTGTGAAGGGCTCAAAGCCATATCAAACGCAGCCGCTATGCTGGACCCTCTATTGAGTACGTTGAGAATTGACTGATGCCGAGCTTCGATGGTCAAAATTGATGCCGCGACGCTTAGCAACTGAGGTGAGGTGATTAGAGAAGCGGCTCCAAGGTAAGCAGAAACTCCAACGTTCTCGACAAGTCGAGCAACGGCAGCCATGGTTTTCACGTTTGTGAGGGCAGAGGTGAAGTCGAATTGGCATGAAGATATGGGCGTTCCTCCCAACGATGTTATTGCCCCCTACAGCGGGGTCAGGATGGAAGATGAGGGTCGCTGAACGATGAACTAACCTCCAATGCGGTTGTGTGAGATGCCTCGTCGCCTCGGATCGTCATGAATTGCTGAACCGGGATGTCGGCGGAGTTGAATCCAGCGTTCGTGAAGTCGCTGGGTTGGAACTTGGCAAGAGCCTGTTGATAGAATGCAGTCTCAAGCTGCTCCAGAACATGTGCGAATTCTATCCGTATGATCAGGACACGCTAGTCAACTCGGCTAAGATAGCCAAAGGACTCACGAAGTGCAAGCAATGTGGATTTATCGTCACGCCTTAGAACTGGCACGGCCAGTACACTCAAAGGAATAAGAATGGAGGCAAAGAAGAAAGAACGCATATTTGAAGAAAAGGAAAGACAAATTCACGACCGGTCGTTGTGTACTAGAAAGGAGTATCCCAGATACTCCGTAGGCCAGCCTAAAGGAACCTGATGGAATGGAGCATGAGGTCAATGTTCAGGTCTCGATGCGCCTGACCTACTCACGAAGCTATAAACAACAAACGAACAAAGAGACGAGGGGAGAGGGAGGAAGACGCGAAAGACGGATGCCGCCATAAAGCTTAAGTTAGAGGATCGAGGCCGTGACTGTTCCCACGGCTACCATCACTCTCTCCTAAAAGTCAAGGAGATGATCACTGAAGCGATCAGAACATTAAACAAAGCACGATAGAATTGAAAGCCTCCATGAAAGGCATATCCAGAGCTACATCTACAAACGCCGGACCATCTCCGGACACAGATCTCCGATTTTTCGTGCTCCTACATTGACGGTTGCAGTCAAATAAGCCGCAGATCTGTATCCCAAGTAATCTTACCTAGCAGTCGCATCCCTCGTTCTATTTCATCGCGCATGACTAATGGAAACCACCCGGGTAAATATTATGGTGATGAATGAGAACTAGGCAAGTTGCACTGACTTGCGACAGCCTTGACAACCCCAGCCTCCCCTGAGGAAGATAGCCTTTTAGGACGCGTCTCCGATCCCAACTGACCGGAATAAGCCTACCATACGCAGAATTTGCATAAAGGAACGGCCTCCCCATGCCTACCCCTTTTGCGCCGAGACACAGAGCTACGATCAATATCCGATTAGGCAATGGTCAAAACCCACATATGGGGATGGTGCTTGTCACTACCTTTCAAGACATCAGAGCCTCGACGCACCCCCCCATCGATAAAAATATCCATCTTCTCGAACATATCAGGTCTTTCTTGCCGAAGCTCCCATAGAATATCGATGCTCGCAGGTGCACTTACGGTGTCGCAATGAGTGCAACATCCAGTTTCTGAGCCAGGCAAACACTCAACTATGCCAATTGTCGCCCCTGGAAACCTTTGTTACTGGCCACCCGTGTCGCTAACACATGTATATGTCACTTGCCCCATGATTTGAGAGTATAACCCCTTGCGCGCCATGTTCGTATGCAAGCACCACGTCTTCAACACATTGAACGCCCTTGACAATAATTGGCAGCTTTGTAAGAGTCTTCGGAAGGCGAAATGATCTTAGGCCATGGTATTCGAGCAAAAATTAGGATTCACCTTGAGCCACGACATCACCTCCCATCCCAGATTCTCGTCGAAGAATGACCCCAAACCCCGTGCGACACCCAGTTCTGCATCGTTCTTTAGTAGAAGCTAGTCAGGCCTCCCTCCCTTCTACAATGAAGCCCGACACTAACTGAAACTGCAGCCATGGTGCGCATGTCACTTTCTCGCTTCCCCAATGCGGGGGTATCGGCCGTGAGTATGATTCCCCGAAAGCCCAGCCGTTCTACTTTTCGAACCATCTCTGCTGAGTTTTCATGATTGGGATGAATGTATAACTACCGACGGGACGTCCAGATGCAGAATTTTGAGATGTAGGAACGGTCGACCCTTACCTGAAAGAATAAAGTTTGGTCGGGGCTTTTGACTGCTGCAATTTCTTCGACAGTGCAAGTTGAATTATTGGATACCTTGAGTTTCTTCAGTGACAAGGACGTACACTCAGATTCGGAGGAAGCGCGGGGACGTACACATTGCACAATGCCCGACACAGCCGCACCCCTAGTAATGGGGACTTCACCGTCCGGGCTCCCCAAACCCGCAAGCGCCGCGGGACATACGAATACTGGAAGCGACGTTGGTATACCCAAAAATGTTGTCGAAGTGTCGACGTCACGCGTCTTTCGCAGCCTGGAGAAGACTCGCTCAGTCTAATAGACTATCGAAGGGCTTTAGCGTGACGAACGCTCTGGGACGGAACCAATAGCGACTGTAGGAGCTCAGATTGTTGCGATGACTTGAATCATCCTCAGCCGCACCGGAATAGTACGCCCACGCAGTTTTTGTTAAGACTGTCTCCGCGACATTCTATGACAGCAGTGAGAACAGGGATAATAATTAATCGACAATTGACTCCACGCCTTACCTCAAAGTCATCTAGATTGATCATCTGGTGGATCGGACGTTTATTCTTGTGCGCGAGCACAATCCGCTGCCCTTCACCCGATTTTATGACAGCATCTTGAGGGACTGTGGGTGCATCGATGTCCCCAAGGCATTGTTCAGGGGTGAGCATAGTAGTAAGGAATCTTTGAGAATGGTGTGCATCAAATATGGCTCTGTTAAATTGACGATTACTAGGAGACCAATGTAGGGGACAGCCGAACCCTGACGTTACATCCTTTGCGGCATTGGAAAGGATAATTGCAGGCCCTCCCGGATGGACGGGGAGGAAGCCCGTCAAGCTTAGAAATGTGAGATCATTTGTCAGAGTAATTCAAGGCTAACTTACTCGTACACCTAGGACTCGCACGAGGAACCATCAAGATTATCCCCCATGAATCAAAGTAACACCCACCTTCCCATGAATGATGACCCACAGGCTGCGCTCAGTTGAGTGTCTCTTCACTTCATCATAGGTATACATACGAGATGTGTTCGAAGGCGAGGCCGGGGCATCCGAATTTACAGCATGTTTCCAATTTTGAGGCGCGTAGATTAAGTAAGAAATCCCGACTAGGCCAGTAGCGCCGAGAATATACTTCCCCAAGTCATACGTAGCGCGATTGTACGTGACTTGAGGACGTGCTTCAGACCGAAAACCGCTCTTATGATACAGAAAGACCTTCTTTCGTATAGCATCTCGAGCCCAGCGCGACAGCGACCAGAGGCCAGTATAAGCTGAGACGCGCATTGCCTCCAGTACATTAATGCTGTTGGTGTCAACTAGAGTGCTCTACGAAATGTATAGGGCTTCGTGTTTACGTAATACAAGGAATCGGTGAATGGAGGCGCATGCAATGCGAAAATCCGTCAAGCACGGCGCACTCGTGCTTCATGACAAATCAGAGACTCTAGTTATTCCAAAGATGAGTCTACCTTCTATACTAATAGAGGTAGGCAGGATCCCAGCCTCTACTAAAGCGGATAATAGAGCTAGAGGCCGGCAAGCTGCCTAGGTCTACCTCGGTTATAATGTTGGGAATTGAGTTCATATTGCTAACTATACAACTGCTCCGCAAACAGTCATAGGAAAAAGGCATGCGCGTAACAAATGGGTTATCTTGAATTCCCGCTCTCTCGATGTTCTTCATAGGATCGGATTATAGTCTATGTGATATACCAGCAGATGTGTGCTGGACTGATACTGAGACTCTGGTTTAGTGCATACCATCGATACCAGTGCATCGGATGCCAAATTTAATTCACACAGAAGCGAAGCACATATGGTAGGTTTGTGTACGAGAGGCCAGGATATGATTGAATGGTTTGGGATGTTGAAATCCATGCATGTGGGGGTAACTGTACAATGCTAGCAAAATGAAAACAAACAACATTGATAAGTTTTTTTTTTTTGCGTTCTTGCCAACCTTGGTGAAGTATAACAGAGGCGATGATGAATAAGATTAAGCAGGTGGTAGAGTGGAGCGGGCGAGCGGGTCGCACGGAGCAGATGTTATCAGGGAGTGCGCTGTTGAAGCACCATGGAGACAGATCAGGCATAAGTAGAACGGGCCCACTTGGCCGCCTCAACGAGGTTGGTCAAAGATGCTACAGAAGTAAACGCGTCAGCCAAGAGTGCCTTCACGAAAGATCACCAACCAACTTACCCTCAGTCTCCTTCCATCCACGAGTTTTGAGACCACAGTCAGGGTTAATGACAAGGAGGTCGCTCGGGAGCGCCTCCAACATATCCCGAATTCGGTCCTTGATCTCTTGAGTCGAAGGAACACGGGGCGAATGAATGTCATACACTCCGGGCCCAATCTCGTTCTTGTACCCGTACTGCTTGAACGCGCTGAGGAGCTTCATGTCGCTCTTGGAAGCCTCAATGGAGATGACGTCTGCATCCAGACGTTGGATGGATGGGAAGATATCGTTGAAGTCTGAGTAGCAGAAGTGTGAGTGTGTTTGCGTCTCGTCCCTCACACCAGCAGTCGCGAGACGGAAGGAGTCCACGGCCCAGGTGAGGTAGGCATCCCAATCTGCTCGACGGAGAGGCAGACCCTCACGGATCGCGGGCTCGTCAACTTGAATGGCGTGTATACCAGCGGCCTCGAGGTCAATGACTTCGTCACGGAGAGAGAGTGCGAGTTGCTTAGATTGAATCTCACGCGAGACATCAATACGGGGAATGACCAGTTGAGGATGGTGACAGGTCCAGTAAGCATACCCTTCACAGGATTCTTGGTAATGCTCTGAGCGTACTTGCTCCACCTGACAGTGATAGGGCTGGGGCGGCTGACATCGGAGATGATAATTGGTGGGCGAACGTAACTGATTGCAAGGCAAAACGGTTAGATGCATTCTGTATGGGGAAGGAATGCAATATACCGGGAACCGTAGCTCTGAACCCAAGCGTGCTCAGTGAAGACAAACCCGTTAAGACGTTCTCCGAAATATTGGACCATGTCGTTTCGCTCAGGCTCGCCGTGCACAAGGAGGTCAAGTCCAATCTTCTCCTGGAATCGGACGACAATCTCAATCTCCTTAGCGATAAATTCGTCATACTCCTTTTCGGGGATCTCTCCCTTGGTGAACTTGGCACGGGCTTGACGAATCTCCTTTGTCTGGGGGAACGATCCAATGGTGGTGGTCGGGAAGTTGGGCAAGCTTAGATGTCCCTTCTGAGCCTCTCGGCGCACAGGGAAGGGGCTTTTACGCTCCAAATCCTTGGAAGTGATAGCAGCAACACGCTTCCGGACTGCGTCATCCGAAGTAGACTCGAATTCACGTCGCTTGGCGATCGAAACGCGATTCGCCTCGAGGGCTGAGCTAATTCTTGGATCTTGGGATCCTGACAATGCCGCGGCGATAGTCGCAACCTCATGACTCTTTTCGGTGGCGAAAGAGAAGAAGTCCTTGACCTCGGGTTTCAATTTCTTCTCGGCTTCGAGAGAGATGGGAGTGTGGAGAAGGGAAGACGAAGTGGCGACGATGACACGGTCCGCTCCGAGAGCATCAAGAGCCTTTTGAGCAAGGGCGACCGAGGCACCAAAGTCATTCTTCCAGATATTACGACCAGAGACGAGACCGAGGGAAAGGGAGATGCTCGTACCCTTAACCGCATCGATGACGGAGTTGAGCTGCTGAGGTTCGCGGTCGAGGTCAATATGGAGTGCGTGGATGGGAAGCTTAGCAATGAAGCTAATGTTATCCTCAAGACGGCCAAAGTAGGTGGTGAGGACTATCTTAGGCGAAACCTTGGCCAGCTCCGTATACGTGGAAATATACTCTTCCGCGTATTGCTTCGCTAGCTCGAGCACAAGCACCGGTTCGTCAATTTGGACATATTCAACGCCATTTTCTTTGAGCTGTGAGACGAGTTCTTTGTACACTGGGATCAACTTGGGGAGGATATCGATGGGTTTGAAGTCGGGTGAAGCATCGCGAGCCTTCTTTCCAAGCAAGATGAATGAAAGAGGTCCGAGTACAACCGGACGTGTTGTGATGCCAAGAGCCTTAGCTTCCTTGTACTCCTCTAAGGCCTTGTTGTAGTTCAATTTTGGTTCGACGGACTGCGAGAATTCAGGCACAACAAAGTGATAGTTGGAATCAAACCTTGCCAAATTATGAGCATAAAACGCCGAACATCGCGATGAATAACGTACCATTTTTTCATCTCAGAAGCGGGAACGTCCACACCGTCGGCTTGACGACCACGACCAATGGCGAAGTAGATATCCAGAAGCGTCAGGTGCTGACCAAGATAACGGTGAGGGATAATGTTTAACTCGGCAGAGTGGTCAAGAACGTGGTCATAGAGCGAGAAGTCACCGCTGACGAAGGATCGGACTTAACTTGCGAGATGGAGTGTAACGATGGACAGACCTTGGGATAAAATCTACGCCTTGAGCCTTAACAGACTCCCAGCTCGCCTTCCTAGTGGCTGCTGCAGCCTTCTGGAGCTCCTCCGCAGAGAGTTTTCCGGCCCAGTAGGCCTCAACGGCTTTTTTGACTTCACGGTTTCCACCTGAACACGCCCCCGATCGATCAATAACCTGACTTTCGATCGCTTTTAACTTGAGGCCTCACCGATGCGGGGAAACCCTAGAATGCTAGACTTGACCATGGTGAACAGCAATGAGATATGGCAGAGTGATGAAGGAGAAGGATGGATGAAGAGAAATGGCGAGCGGAACAAACCGATCTTTTATCTATTTTCGATCGATTATCTTTTTTTTGGGGGGAACAATCGCACCATCGCGAAATAACACGTCAAATTGCCCCATCTCCGGATAAACTGTAATACAAACGGAGATAGGCGGGAAGCTGGTAAACACGCGAACGACGCGTTGTACAAGGTCATGAGCCCAGTGCATGCATGGGAACAAGAAAGTGGCCTAGGCTTAGGCTAGGACCCTGGGGGCCCTGGGCCCTGGACGTCATTCTAGTTCTACTTGCTAATGTAAGGTCGGTGGTTGGCAGCCTTAAGGTCATCGGATGATCGGGTTTGGTTTGGCCTTCGAATCTTCCAGTAGCTGGTTCTAGCTGGTGTTAGTGCACGTATCTGAGGAAGACTTGCTGTAGTAGCTATGTAGTATATGCATGATTCGTGACACCAACATGTGCAGGGAAGGGGTGCCCAACCCACTTTCTTACAACCCAGGGCCTCGAACACGATGGTTTCTCTGGCCATCGAGATGACTCGCCTTGCATGCATCCTGGTAGATCAGGTGTGAATCCCAAGGGATCAGAACAGCGAGTGTTGATCAAGTAATTTCCAGGCTACTGTCACATTAAATCCCTTCTGGGGTATTCGATCTTAGCTAACGTCATAAGAATCATTATCCTGGATTGCAAGTGCGAAAGGTTTATGGTACTAGCATTGTAATCCATGGATCGGGGATTCGAGGACGTATATAGCTGATAACGGAAGCAAAAATAGAGTTTCGCTCTTCGTCCTCTCGACTTCCATCCCAAAAGCTTTGCCAGGCTCGTGCGATTCATATACTATGCGCGAGGTCCTCTCTCTTGTAAGTTAGCCAGTGTACTCTATCTCCGTTATCTTGTCTCTAACGCGTCCCTTCGCGTTCAAACCAGCACGTAGGCCGTGAACGCCACCCATCCATCTGAAACACGCTGACCCGCGTATCACCCAATTTTGCACAGATCGGCCAAGCCGGAGTTCAGCTTGGGAATTCTTGCTGTACGTTACGCGTTTCAATCGGCGATTCTCTTTGAACTTATCGGTACCCGAATTTACGCCAATACGCGGTGTGACGCGTTTATCCGCAGGGGAACTCTATACCGCTGAACATGGCTTGAGTGTATGAGCTACCCTGTGGTTCGTGAGAATTGTAAACTGACTATCCTGGAGCCCGACGGCCGTCTCGTCGAAGGTTCGCCTTCTGCCAACGACAATGGCTTCTCCACTTTCTTCTCCGAGACAGGCGCTGGAAAACACGTCCCACGTTCTCTTTACATCGATCTTGAGCCTAGTGTAATTGATACTGTTAGGACTGGAAAGTATCGTACCTTGTTCCATCCGGAGACACTTATTTCTGGCCGTGAGGATGCGGCTAATAATTGTGAGGCCCCAACTTGTTGCACCGTTCAAGCTGACTTCTATCAGATGCTCGTGGTCATTACACCATTGGAAAGGAACTGATGGATCCTATCATGGATAAAATTTCACGCCTTGCTGAAAATGCCCCTGGTTTACAGGGGTTCTTTATTTTTCACTCTTTCGGTGGCGGAACGGGAAGCGGATTGGTGAGCGTCACTTCACCGCTCTCGGCCCAGGACTAAAGGCGATACCTCCGGGTTCCCAGGGAGCACTGCTACTGGAGCGCCTGTCCCATGAATATGGAAAGAAGGCCCGACTTGAGTTTGCTGTCTACCCTGCACCCAAGACGTCCAATTCCGTCGTTGAGCCCTACAACACCGTCCTGACTACGCATACTACGCTTGAAAATGTCGACTGCTCGTTTATGGTAAGTTTCCCCGCTTTGTTTCAGCCCATCAAAGCACCAATGCGGCTCTCATAGGTGGATAACGAAGCCATCTATGACATTTGCAAGAAACGTCTCGGGATCGCTTCTCCAAGCTTCACGAACCTTAACCGCATCATCGCTCAAGTTGTCTCTAGCGTCACAGCTTCTCTTCGGTTTGACGGCAGCCTCAATGTTGACCTCAACGAGTTCCAGACCAATCTTGTGCCGTGCGTTTGTCTATCGTGCCCCTCAGTCTGCCAGGGACTCTAACAGACCCCCTAGATTCCCTCGCATTCATTTCCCTCTTGCTACATACGCACCTATTATTTCTGCAGAAAAGGCCACACACGAGCAAAACTCAGTGCTAGAGATGACGCTTTCGTGCTTTGAGTATGGCAATCAGATGGTACCGCGCTATTCAAACTTTTCTGTTCCCAGTGTATGACTCACGAGCAACATAGGTTAAGTGCGACCCCCGTGGGGGAAAATACAGTAAGATTGACATTGTGATGAGTGGTTAGGGTCGTCTAATAGCTTGTGCGCTCTAGTGTCCTGCTGTCTTTTATACCGTGGCGATGTGACTCCTAAAGAAGTCAACGAGACCGTTAAAGTCGTCAAGAGTAAACGCACTGTCCAATTTGTTGATTGGTGAGTCCCTTCGCCATCCATCCTTTGCCCCGATTTACGGTATATGTCTGGTTTGGGGTAGGTGTCCAACTGGATTCAAGCTTGGGATTTGCAACGAACCCCCCGCTCTTATCCCCGAAGGCGATCTTGCCCGAACATCCCGCAGCCTCTGCATGCTTTCTAAGTCCGTTTTGCTATATTTTAATGTACAAGAGCCGCCCCTAACTATGACCAAGTACTACCGCTATTGTCGAGGCATGGCAAGGGATTGACCGCAAATTTGATCTCTTGTACTCAAAACGCGCCTTCGTGCATTGGTACGTGGGTGAAGGTATGGAAGAGGTAAGTGGACGTTAATACCCAAAACGACGAGCTTATGCCAGCTTTGAAGGGCGAGTTCTCTGAGGCCCGCGAGGATCTCGCCTCACTGGAAAAGGACTATGAAGAAGTTGGCGCGGACGCGGCGGACGACCAGCCTTCAGAGTATTGAGCGAGTATGACCCATTCTTTAGCCCCTCATCTTTTTGCCCCTTCGTTTTCGCGTTCGTCCACAGCCCCTAGAGACATATGTTTCGCTCTTCTAATCATGGACTCAACTCAGCTCACACTATTCCCCTGTAAATTTACAATTCATCATCAGACACCAACTGCAAAGAATCATTGTAGCTAATATCCCCTGACTGTGCAGCTTAGAGTCAGAAGCGCAACATCTGAATCGTCGGCAACGCTATTCCCACTTAAGTCCGTTCCTTAGTCCCGTCGATCCAGTTTTGTCTTAGTAGCTTTCATCACTTGCTGCACTATCGCGATGCGTGAAGTTATCTCCCTCCACGTCGGACAAGCCGGCGTTCAAATCGGAAACGCGTGTTGTAAGTCCTTTTGTTTCTGCCAAAAACGCGTCCGTCGCGCTGGGAAGCGGAAACCTTTTATTTCATGACGCATAAATCGCGCAACGACATTGACCGCTGCCCGGCTCTTTTGGCATATAGGGGAGCTTTACACCATCGAACACGGTCTGAATGTATGTGGCTATCACAGTGTTATTCTGTGGCGTGTCCTTTTGTTGAAGCCGGGCTGACCCATCGTGCTTTCCCGCCTTGTATGCGCCACGCATCGTGGTTGATCGCCTTGTAGCCCGATGGACGCCTGAAAGAGGACTCTCCTTCCCATTCTGATAGTGGCTTCTCCACATTCTTCTCTGAGACAGGTGCTGGGAAGCATGTTCCCAGGGCTTTGTACATCGATCTTGAGCCGAATGTCATCGATGAGGTCAGGACGGGGATCTATCGTAGTCTCTTCCATCCGGAGACCCTGGTCAATGGAAAAGAGGATGCTGCGAATAACTGTGCGTTATCTGCCGCTGGAGAGACGATATTTTCAAAAAATGGGACATTGACACTTCCGTGATCAATCAGACGCTCGTGGTCACTACACTGTCGGAAAGGAACTGATTGATAGTGTTATGGACAAGGCTCGAAAGCTTGCAGACAATTGCAACGGCCTTCAGGGCTTCTTCACCTTTCACTCGTTTGGAGGTGGAACTGGTTCGGGATTCGTGAGTTGGCCATGTCCTTGTAGCAATACGATGCGGGGGTTTTTATCGTTCTGCATTGTAGGGTGCCCTGATCATGGAACGTCTCTCGACTGACTACGGCAAGAAATCCAAGCTTGAGTTTGCGGTTTATCCCGCTCCAAAGATGTCTAGCTCAGTAGTTGAGCCATACAACAGCATTCTAACCACCCATACCACGCTGGAACACTCCGATTGCTCATTTATGGTATGATTATTATTATATGTTTCTAGGTGTTTTTATATTTTTATGTCTCCCAAAGGTTGACAACGAGGCTATTTATGACATTTGCAAGAAGAATTTGGGCATATCTTCCCCGGGCTTCACAAATTTGAATCGAATAATTGCTCAAGTCGTCTCCAGCATCACCGCCTCCCTTCGTTTCGATGGAAGTCTTAATGTAGATCTAAACGAATTCCAAACTAACCTTGTGCCGTGAGCATCATTATACTCCACATCAGCCCTGGTGTCGCTCATCGGTAATGTGCCTTCTCAGATTCCCCCGTATCCACTTCCCTCTCGCAACTTACGCACCCATCATTTCCGCCGATAAGGCCTTCCATGAGCAGAACTCTGTAGCCGAGATGACTTTCTCTTGCTTCGAGTCGGGCAACCAAATGGTGTGTATTATTGTTTAACTCAGTAATGTCCCTTTTTTTACTCTATCTTAGGTTAAATGCGACACCAGGGATGGCAAATACATGGCCTGCTGTCTCTTGTTTCGTGGTGATGTGGTTCCCAAGGAAGTCCAGGGCGCAGTCAGTACTATCAAGACTAAGCGTTCTATCCAGTTCGTCGACTGGTGTCCTACTGGGTGAGTAGAGACGCTTAGCACACCGCCCCAAACTGACAGGTTATTTCGCCCAGCTTCAAGCTTGGTATCTGCAATGAGCCTCCTGCTTTCGTTCCCGGTGGCGATGTTGCAAAGGTTTCTCGTAGCCTTTGCATGCTGTCCAAGTGAGTAACTTTGTGCCAGAAACACTATCCAACTTCTCATTTCCTGGTGCAGTACTACTGCTATTGCATCTGCCTGGAGCCGTTTGGACCACAAGTTTGATCTTCTATACTCAAAGCGTGCTTTCGTGCACTGGTATGTCGGAGAAGGTATGGAGGAGGGCGAGTTTTCTGAAGCTCGTGAAGATCTCGCCGCTCTGGAGAAGGATTATGAGGAGGCAAGCTTATGTCACCCTGTCAATCCCCAGCCATTACTGACTTTGCACCTGCATTCAGGTCGGTCTCGACTCAGCTGACGCCGAGGAAGAGGTTGCTGAGTATTAGACTGCATCATGACAATTTTTTTTCAATACTCGCCTTGTTTTATTTTACTCCCGCAATATCTTGCTCCCCTCGCATCTACTATCATCTTGAATATATGATCTTTTTACCCTTACTAGGTAGTATTGGATTCGACGGCCGTTTCACATTTCGGAAATGCTGTATCTCGTACTGTATTCAGCAATGACATAGTTCCGTAGCAGCACGCTAATTGATGTAGTGAGCATGAGCTTGCTGGAGATTCAATGTACTCTTTTACTGGAGTTGTGTGTGGCAACGGTCGATGTCCAACGGGCTAGACAGGGGAAGCTGGCGCTGCAATCCGCAGCGACGTCTGTACCTCATAGCTGGTCAGGCAAGCCTTGGAAGTAATCCAAATTTCTTGACAGTCACATCTTGAATTCTCGTTCTCACCTTCCTCCTGATCACACCTGCTCCTCTGGTTTCATCCGATTTGTGGTCCTCGAGGGCATGGACAAGAAACACCATCATGCAAAGTACAGCCCCACTATGCCGGAACACAAAGCTTGTCCGTATCTACCACTTTATTTTTTGGACAAGCCCAGGTCACAACTTGCAGAGCGGAAAACTGCGCTTAAAAAATCCATTATTTCATGCGATTCGGGAAAGGAACAGATAAGTGAAATTGATTCTTTTTAAAGATCCAATGACGGAAAGCGAGGTGGGTAACAGGATGTTGAGAATGTTTAAAAAAAAGTGATATGCAAACTGAAGCATCAAAGATCGTGAAAAAACCATTAGCAGAAACGGAACATCTAGTATTCTGCCTCAACCTCCTCAACATCGGCAGAGTCGACGCCAACCTAAGAGTGATACAATCAGTAATTGTTACCTTAGATCTGTAAGAACGCCTTACCTCCTCATAGTCCTTCTCGAGGGCAGCAAGATCCTCACGAGCCTCGGAGAACTCGCCTTCTTCCATGCCTTCACCAACGTACCAGTGAACGAAGGCACGCTTCGAGTACAAAAGATCGAACTTGTGATCCAATCGGCTCCAGGCAGACGCAATCGCGGTGGTACTGCAATGAACAATTGAGGTTGATTCTCACGGCCGGAATGGGATCACTCACTTGGACAACATGCAAAGGCTGCGAGAGACCTTGGCAAGATCACCACCTGGAACGAGGGCAGGAGCCTCATTGCAGATACCAAGCTTGAAACTGAAAAATGATGGTTCAGAAGGGGAGCATGCACGCCCTTTAAATCAAGCAAAGCCATACCCAGTTGGGCACCAGTCGACGAACTGAATGGTACGCTTCGTCTTGATGGTGGTCACTGCAGCGGTTGCCTCCTTAGGAGCAACATCGCCACGGTATAAAAGACAGCAAGCCATGTATTTGCCGTCGCGGGGATCACATTTCACCTACATGAGAAGATGGCGTTGTTTAACAGACCAATTGAAACGAAAAAATGTGGCGTACCATCTGATTACCAGCCTCGAAACACGAGTAGGTCATTTCGGCAACTGAGTTCTGCTCGTGGAATGCCTTCTCGGCTGAGATGATTGGAGCATAGGTAGCGAGAGGGAAATGAATACGAGGGAAGCTGGCAGGGCAGGTATAAGTGAAAGGTAATGCATGGTGACACGAAATTCAACTTACGGAACAAGGTTAGTCTGGAACTCGTTGAGATCGACATTAAGGCTTCCATCGAAACGGAGGGATGCGGTGACGCTTGAGACAACCTGGGCGATTATTCGGTTCAAGTTGGTGAAGCTGGGTGAGGTGACACCAAGATTCCTTTTGCAAATTTCGTAGATGGCTTCGTTGTCGACCTGATGGCGACGAATCACGACCGCGACGAGAAAACGTACGCAAGGATGCTTACCATGAATGAGCAATCGGAGTGCTCGAGGGTTGTGTGGGTTGTAAGGATGCTATTGTATGGCTCGACGACGGAGCTTGACATTTTAGGAGCGGGGTACACGGAGAATTCAAGTTTACATTTCTTGCCATAGTCTGTCGACAAACGTTCGAGAAGCAATGCACCCTGTATTATTAAACATCAAAGAACTGCAACGTAAATTTTAGTATCTCTTGACTTACGAAGCCGGAACCAGTGCCACCACCAAAGGAGTGGAAAGTAAAGAAGCCTTGCAAGCCACTGCAGTTATCTGCCAGCCTGCGGATCTTATCCATGACGGTGTCGATTAACTCCTTGCCAACGGTGTAGTGCCCACGCGCATCTAAAAAAAAGTTATTGCACAACGCAAAAAATCATCAGTGATCAGGTCTTGGGGGGCCGAGATCGACACGAAAGCCCAACGCACAGTTGTTAGCAGCATCTTCTTTTCCATTCACAAGTGTCTCAGGATGGAAGAGGCTGCGATAAGGACCAGTTCGGACCTCATCGATGACATTGGGTTCAAGATCAATGTAAAGTGATCTTGGGACATGCTTCCCAGCACCAGTCTCTGAGAAAAAGGTACTGAAGCCCTGATCAGAGTGGGAGGGCGAGTCTTCCTTCAGACGTCCATCAGGCTGTAGTAATCCACGCAGTAGAACGAGAAAATGCGACCATGACGCGACACGAAAACCAGAAAGAAAAAATTCAGTTTCATCAATCCAACATTCGGACGCTTTAACATCGGAGTGAAACAAACCAGCACGTACATTAAGGCCATGTTCGATAGTGTAAAGCTCCCCTACATGAAAGAATCAATAACGTCAGCTCTATGTCGAACTGAAACGCGAATATCGGCGCGCTCGTCGTGCAAAAACGGAAAACACGGCGACTTGTGACCAGAAACGGACGTACAGCAAGCGTTACCAATCTGAACACCTGCCTGGCCGACGTGGAGAGAGATGACTTCGCGCATTGTAGAGTATGAGGATTGGTGCAGGAAATATCTTAGAAAAAGGAAAGGTGGACCGACGCGGGGTTTCGGACGGATTTATCGGAGAAATTTATCTCCGACTTTCAGGGTCTAAACTCCGCTTTCGGAATGGTCCGGCACCAATGTGTGTGCTGTTCTCGAAAGCATATGGATTCTGTCCATGTTCGAGATTGACGGCTACATTGCGAATTGCAGCTCTCGAATTCATCTACACATAACAGTCGGGCAGCCACTCTCCAATAATACACAATGGGTACATCACTCAGAGATCCAGAAATCGAGCATCACATATATATGGTATATCCCGAAATACGTATGACAATGGCACAAGAGTGCGGTATGATGTTGCCTCAAACATTAAATGGAACAACCTCCGGGGAGTCTTTGCACCTCAAAAGCACTATTCCTCGAGTGGCTTTCCCAGATACGCCATATAATCCGCTTGAACAGACAGCCCCGTTCGGTTGCCAAACTTGTGTTGTGTTCCCATTCTCATCAGGTTGCACAGAGCCAGTGCTGGGAGGTCCACATTCAGCATGAAGATGATGTCAAAGCGGCAAGGAAATACCCACCTTCCCGCGAAGTATATGCTCCCATCGCTTTCTCGGACAAAATTTTGCGTCAATTGACTTCTATCTGCCAACATACTGCAGGGCCTTTGTTCAATTTTAAGTTTCCGCGCTGTAGTGGAACGCCACGAAAGGCACTTGTGTGTACTTGTGATAACAAGGTGTCCTAAGCCAAAAAGATCAGTTGCTGCTCAAGGGACATGGTGATAACAAGATCATTGTCCATCAAACCTACCTCCCGTAGCTTTCCTACCCTGGCCATTAAATCCGCCCCAGTTTGGTCGGCACGAATGGAATTCAGCAGCCATACCATTCCCAGCTCCAAAGCGCAGCACTGGAGAATTCCCAGTAAACCCGAAGTTCAGGACACGACCCGTTGCTTTTGATGATGTTGGGTTATCAATGCACTAGGCATGGGACGCGCACATACCCGTTCTTAAGATCCCACTGGATACTGTAGTGCATAAAGTCGATGGGACAACCACAAGGTCAGCAGCCACGCATGCCAGGTAGGCGATTAGGACAGAAAACGCTGCATGAAGCATCATGCGGGTGCGTCTCGAATGGAGAAAAAAAATGCGAAAAGAGGGTGATGTATATATAAGGTCAAATCATTTCTTGTGGAACAAAACTGCTTTATCGGAGTGTGGAAGAAAATTGAATTGAAAGAGTCGAGTTTCGGCGCCGGCACACTCTAAACAGTTAAACCCTGACCACAGTTTCCGCGGCGACCAGTACTGTACGTGCCCAGCATCTGCAGACTATCACTGCGTTTTGAGGTCCAGTTCCTTGTATCATCTCTCGCCATAGAAATGACGAACATATTAGTTTTAAAAATTGCAGTCGAGGCCGACAAAGTGCTCAGCGTTGGAGCCATTATTAACACACTGAGTGATGTTGTTGTTACTCTTGTTACCCCGCGGTCGCATGACGATGCAACAGTCCACTAGTGTTATCTACATCGGCGGTAGAATGGCCGAAATTTGGCTATGTGAGACGTAATGATGCCATATATACACAAGCAGATGAAAAAGATCGACGTTTGTCAATCCTGTTAATTACTCGAAGGTACTAGGGGCGGGGGACCTGGAAGTGGCCGCGCTGCGTTGACGCTGTTGACGTGTCTACCAAGTACTTCTGGCCGAGCATAAGGATGCCGGACACCTTCATGACCAAGCTGCTCACGCAGTGACGTGATTTGGGATTCAATGATATCTTCGAATGCGCACCCTTTCGCTTGATCTCCGGCAATGAACGTCAGGGTTGATACACTACATCAGGGCTTCAGCACAGTTCAACAACCTTTGTCGCGCAAAAAAGTCACTCACAATGTTTCTTTGATGTAAGCAAAGGAGAAATTAGCGGTGAGTCCAGCAACTTTCTCTATCAATGTCTTTGGGTAGTTGATGGACTTGCTGGTGCGTAGCTTCCTCTGCCAGTATTTGCAGTATAAAATCCGCTCGCTCAGGCTTGGACTGTCAAATTTACTGTAAAGGGATCGTCAAGGTGAGCAAGATATCTTGAGCAGCCGCTGCTCACTACTTGCGATCGAAACGACTAGGGCGATTTGACAAGCCTGGATCAAGCTAAGTCGAGGCGAATGTCAGACGACCCTAGGAGCAAGGTAAGGCGCTTAGAGTCTTGCCTTGTCAAAATGATTGGTTGTTCCAAGGACAAGAATGCCATCGTTTGATTCCAGTCCGTCGAGCTCATTCAGGAAAAACGAGCGGTTCTCATCAGTAATCAAACTATCGAGATCCTCGAGAACAAGAATACAAGGAGAAGTCTGCCTTGCTTTTTTGAAGACTGCCCGGATGGATCCCTCATCGCCCATCCAACCTGCTTCGGCGATCAGCGAAGGAAGCGAGACCGAATGCACGCAAAAACCTAACTCACTGTGAAAGGACTTCACGTAGAGGCATGGATTCGCGGATTCCTTCATGATTGCCTTGAGAGTCATTGTCTTGCCGTTTCCGCTGAGAATATCTGCATTGGAAATGATGTGTCCAGTAAATTTTTGGGACTCACGGAGGCCCCCAAAAGATGATACCACGCTTCCACGGAATGGCCAGATCCTTATATATCTTCTCAGATTTGAAAAATCCAGTCACATCTTTGTGAATCGTTTCCTTGAACTCTTCGTCTAGGATTATGTCTGTCCAATCAGCCTTTTGAACTTCTAGCCACAGATCGTGGTCCTTGTCCCATACTCTTGGGAGAAAATTCAGACAAGATATGGCGCAACAGCGTCTCAGGCCGAACTTACCCTTGGTTGAAAACAAAGATTTCTTCCCTTAATTCCGTCGCATAAGCAGAAGCAGCAGTAATAAGTGCATTGATCGGGGAAACATCAGGTCCTTTCCGTAAGACAGCATGCACGCGCGTCGGCTGGAAGCCGTTATTCAGCCATTCAGCAATGACAACCAAAAATATTTCACTCTTCCAATCCAGTCGGTATGTTCCAAATTGAATGTCCTGGACTAATTGGCCAGGCCCAGCCCCCCGACGAGGCGGGGGTTCATAAATTACATGGGAAAGAGGCCCATCAGTTCCGTGCAATGTCAAACGCGCCTCTGGGAATGTGAAGAGATTTAGAGCGCGGTCCATAGTGACTACAAGCGCATGATCTGAATATTTATGCTTCAGGCATCGATGCTACGGTATGTATTGATTCAGCGCAGCAAATACTACAATTGTAAAGAACCCACATTACTATCTCTGGGTTGGACTGGTTTGCTGACCCTGAAGGAATTAATGGCACGAGAGTCATTTAGTACTTGAACAACAAATAACATGAGACCACCCACAATGCCCAATCCATTGTCGGTAAAGAGAGGCATCCGAAGGCGATCCCCGTCCATAATCAACGTGTTCCCAATCTTTCAGAGTCATGCTGCGGGGTCGGTTGTGTGATAAATTTAGGCAAGCGCTAGGAACTAAATTGGAGCTTCTTTTTGCATCCGTTTGAAAATAATTTCCTTGGACTGCATAAGTAGAGCTGCAACATGGCACGCACATCAACGGTCCTCACCATCGTGGGCGCCTCGGCTATTGCATCTTTTGCAATTTATGCCTTCTACTTTGATTACAAGCGTCGGAACGATGTCGCGTTCCGGAAGGAACTGAGTGAGTTTCATAGCATTGGGCATGGAATGTCAGCGACCCACATCTGGTTATCTGCGCTTGTAGGAAGACAGCATAAAAAGTCGGCTAAGCTTGGCGCTTCCAGTTCGAAAGAAGCCACAACAACACCATATGATCTCAAAACAGCCTTAGAAGAAATTCGTGCTGAGCCCCTACCGAGCACTATTGAAGAACGGGAGAAATACTTCTTAGAACAGCTAGCTGTGGGAGAGGGTGTTCTTTCACAGGGTGTGTCTCCTTCATCTGTGCTTCATGATCTTGGTGTCGCATACTCATCACTCCTCCACAGGCCCCCTGTTTGAGTTGCCTGCTGCCAAAGCTTTCTATCGAGCCCTCCGGGTATATCCCAATACCGTCGAACTCATCATGATACTCCAGAAATCTCTCCCAGGGACCACATTCAACCTAGTTATGGATTTGATGAACTTCGATGTGAGTCAAGCGTCGGGAGCGAAGGATGATGGCATAGATGAGGACACGGAGCTGGGGGCTGGCAATTTGAGCAGCGCGACAGAATCTAGGAGCACATCGAGACGAGGGCCACCCTCGGAAACTTCCTCCCAGGATGGGACAAGCTAACAGATCCTGGTCCCTCTGCGCCCTGAAGATCTATTGATGTTGTAACGAGGGGTTCGATGGACATGCTCCTTGCCAAACGCTCCCCCCTCCGTGTATGTTACGTCTTCGTCCGCTCCCACGTATCCAATATGTGTACTGCAATATTTATCTGACTAGTTTCTTGCGTACCTATCTACTATGTAGGTGAAATCCCGAGTAGAAGGTACGTTTCAGATGTCAGGATCCCCTTCCTCTCTCATTTGGCATCCGGGTCAGAATACTATGATCATTGGCCTTCGTCTGAATACAATGTGAAGATTGAGCAAAAGCCCTTGAAGAACGCGGAGCCATCGAAGCCTGGAGAACCCGTCACAAAGCGATTGACTGTTGTCGCGACAAAGGACTTCGCTCCCGGAGATGTCATTTATACGGAACAACCAATGGCAACCGCTCTAGATGTTGATTTGGAAGTGAGGATATTCACTCTTGGCACATCTTCCAAGCCGTTCATCCATGGCTCTCACAGGGGAAGGGAACACATTGCTCGCATTGCTTGCGTCGTCTGGAAGAGTTCATGTCGATCAAGGTCCCAGATGACCCTCTGGGAGTTGCGTTCTGTTCAAAAGCATGCCAACTTGCAGCCACCTCAAACTATCACGACTTGCTCTTTGGTAACACTCCTTTCTCAGTCGGCAAAGATGTCGGCCCATCTTCCCCAGAGGCTAAAAAGAGGCGCGAAACTGCACAAAACGCTCTCGTGAAGTTTGTTGAGGAGTCTGGGAAACCAGCTCCATTGATCGTTGCACGCTGCATTGCTCGCTCGATCATCGAACAGATGAATAAACTCAACCCAGGCTCAGCATCCGTCACTATGGATCTCCCCGAGGCAAACAAGACTCCATGGGCGATGAGTATAGCTTTTCCGATCATTTGGAACGGCTGCGATACCTAGAAATTGTCCCAACACCAAATGAGGAGGCGAAATTGGTTCGAGATATCTTCAACGCTGCGGTCCCTGGTCTCGAAGACTTCCTGAAGGATGACCGTTACTCTGTTATAAAAGGGAAAGTGTTGTACAATGCCATTGGCATCTCCTTCGGAGGAGGCCGACCTGATAAGGCAAGTCTCTCTCAGTTCAACTTCAAACGACCATTCTGACACGAAGGCGATATAGCCAAAGACCGGAGAGCGTTTCGAGTCATGGGACCTTACACGGACGCCTCATGGGACATCACGGCAAACCGGCGCTGGATTTTACAGATTATCATCCTATGTCAGTGACCTTTTGTTTTTCATACCGAATTCTACTCATGTTCCCAAAATACCAGCTTGCGCACTCTTGTGATCCTAATGTTAGGCCTTCGTTCCCTAAAGGAACAGCAGAGTTACACCTCGTCGCCAACGTCGCGATCAAGGCGGGAGACGAACTCAACATGTGTTTTGTGAGGTCGACGCCAAGCGACAATGAGAGCAAGGAAGATAATCGCAGGAATAGAAGACAGGAGCTTGCCCGCGGTTGGAGGTTCGCTTGCGAATGTGACAAGTGCACAAGGGAGGGTGTAGAACTTCAAAAAGCGAGCACTGGCACGTCTTGAATGCCTGCTTTTGAATGGGTCCCACTCCTAGATTGCTCTATTGCCACTGATTGTTCATTTGCCCATAACTCATTAATATCTATTCGTTCCAAAATTTGATCTTATGGATCCCTGCTCACCCAAAGCATGTAATGTATCCGTTTCCTAACTAATCAATCGCATTACTTGTCTCCACAGTAATCAAAGGGTCAGGTCCCCGCGTACCTGATGGGACGCAGACGCTCCAGGGAGATCGCGGTCGCCGACGCATTGATGCACCTTCATCGTCATATGACTCTCAAACCGTGGACTCCGTCCCAGGTCCAGTGCTTGGGCGCCTTTTCAACGACAATATCATCATGAAATATCATATAATGTACGTTTTATACAGATGGCACGACAATCCAACCCTACAAAGCTACGAAATACGAAACTCGAAAAAAGAAGAAGGAAGCAGCATATGGTTCTCCCCCATCCTTCAGAACCTTTCTCGCTCCCGATGCCACCGGCGATCTGCCTCTCGCACGTCCTTGCGGAGAAGCTTTCAGGGGACCCTTCAGTGTGATCAAGGGCACGCCCCCATGCAGAGAGCCCTGGAATCAGTCCTGATATTCGAATGGGAGATGCAGAAGCAGCTTCATTCAGGGAAAGTTGAGCACTTGGTGCACGATGCTTGTTCGCGGCTTTCCCAGGCGTAGGACGAGGTGGAGGTGATTGGGGAGTGTTGCGCTGTGTCAGTTCAGTCTTGATACCAGTCCCAGACGATGGGATCCAGGTATGGATGCATTCCCGAGTGAGCTAGTACCATAATAACTGGACGCCAAACTTGACACCTTGTGTGTCAGAGTACGCATTGCAGACTGGCGATCATAGGCACCAAACGAGGTTGTCTCTGGATCTGCACTGTGTGGAGGGGAGGACAGTGCAAGACCGGCAGGTGTGACCAGTCGAGTGACGGATGTGTCTTTGATGAAGGTAGAGTGAACGGATGAATCAGAGAGTCCACGAGGTCGGAGGACACGTCTGGGATTCGGATACGCATCTCGGGTGTCATCTCCAACCTCATCGGTCTCCTCTTCAAAATCGGCTGCAGAGTGCTCGAGGATCACACTTCTCTGGCTCATTGAATCGATCACCGCATCCACGTTGCGAGGCACACGTTTTCTGCGCGAGGGACCCTTGGGAGTCGCAAGCGGGCTTCCAAAATCAGCTGTTGACTGAGCGGGACGAATTTTGTTCCCCTTGCTTGATTTACCAGGCAGGACAACCCAAGATTCGCCCGAGTCGGTGAAGCTCTGAGAAGCACCAGCAAAAATCCCAAACAGATCGTCGCGACGAGTCCGAAATCCTGGGGCCGTGGTTATGGTCGGAGTGGAAGGTAAAGTCGATATGCCACCGCCAGCGAGACTTCGTGTCGGAAATTCGGCAGTTGAAGAGACTACGCGATTCGCGCGAGAACTTGAAAACTCAACGTTGACCGTTGCAGGTGAAGAAGACACAGCTGCAGCGAGTTTCGGGGCTGTGCGCGCCGGAACGCGACGTTTCGGTGATCCACTGCTGGATGGAATAGCAACGGCATTTCTTCGGACCTGCGCATTGGGGGTCGATGCTTCTGTAGAGGCAGAGAATAATTTTGAAATTGGCGCAATCCATCCCATAGCGGCGCTCTTTTCTTGTGAGTGGTCCGTCGGAGTACCCAATCCCGCTGCAGCGGATGGATCAAGAATAATCTCATTGACGGTCGACCTCAGCTTCCCAAGCTCCGTAAACACGTCTTTTGAGAATCTTAGCATGTTCTTCAGATCCTTCCTGGTCATATCATGGTGCTCCATTTCCAGCACCCCTTTGAGGTGGCTGCGCAGGTTGCCTGCGTCATTCACGATTGATCTAATCGTTGTTCGGGAAAGATGGCCAACGTCTCCGCCGGCGATGTGTTGCCTTTTGAGTCGTGCAGTCAAAGTCTCGACGTCAGCCTGGCTAACGCGACCCAACAGAACGTTCAGTCTATCAATAAGACCAGAAAGGAGACCAGTCAGCGGCTGGGGAGTACTGGGGGCGGGGTCGGTTGGATTGAGGGACGAAGTTTCCGAATGGTCCCCTTCATTGGCAGTACTGGCGGAATACGCGCGGGGGTGATGGGGTATAAATTGAGTGTACTCATGGTCGGTTTGGACACCTCGCGAGCGGCTGAGTAATCGCAAGGAGCGCTTGCGAGGAATCCCGCAGAAAATGGAGTCCATATCTTCGGCTTGCGACCCAGAAAATCCTTCATCTGTGAGGGACGCTTGGAGTTGTCAGGGTGATCCGTGGGGTTGGCTCGTGTGTTGCAGAACCCAGCGGATCCGTCAGGAGACGCAGATCGGTGCGGTGTTAGCCTCGGTGAAACCGGTTGCGCACCGTCATCGCGCCCCTAAATCGGCAGCACAATTAGCTCCGTAATATTGGCAATGCTAACAAATTACTGACACATGGTGACCGACTTGAACGTCGAATGCCACGATGTATATGATGTGGCAAGGCAAGATTGCGAGTTCTTGGTGGACTGTTCCCCATGAACCCAAGATGGTACGGAGGGGGTGAAGAGGCAAGGGATGTCGAGCCCCAAGGCTCGCCCGCACGTCGGCTCGACGCTCGAGGTCCGAGCACAGGCGTGAGTCGATGACTGAATTGGCCAAGAGGCGAACTAGGGGAGGGAGAATGAGCTCTGAGCAGAGATTCCACTGAGATGAAGATGAGCCCAATAAATCGTCAGGTGCAACATCCACGTACCTCCACAGCCGGAGGAAGCGGTAGCTCTATATTCCTGCACTTCTTCTGTCAAAGCACGTTGTTCAGTACGCGCTTCTGCGAGAAGGTTTTGCAGCTCGATGTTGTCATGGCTGAGTGACTCGTTGGCTGACACAAGTGATTCAAGAATCTTCGTGAGTTCAACTCTGTCTGATGTATGAGCTTTCTCAAGCTTTAAATCTGGTCAGTGGCATGAAGAGTGCAGCACTTCTGCCCACTTACTGATCGATACATTGCTTCCAATTTTGCGCGTGCCTCGTGTATGAGTTGCTCAGAGATGTCCCGCGGAGGGGACCGTTGCTCACTGAGCTGGTCAAGCAACTTATACACTTCCGTCTGAAGCGAAGCTAACCCAGTCGCATACGTAATTAGGATGCGTGACCTCAACAATGAAAGGGACAATAGCACACCGCACTTGTCTGATAGTGAAGAGACTTTCGCCTCTGACGATTTTGCTCGCCCAATTTCAGCATCCCGCTCTTGCAAAATTTCGTCACGCTGTTCCTCGAGTGCCATCACCTTTTCCTCCCACCCTACAGATCTAGTTACATGCGCAGACAGGCGCGTGATAACGGCTCGCGCGTCCTGAACCTCCCTTAACAGAGTGCGGTTGGAAGATTCAGCAACTTCGAGGTTGAGAGTTGCTTGTGCGTATCGTGCGTCCGAGGATTCCTTGGCCTTGAGTGTGTTGGCGAGGCGAGAAAGGAGTCGTTCATTAGATCGTTCCAGGTTGTTGCTGCGTTCGTCAGTGTTGTATTGAATCGAGCTATGATCTGCAGCCTATTGTGCAAGGAGGTCAATACGGATTTAAAATAGCGTGTAGGAGTAATGTGTGCGTACATAGGCTTCATGCTTCTCGAGGAGTGCCTGTCCGATCTCTGCAATTGTTCAGCAAAGGAGTCGGTCGTGATGTCACATCGGGAATATTAGCTTACCAGCACACAATACGAGCTTCTCCTCTAATTGGCTGCGATCTTTACGCCATGCTCTGACGGTATCGCAGTTCCTTCCATTCGAACTCTCGGCGTGATTGCATCGACACTCTGGGTCCGTGCGCAGAAGGTCGTCTTCGACGGATGAGTTCGTCGAGGTGAAATGAGCTAGCGCTTCAGTGAGCTCATCAATTGTTGCTGTGGCCCTTTGAAGCTTGGCATTGTTATACAAATCATGAGGAGATATCGCTGCAATGGAGGAACCGCTTGTGGATAGTGAGCGGACGTGACTCATGTGAAATCGCTACCCTGAAACCAAACCACCTGGTTCGTACGACGTACGACTCTACGAGCGGACCTTCTGATGAGCGTCGCGACGAGAAATGCAGACAATGAGAGGTGGCACGCGGGTGGCAAATTAAGGTGACCAGATCACGAGCACCGTGAGAAACAACTGGACGCCAAGTTCATCAATTATGTAATATCAATACAGGGGTAGAATTTTTGATAGATATTTGGGATACGTATGCGTTCAAACGAAGGACGCTGCGGCACTGACAGCGTCTCATGTTCCATTGAAGATGCAGTAAGGAGACGCTGAGGTGGGCGAAAGGCTTGGGCTATACCTCGGGGAAATTGAAATCGGAGAAGTCCGCGAAGACTACCTCGCCCCCAGCACCTCCCACACACACAGTGCTCCCATTTTGAACGACTGGGGTTCTACTCCTGAAATGATCTGGGAGCCAACAGAAATGAATCTTTACGTCCCAACCTTTACACACAGACTATTACCCTCCAATATGACCCAGGGAGGCCGAGGGGAAGGGGAGGTGATAAGCATTGGCGGAGTTTGCTTAACATTCGACATCGGTTTCGAAACGTTCAAGTGGAAATTGCTTATAACACGCTTTTGCGCGAGCAGATCCCAAATGCACTGTGCTGAGTGGTGATGGGAGGCGGTAGACAGTAAGTATCGGCTATCAGGAGAGAATGTAACCGATTTCATGCATTCAGTAAGAGCGCTGAGAATGAACAAAACCGTCCCTGTATTCGTGTCCCAAACCCGCACAGATTTATCATCCGAAGCAGAGGCAAGGTAATTCCCGTCCGGCGAAAACGTCACACAATTCACACATGCCTCGTGGTCCTCGAGGGGAGGCGAGACTGTTCCAGAAACAACGTCCCAGATCCGCACTGAGTTGTCCTCTGATGCGGATGCCAGGATATTGCTATTAGGGGAGAATGCGACCGAGGTGACCATCTTGGTATGGCCGTCAAGATGATGTACAGTCTTCCCTGTGGCGACATCCCATATCCGCAATGATTTGTCGGCTGAGGCAGAAGCTAGGTAATGGCCATTGGGTGCAAAGGCGACAGATTTCACGGAGTCTGTGTGGCCACTGAGAACAAGTGGGCTCGAAGGTAGTTCACCAGCCTGAGCCACGTTCCAAACTCGCACCGACATGTCATTCGACGCAGAGGCTAAATAACAGCCATTGGGAGAGAATGCTACGCATGTCACCGCTTTCCTATGGCCATTGAAAATCGTGGGAGTCATCTCCTTGGCAGTGTCCCAGACTCGCACCGACTTGTCATAGGAAGCAGAGGCTATGTAATGGTCGATGGGTGAAAATGCGATAGATTTCACGTAGGCTCTGTGGCCATCGTGAGAAAAGAAGACATCCCTCCTATTACGTGCCATATCCATACTGATGGAAATGACGACGCAGCGGCCATGTAGCGGCCATCAGACGAAAAAGCGACGGATGTAACCCACTGGGTGTGTTGGATTAGAACAAGGGAGGCTATTTCCCCGAGCGAACCCCAGATGCGTACTGACATGTCTCGCGAAACCGAAGCCAGGTAAAGGTCATCGGGGGAGAATGCGATACATTCTACTCTGGAAATATGTCCAGTGAGTATGTGGAGTATCGTCGCTGTTGCCACCTCCCATATCCGTATTGACTTGTCCACTGACCCAGAGGCGATAAACTGGCCATCGTTAGAGAATGCAATACACAGCACCTTATCTGAATGACCATTGAGGACTACAGAGGCCATCGTAGACAATTCCCATATCCGCACGGAACCATCGAAAGAAGCGGAACCAAGATATTGACCGCTGGGCGAAAATGCAACGGACTCCACGCAATCGGTATGATCGTTGAGAGTGAAAAGAGATACCCCGGAAGATACATCCCATATCCGTATTGATTTGTCCCGTGAGGCGGATGCTAGCCACCGGCCATCGGGTGAGAATGCAACAGATGTCACTGTATCGGTATGACCGTTGAGGGTGAGGGCAGCTATTCCCGTTACCATATTCCAAATCCGAACTGACTTGTCGATCGATGCGGAGGCAATATAGCTGCCGTCGAAAGAAAACACAACAGACGTCACTAGCGAGGTATGACCATCGAGAAGACGGGAAGTCATCCCAGTCGCCATATCCCATATCCGCACCAATTTGTTATCGGAGGTGGCTAAATAGCGGTTATCGGGTGAGAATGCGATGGAGATCCTCCATGATATAGGTTGCTCCAGCGTTGTGATAAGGGGGGGCCATTCCGCGTCGGGTCGGGTGAAGCCCGGGGCAATCAATGCAAGGAGGCCCTTAGAAAACATTTGAGGGAAATACGATCGCAAGGCACTGCGCCAAGGTACGAAGGGGTGCAAACCACCGAGGATTGAGAGAGAACATGCTCTAATTGCAGCTCGAGATTGGAGGATCATCCGATGAAGTTCGCATAGGAGCGTTCCAAAAGTACGGTCCCCCTTTTAATCGAAGGTAAACACACCGAGCTGCAGATGCGAAGTTGTGAACCCACTATATAATTTTTCATCTCATATAATCCTACGAGGGCTTCTTCGAGCTTTCCCATGATAGACATAGCACAAATCCAGTGGAGCAATAAAGGAACAACCATCTTGAAGGCGTCCAAGGCGTTTATATCTCCAGCAGAACACCTGAAGATAATCCTATACCATTCACAACATTCGGTTTGAACCGGAACGGGGATCGCTTTTCGGAACTCTGCGTCGAGCCCCGCGATGTCGCGATTCCTTTGATATCTCCACAAGTAAGGCAGATCATCCAGCCTCTGGAGAAGCGAAAGCATATGCAGCATAACGATGACACGTGGTAGCGAATTGATCAAGGACACTGAAGTCAAAGAACCAGGCTCAAGTCTGTATATTTTAGATGATTGTGCCTAAATTCGAAAGCAGGAAATACTAACTCGAGCCATTGGATAAGTTTGGCGACGCTGGGTCGTAGCTCACGACGGGATTCAAAGCATGCAGCAATACAGTTCGCAAAGAATTCGGTGTTGTTTGATACATCATAGGGAGGGCCTTGGCAGATGGCAGAGGAAAGCTGGAGTTGATGCGATACCCAGGCATACGGGACTTGACTGGTAAGGATCTAAGTCGCATGTCACGTCAGCCTATATTAGTGCTGCTCAATTCCTTTCGGCCCGGCGTGAATCTCACCTGTGCGGCTGTACAGCCAAACGCCCAGACATCGCTATTTTCGTCCCTCCCAGTCACGGTTCCGTCCATTAACTCAGGAGACGTATAACGGATGGTTCCCATCGTGCTGGGTGCTTTCGCATGTGTGGTGAAATCGTCGACGACGGACGAGAGTCTAAAGTCGCATAGCTTGGGCTTGGGGCCTGTTTGTGTGCTGCTCAAAACCACTACGTTTTCCTGTCAGGATTACCCAGCAATTTCGTATCGATCAGACATTGTGGCTCCGAAAGTACAGGACGAGAGAACGAACTGGCTTGATGTCACCGTGAACCACACCACACGAGTGAAGATATGCCAACCCTCGACACACACCCCTGACCTAAATGACAAACCGATCAATAATTTCGCTCGACACCTCAAGTTGCACGTTTAACTCAACAATACCAAGACGGTCTGCATCAGGGTTTTGGCGCAGGAACTCGGTGACGTTGCCGCCATCAGCCCACTGTGAGACCAAGCTCACACGCAGGCTGCCATCCACAGGCTGTAACGTCCAGCCCAGAAATGCAATCACATTGTCATCGCCCATCTTGTGCCACACCTTTATTTCTCGCTTGAGTCGCTTTGGGTATCACTGAATTTCAGACCCGGGCAATGCGATCGTGAAGGAAAGGCGATACGGACTCGAAAAAACTTCTTCAGCCGATCTGCGTCGGCGACAGATACCTCTCTGAGAACTTTGACGCACACGTTCTAGGGAATAGAGTATGAGGTCGTCTCGAAGTTCATTTTGGATAGAATCGAACTTACCGAGCCTTCATATTCACCCTTATACACATCGCCAAATCTACCCCATCCCGTTCTGCGACTGAGATCTATAGTGATCTGGCCAGTAAGGTTGCATGGATCAGCCTCTGCCAGCTCATCTAGGGGGAGTGATGTGTAGATATCACCACTCTGGGGATATTTGGCGCCGACATTGTGGATGAGATAAAGTGTTGGTGTGCTAGTCCAATAAGCGCCCATACCAACTACCGTGTGATCTCGTCCCTCTAGTGGCCGGCGACCTGCCTAGTCACCTACCGTTATAGGGGTGTATTCAATCGTCCGATTCTCGAAACAATTTCAGCTGCCAGCAGATATTGTCCGCTTGGATATTTTCAGCTCTGGTTAGCCAGGAAGACAATGAGTTCATTCACGTCTATTTGGGAGCAGAATGGCTCCACACCAGAACGCAGAACAGCCCATCGAGGCACTCCGTGCTTCCACAGAAACCCTGTGGGATGACATTTGATATCACATCATGGCGTTCTCCCGATGCAACCGACCGTTTCCCTGCGAAGCGATGCCCTCTTTCACTCTAATGCAGAAACACCGCTTAGCGCGCATCCTTTGTGCGGGGAAATTGCGATGTGAGCGAGCACAAAGAGCCGCATGCAATCTATCTCATTCTGTATAACTGTTTCTTCCTCATGCGTGGGTCGACAGATTAGAAGAACTTTCCAAAAGTTCTGCTGTTGTGCTTGAACGAAAGTAAAATAGGAGAGGTTTCCCCCGTTTTGTGATGGTAACTAATTTTCTTTATTTAATAAGCAGAAATTCCCGGAAGCAGGGTCATTATGAGAATTATGAAATTTGCTGAAGGAAATTGCTTGGCTACTTGAATCAAGGATTCCTATGGCCTGGTGCTCAGACTCTACTTATGATCATCTCACTTCCACCCAGCCCACCTCAGACACTGTACTTTTGCAATTGTTCCTAATGGATATAAGATCCGATACAACACTGAAACAACACATCGCAAATTCGTTAGAGCAGTTCAAATAAAAAGAGTACAACAAAGAGAATAGCATCCTTCATCCAAGAAATGAGTCTCGCCCCGTGAGCAAGTGTCAAGATCCTCCACCGCACTAAAGGAGAGAAACATTAACATCCCGCCTCAAATGCAAGAGTAAGTTGAACCACTTACCCCGCCACCTCCGCATCCACCACCTCCACAGCCACCTCCACAGCCGCCTCCACAGCCGCCTCCATTTCCACACGCTGCGCTGGAGGTGCCGCATCCTCCAGCCGTACAAGAGCCCCCCTAAAACACTTATTAGTATCAGATGATGGGTTCAAACAGGCTACCAGTATATACCACAGTTCCAACGGCGCAGCCAGCAAAAATATATGCACCTCCCAAATACGGAGCACTTGCATCGGTCCGAAAGCATGAGCAGGATGATAGCAAAGCATTAAGACACAGCAACAGACACTTACAGTCCCCAATAGGGAACAGCACCGTAGATGAACGCCCTGTCATGTCCTTCCCTCTGCATCCTCTCGAGCCTCAATTTCTCCCATTCGGTTAATCTCCCTTTCTCCTTGTCCTTCTCGAGCTCCTTGATTCGTTTCCCGAGTTTCCTGGCCCTTTCCGCACGGTGCGCATCGTGATTCGGAATGACAACGGAATTATGCTCCGAAGGATGAGTAGCATCCGCGTCGTCGTCGAGCGTCGACACAAGATCAGGTCGGGTATTTTGAATAGGCTTGTCCTGAGATTTCTTTCCTCCGAGTATGCGAGACACTTTGTTCATCAACCGATTGGTAGAAGTGAGAGGAGTACAGCCACAAACAGAGTACGGGACGCCGAATCGTGCTCCCCATGCGCGTGCCGTAATGTCATATGCACTACTGAGTGCGCCTTCCTCTACCTTATCATCATGATCGGGCGTTCGACCAAGCAACGCCAAGGTATCAGAACGATATTTTCTACAATCGAGTTGATGAGTGTGCCAAGTAAGGTCAATGTCCTGAAGAGGCTTTTCAGTTACAATCTACACCACGAACAAAACAAATGGACGCACTATTGTAGGGACGAAGAACATGAGAGCGCTCGACAGGAGATCAACAAATGCGTGGTAACGCGCAATGCTTCGCACGAGGACATGAACGGCTCGGTGCTGGTGTCCAACATCGAAATGTCCAGGTCTTGTCCATTCAAGGTCCACCATTTTCTTGACAAACGCGCCCTGGCGAATGACCTAAAATGATCATTGGAACAACAATAAATGCGGTGAGAGTGGGGGCATACGGCGCCGGAAAGTTCGATCGAGAAAGGTGTCGGGTTCTCATAGCAAGAAAGAACCCTCATCATCCTACAAGGTGTCCCGACATGTCTCAGCGTACATTCGCTGGTGGAACCTGTCAGCCATATTACCTTTGAGCCGATCTGCCTTGGAACGACGCTTTAACGTTAATCACGACTTCAGACATCTTGAAGCCTAAAGCTTTCGCTAATTCGTTAGCTGGTACTTTGAACTCTTCGACGAGGGTAAAAACCTGGAAGCCGGTTCGTCATGAGTAATAGAATGGGAATTACATCGTTGTACTGGAACGAACTAGAATCAGCCTAGAATTGAACCGTTTGGAGTCCGCGGCGGATATAGCCCCCGTGATAGGGCTGAGGAGTGTTCCCCTGAAGAATAGAACGTCATTTAGTCTCGTGGAAGGACAAACAAATAGAATAGTGTACGCAAGAAACTGGTGGTCCGGGTCGTCCCTCACTTTTACGACGTCATTGCAGAACTTGCGCACACACATAGACTAAAGAAAGGGAAATTCAGGGAAAATATGCAGCCAAGAACCAGCGCACCTCTCGATTGAATGCAATACGGCAATGAGGGCACAAGGCACGGAAATCAGCTTGGGCGTAACCAGATTTATCTTTGGTGACCCAAGGTACACTCATAAGATTGGCTGTTGGGCACGCAGGACACGGGATAGCGACGACTTCATCAATGCCAGTAGTATGTACTAGGTCAAATGGCATGTTGGTCAGCTGGGTCCAAGATTCTGAACGCGCTGAAGAGGGAAGAACAGGAAGAGGAAGCAGTGTCTCAGCATCGATTGCATTCGCTGCCTGAGCTAGGGGGAATTTTGGAGTGTGACGTATCGCAGGGATCGACCGTACGCCATCCTCATAATAATTTCGAGGATTCTATAAAGAGTGAGTACCATTTGAATATAACTAACCGTAGTTCGGCCGTCCTCACCAAACAGTACGAGTGCCAAACCATGAGCACGTCAAGAGGGGGCAGAGTCTCAGGTCCAGATCTATCACTCGGGTTCGCCAAAATCCACTTCTCGAAGCGGTATACTGCCCTAGCTAGATAAACGATCCAAGCATCGTCTGAATCACTGGGATTCGCGCTCCTAACCAAGTTCTGGAGCAAGTCGAAGGCACCAAGGAGACGGAGATGGTCCTGAAGATCTGCTACGTTGACAAGAGGCGACGTGTATTGCTTTCCAATGGGGAACTTGTCAGGGAGTGACGTTGGGTATGGTGGAGGAGGGGCTTCTTCGATCATCAAGCCACTGAAAGGCGCATAAACTGGTTCATGCGTGTAAGGAGGCGCAGGAATACCCTCTGGTGCCGGATACGAAGTTGCCATGTTGCAAAATGTAGTGGCAGCACAGCACAATCTTAGCGCTTGCGGCAAAGTCCCAGATACGAGCCCCTAATTGAGGAATTCCAATGATGGCTGTGTAAGCGAGCGCTTACGTAACAGAGTCGCCTATAGCTAGTAGAATAGCGATCTTGTATTTACACCCCTTATCCGTGTAAATCGAGCTTTCTTGGTCCAGTTTGAGGGATCTTGAATCGGCAAAGGCCGATAGACGAACTCAGATGATCGTGAAAGAGATCACTGGACCACGGATAAGGGAGGCCAGGATCGCCACTCTTGAGTTTATAACTGGGGAACGCCGCCTGAAGCGGCAGATCCCGCATGCATCTTCACTCTCAACCTTGCTATTGGCTGAGATGAAGGCCGAGATTTGCTCTCGCTCTGTAAACCCACCGCGTACTCTGATTTCAGAACCATGTAATTTACACTGCAGCGTGCAGCGAGCGGAATAGGGGCAGAGAATGGACCCTGTGCATAGGACAATTGAGTTGGGGGGGAAAACGTAGGGAGTGGCGGGAATATATATAGGCGACTCTGTTACGTAAGCACTTGCTTACCTCTAGGTTTTTGGCTCCATCTAGTCACTGACCTAGGCAGGATCCCAGCCTTAAATCACTGACCGCGACAGCAACCACCAACAATATCTCTGGCCTTGGATGACTTGCTCTGTGTCCTCAACACCTTCACAGTGTCACTAAAGGTGTCACGTAACATGGAGCAGCATGCAAAGAACATCATCATCATCACTAGTGACTTGGTTTTCCCCCCACGCGACCGGTGATCGCATGCTACACTCTCGGGGATGTAGGTCATATCGATATGCATAGTTTACACTGGAAATTCGATACATTCACGGATACACATCTAATGGTCCTGCCCCAACGCCGTGACGATAATTGTTTCGCGGAACCGAGCCTGTGAACGGATGAAGTCTGCTGCGCACCCAAAGAATAAACCAAATAAATTAGAGGAAGTATTGAGGTGGCGGTCGCTTCGCAGGAATCGATTTAGTATCCTAATAATATTCCATTAGCCTCTGCTAATGAGAATGCATGTTTAACTACGTACCGTTGGGGCATGCTGAAAGACTTTGTATTCCTGCTGCAACCGTTCATCAAGCTCCAGTATCGATGCGACGTTCCCACATCTAGCATGTTTTTGAGGCCTGCTAGGTGACACATTGAAACACATCCCTCACCTATAACAATAGTTTGGTGCACTCCATACGGTAACGATCATCCGGTCGAACATTAATTTATACCCCTCCATAGCCAGTTGGTGGGCTCGCGCGATGAGATCGATGTTGTTGGTGTGAGCAAAAGTCCTTACTATGTCGCCACCAAACAGATAGCCAGCACCGCGCGGTGACAGCCCCCATCCGTTAATGTCTGAGATAGAAATGCAGTGGAGTGAGCTGTAGGGTAGTCAGGTTAAAGACTCACCATCGGGATCTGACCACAGTAAGTCGCACATGGCTCCATCGTGAGGAACCTCTTGTTTACGGTCAATAGCACGTATCTGACAAACCGGAATGAATACGCGCCACGAAGAGAGAAGTTCCTGGTAGTATACCTGGTCTATTGTTTCCACATTTGGGCTTAGCCCTCCGTGAACGCACAGTACTCTTCCATCCACAACTGCAGCCAGCGCCAGATAATCAAAAACTTCGCAACAGTACCGCCACACATTCGCTGAGCCATACTTCCGTTGGCACTCATCATAAAACCCGTACACTTGAGTAATTTGTCGGGACTCATGGTTTCCTCTAATCAGGGTTATGCGGTCCGGATAACGGACTTTGAATGCCAAAAGAAGGAGGAATGTCTCTACGCTGTAAAATCCTCGATCTACGAAGTCTCCTACATAGTGAAGTGCACGGAGAGTCAGAACGGGTGGAGCATATGAATGGATGCAGCGAACCCATGAAGAGATAATTTGTCTCTGGGCAAAATCGCCCAACTTTGAACAGCTCCAGCAAGTCGAAAAACTGTCCGTGGATGTCACCGCATATCTCGAAACAAACACTATAAATGCTCAGGCTCTCGCACCAGGTCCCTCCCAGAGAGGCTTACCGTGACAGGCGAATCTACATATTGTACGTTCCCTTCCTCCACCAGTATTTCTCGCGCTTTTATGCACAACTCTTTAACCTGACTTTCGGATATGGGTTCGCAGCGTTTTAGTTGCTCGATCTGCCTATCACACAACATGTATTCTATTATATGATGACAAAAGAGGCAATAACCCCTTACTTGTCGAGGTCGCTGGGCATGACGAGCGAGTTCGTGTTCGGTGCAAATGGGCGCGGTGCGGCCCCGGTGTAAACAAATAACGTGAGTAGACAACAAGAATCACCAAAAGTCCAACTTTCCCATACTCAATCGAGGTTGTGCAGTAACGCTGTTTAATTATGCCAATGCAACAAAGTACGCATACATAGGAAAAACTACAGGAAATCTTCAGCTCTCGCACGTTTCGTTCCTCGAATCCCCCCATCCAACGGCGCTTCTTCTGGCAGCCTTGTCTGCTCGAATCCGTACTTTGGGTTCTGTGAGCGGCGTTCCATCTGACACGTATTTCAGCATCTCAGAAACAGAAGGCTAGAAAAGCCTGAAGACTTACGGGTGAATAGTTAGCATCATCCCAAACGAGAGACGAGCCTTCTTTCATTGGGGGATATGAGATCTTAATCTGTGGCTGAGTCAATTTCACAACAGCCTTCGGGGATGACTGTTCGAGAACTGGAGGAACATTCGCAGTAGCAGTTACAGACGCGGCCGGGGTAAAGGCTGGAAGAGGGGGAGCCAGCACTGGAGCCGGAGGCTGGCCAGGGGCGGGAGCAGGTGACGATGAATTTTGGAGAGCAAGACTTGGTGGTGGTGCTGAAACGCCAGGAACGAAGAGCGGGGCCGCGCCCGGTCCAGGCGGATTACTGGGAGCAAAGGGGGCGGGAGGAGACCCGGGGGAAGAGGGCCACCCGGAGGGAAAGGCGGGAAGCCCGGCGGTAGCGGCATTCCTGATACAAAACCTGGGGGCGGAGGCACGCTGGGGGAGATTTAAATTATCGTTTGAGTAAACAAGTAATGGTGCAACACTTACCCAGGAGGAAATGGTGGGAATCCTGGAGGGGGTGCGGCACTGAACGATAGTTTCTGTCAATATATGAACTGTATGGAAGCGCATTCCACATACCCGGGTGCGAGGGCATTCGGCGGTGGCACGAATAGGGGTGGCACCCCAGGGAAGGGAGGCGCCCCTGGGGCTGGGGCTGAAGCAGATGCCGGGGCCGGAGCAGGTGCACCAGGAGCTGGAACGGCGGCCGTCGGAAGTGCAGTGTAAGTTTGGGGCGCAGCATACACAATCGGAGTGCCAGAGCTTGTAGGACCGCTCGCCGAAGGAGCCGCATCTACTGATCCTCGCATGAGTGCCTTATGTGCCTCCAATTGCGCAGCGAGTTCTTCGTCAGGAATCGACCTTCTGTCGAGTTTTGGGTGCTTGGGATGAGGTGCAGAAGATCCAATTGCAACACCGGCCTCTATCTCCTTCTTTCTTCTCCAGGCTTCGACGTCGGATCTAGGTATGTGGTTGTCAGCGATTATGATCACTCAACGCTGTCCAACGGTTCTTACTTTGGAACACCTTCCATACCGAATATCTCAACCTCTCCCCCATCTCGACCGGGAAGAGCATTTTCAATCCTAAGACGCATTCATCAGTGCGCAAAACATCCCCCTGTGAAGTAACGCCTGGAAACAAACTTTTCCGGATCAAGCTTATGAACCTGTTGGACGTGAACCGCAAGTCCACCAGCGGTGTTGAGCTTTCGAGGGCAGTGCCTGCACTTGTAATGCTTCGCCTTCTGATGCTGCATTAATACTGAGGCGACCGTGGTACGTCAGGAAATTTTCACAGCGAAAGAGACGTTCCTTGCCTTTCTCATCTTCGAACTCTCGTTCGCAATACCAGCACCATGGTCGTATCACCTAGTACAGTGGGCTAGGATAAGTCCACGGCACCCATCAAAAGAATGAGATATCCTCGCTTACAAGCTTATTTTTGCGCTTCTTTGTCATCTCGCTCACCCAGCTCACAAGTTGCAGAGGGTTTCCAATTCAGTTGGGGTTGCGGCTATCTCCTCCTTCACATGATCTGTCGAACTGAATCATACAGCCGTTTTCGGCTTAGTTGTCACGTGATTTGTTTTGGTTCCGCCTTGCCCGTTGCCCGAAAACATGGCTCAACAAAGAGTGCACCATATCTCAGCAACCACATAAGCTAGTCACTTGCGGTTTGCTGCAAAACGTTTGTACATTTATTATGCCCGGACCCTTTTTTAGCGATAACGATAATTTCTATTCTTCATGATTTTAGGTTTTACCCCTTTTACACGATTTTCTCGACAACGGCTGGATAAAAAGGGCTGTAAATTGGGCGGAGATAAGTATAAATGTGTCCCTCGGGACCTTTTTTTTCTTTAGTAAATGCGTTGCGTTTTGAGTTTTTTATCACTCAAACGTTTTCTTTGGTAATGGAAATCTGTTGTACATAGTTTTCTCATTAACCACTGTGTGGAATACAATGAAACTTATGCCGAACGCACTTGAGTTATATATCTCAGGACCCCTCTTTTTTAAAGTTAATCGGTTGCTTTTTCCGCTGGCATGAGCATGTATAACCGCGGGGAATGTGTAAATGATAAAAAAACGAAAATGCAACCGATTAACTTGAAAACAAAAAGGTCCCGAGATATATTTCTCAAGTGCTTTCTGCGTAAGTTTCGTTGTATTCCACGCCGTGGTTATTGAGAAAACTATGTACAACAGATTTCCATTACCAAAGAAAACGTTTGAGTGATAAAAAACTCAAAACGCAACGTATTTACTAAAGAAAAAAAAGGTCCCGAGGGACACATTTAGACTTATCTCCGCCCAATTTACAGCCCATTCTATCCAGCCGTTGTCGAGAAAATCGTGTAAAAGGGGTGAAACCTAAAATCATGAAAAATAAAAATTATCGTTATCGCTAAAAAAGGTCCGGGCGTAATAAATGTACAAACGTTTTGCAGCAAACCGCAAGTGACTAGCTTATGTGGTTGCTGAGATATGGTGCACTCTTTGTTGAGCCATGTTTTCGGGCAACGAGCAAGGGCGGAATCAAAACAAATCACGTGACAACTAAGCCGAAAACGGCTGTAACACAAACACATGCAGACAGCACCCCAGCACGACTTGCTGTTGCGAACTTGTTCTAAGTCAAGTGGTCATCTATGATGGGTCCTTTATGTCCTTCACTATTATTCGCATTTTTTTTTTATTTTCTTCTTTTGCTAGGCAGGATCCCAGCCTCTACTGAAGTGGAACTCTACTACTTAAATCGCACATCCTCTACACAATTTCTTTGGAATGTGTTTTCGTCTGGTGTGGGCTGTGCCGCGCCACGGATGCAGCGCGAGTCAAAGGACTCTTGAAAAGTAGATTGCGACGCGTCTGTCCCAGAGATGCTTCCACCATTGAGTGTTCGCACTGTCTATGTTCTAGAGGAATCGAATGGTTTTTCTACCCCGTAGTCTTAGGCGGCGAGCTATGGATGAAGGGACAATCCATTATTGGTGGCGTGTGCGTTTACTATTTAGCGGAAATTACTGCCCTCATACAATGGATAAACTATCGACTCATGGTCATTGGAGAAGCAGACTCAGGGACCACCTACCGCTTGCCTCGTTGCCTCGTTCTTTGGCAGTCCACCCGAAAGTATGCTGTTCCGAACTTTGCCACACAGTGTCAAGTCAATGTCGGTCCAACATAGAATCAGACAATCAGACAACAATTAGTGAGTGTTCAGGTGGCCTGTGCCTGCTGACGGCGTAGGGGTCTATAGTTCATGACTGTAACGAGTTGTTCTTGCTATTTTCCCGAAGGCTGAAGAAAAAGGGGAATCATAATCGAGGAGAAATACTGTGGTTCCATCAGCTCTAGTGACTCGAGCTCAAACAGAAGTAACGCTCGTATCGGATAAGTTTAGTGCAACTACAACTACAGCTCTTCAGACAGATAAGTTAGGAGCCTCTGTGCTGATTCTGGTACATCTGCAAGGCAGTGGCTTGCTAGATGGTGCGTAGCTTGACCGCTGCTTTTGTTGAACCAGCAGATAGACATGAAGCTAGGTACAATTATTAGCTAGTCATGGTTCACACAACATCGTGCATTTGAAGTCTCTTTGTTAAATAGTCTGCCTGAGCCCTCGCCGCATCCAACATTGAGGTTCTAGAACAAGGTCCGTTAAGACGCAACTACAACTCGATGAAGCGAGAACTCACTCTTGAGCAAGACGACGCTGGATACTCCTCAACTGAGCACTCCCCAAACCTGCAGGAACGCCGTTTGACTTCTGTGCCGCCAGTCGTTTCCTTCGCTCCTCTTTCCGGTTCAACTCTTCCACCTGTGGCTTGAGGATAGAAATCTGATGTGATAACTTCAAGCGAGAAAACATTGAGAAAATGAAGGCCACGCGAAGCTTCAAAAATTACGTGCCAGTGTCGCTCTGCTCTTCATCGACCGTCCTTCAACATCATCATCCACCCCCTTCCCGCCGTTGATTTCTCGGTCCATTCTTCCTAACTCAGCAAACCATTTTGTTTCGAATTCGCTCAGCTTAGGAGAGTATGAATCCATAAGGCGTTGTAACACCCTATCCAGTCGAATCAACAGACTTCTCTGCGTTGCAACAACTTTCTCCACACGATCTTCACTGGTACTCGAAGCATCGAAAGGCGATGAGGGCCCAGCCGCGGGTTTCAAGGTGCCAATAAATCCAACCAACTCGACGAGCTTGCTGAGCTGTCGTTCCATCTCCTTTTTTTGGAGAGCGATACGATCCTGTAGTGCGCCCACAGCGGAAGTCACATCCCGCATATCGGAACGGAAACCCTCCACATGTTTTCCTAGCATGCGAAGGGTTTCTGGTGTAATGATTTGAGTCGGAGACGTAGGCCCGCGTGGCGGAGTGATGGATACCATAGCCCGTCGAGACCGGAATGTGGGTACAACGAAGGGTTGTTTTGTTAATAGTGAGATGTAAGCTGACACGACAGATGGTGGTGAAAACAAGGGAATTTTGGGGTCGGATTTCGATGGGGTAACTGGTGAGAGCAACACGCCCTGGGATTCTTCCTCCAGTGGCCTTAGTGTCAACGCTATGGGCACAGCTTGGTATTGAGCAGTGAGCGCTATAAGTGAATAATTTACAGCACTGTTGTCCAAAACGCCTACAGATACTATGGGCGTAGTACTCCTAAATGGCAGGTACAGTAAATGGCGCATCAGGATTTCAAGATGATCCATGCTAACCTTTGCTCAATAGAGAAAGAACTCAATAAATGTGACACTTCGCTCTCTGGCGCATTAGTTACCGCCGCTATCAATCTATCATCACGTCCATCTTGATGTTCCAGCTCGTCGTCCGCCTTGATAGCTTTAGAGATGGAGCTCATCCAACCACTGGTGTCAATAAGATGCACACCGAAGGAATGAGAAACAAATAAACGTCCTTTCCCAGGATACAGCGGATCGGCGTAGAGCAATGGGTGGTTCGAACGGATCAGCGAGATAGTCTGGGGTGGTGTTTTTGACAACTTTAACGCTGAAGTAGGTGCCACGGGGTCATCAACTTCTAACGTCTTTAGAATACCAAGGTCAACAGATTCGAACACAGTCAAGGTGGGTAAATCTTGGGGGCCAGGTGATTGCCTTTTCGATAAAGCCTGTAAACATGAGAACTCAGAAGTGCTCACGCATCAGCAACGCCGCGCGTACCGAGACAAATTCCCACTTTGCTTCTACCTTCTCCGCATCAAGACATAAGTCCACCCTGCCATCCCTCCATGTGATTGCAATGACCCCTAAAGATTCTGACGACTCAGTATCTTCCTTCTCCTCGAGACTCAAATCTGCTGTTAAGCCATCAAGGGACGACTGGCCAGGGCCAATGTAAGCAATGTCGGTCGCTTCATTTTCAAACTCATCATCGTACTTAAGCGAACCCTCCAGTTCTGGAGGGGAAGGCTGCAAAAGGAACGGGCCTTGTCGAGCAGGTGGATGACGCTGAGCAGCAGGTAATCGTATTGTTACACGCGCTGGAGCCTTCGGTGGTCCAGGGGACTCGGAGCGGTCCATCACATCAAAGCTCAATGATCGATGATTTCGGGACCGTGTCATCGCCAATTGTTTGTTCAGTGCATTGACAAACTTAGTTTGATGATCGTTGATAATAGCCAGCGATTCAGCGGTGGAGGCGGCAGGATCGAGCGATGAAGTGGATGCGGACATGAAGGCTGAAGTGTTTGCTTCGATTAGCTCACGTTTCGCCGCAACAAAACATTCGAGAGCTGGGATGTACGACGATGGAACTGAGCTACATCGAGTGGCACCCTCAGTAGAAAGGTTGAGGCAGGGAAAGGGCTAACGCACGCAGTGGCAGGCAAGAACGGTGACACGGCCCAAACGTCGCCATTTCTCATCAGAGAAAATACGGTCAAAGGACTCCAATCCGCCATCCCTTTCCCGATGCAGAACGATACTGCCTCAAGAGAGGCGGGATCCTCAACAGAAAACTTTCCCCCAACACGGTCTGGAACGAAAGATAAGGTTTGCTGAGGCTCTTCTGCATCACGCGAAACGTCGTATTCACTGGAGACTAAGTGTTTCAATTTTCGTGAGAAAGGATGTGCAGTAGAACTTGTGCTGACCGCAAGACCCCATCAGCCGTTAGGACGAGCAGGGAAGATCCCCCATCGTGCCATGGGTGCCAATCCACTTTGGCGATTTGAGATGAGCCTGAGATAGCATGATGGAACTGTCCGATTTGAATTGACCTTTTAAAATGCGCACTAAGTGCTGAGGGGATATGGAGGAATTTTTCCACCTACTTGGCATCCACTCGACTATTAACGAGTTTGTAATATGATGGCCTCGGAAGCACAACGACTGCGATTTGGTGGGCACCAGCGACCGCAATCATTTTTCCACCAGGGCAAAGAGCAATTTGTTGAATATCAAACTGAATGTTTGGAGTATGGAGTGTCTAGTTCCACAGGAACAATGTCAGGCCTGCTATTCTCTCGTCCAACAGATGTGGGGCGGAGTCATATGCACCTTGTACGGCCGTTCTGCTGTGGAACTGCTAGAACTTCCTCTGTAATCTATCAGTGGCGCGATACGCAGCTCCTTTCCAACGGCTAGAATAATGTCAGAGCCTCGGAAGCACATTCTGCTGGTTCGACGCGGAAGTGACGCCTGGTTTGTCGGGCGAATGTCCTCTACCGCCAAACGACCGTCATTTCGAGTTTCCTCACTAATCTTAAAGATTGGATGCAATGGGAACCGGGAAGCCCATCCTGATTGGACATCGTGGCCTTGCATATCACCCTCCTAGTCCTAGCAATTTGAAAGGGAGAGTTGAAGGTGGCAGCAGACAGAATATTAACTTTCCCGTCACATGTGATGGGAGTGTCAACGGGTAACCCCGATTGAATCAAACTCACGCGGGTGCGTTACGCGTTCTTGGGCTTATTCGAACATGAACAGTGGCTACGATCTTTCTGCAAGCACATATTCCCCAGATGGGAGGATATTCCAAGTATGTTCTTGTGAGGTCAACACCAAAGACTTCTACTGACTTACCCGTAAGGTAGAATATGCAAACAAGGCAGTAGAGAACTCAGGGTACGTGACTAGGGATACACTATGAATAATGCCCAACCCTTCACGCGAATTCCAGGACAGCAATTGGTCTTAGAGTGAACGGTGGCATTGTACTCGCTTTGGAGAAACTCGTACACTCGAAACTGCTGGTCCCAGGCTCAAATAGACGCATCCAATCAGTCGATCGACACATTGGCATGGTCAGTCTTCCTATTATTCAAACTTCATATGGTTTGTCTTACTCCCTTTTAAAGGCCACAGCTGGATTATTAGCGGATGGTCGTCATCTCGCTTCACGCGCATTTGATGAGGCATTGAACTATCGAGAAACCTATCGTGCACCCACTACTCTCAAAGCCCTCGCCGAACGACTAGGACTGTATGTCCAAGCTTATACTCTGTACTCTTCCGTTAGACCGTTCGGCGTAAGCGCTGTGCTTGGTGCAATCGATAAGGAGGGTCCGCAATTGTATGTCGTTGAACCCAGCGGGATATATCATGTAAGTATTTGGCGGGAGAACTGTCGTATACCCTTTGCGATAATTCATGCATCAAATAGGGGTATCATGGGGCGGCCGTGGGGAAGGGGCGGCAATTGGCCAAGACAGAGCTCGAAAAGTTAAAATTATCAGAAATGACAATCCGGGAAGCCGTTTTTGAAGCCGCACGAATGTAAGGGCCTTTTCCTTGTACAAGCACTCGGAGAAACTGAAAAGCCTCATCCGCTGATTCCACCTAGTATTCATCTCTGTCACGATGATAATAAAGACAAGGAATTCGAGCTGGAATTATCCTGGATCGGCCCTGAAACAAATGGGTTGCACCTTCCTGTACCAAAAGACCTGTATGAAGAGGCGGATAAGAGAGGGCGGGATGCCTTGGATGCTGACATGGAGGATTGACACTGGAATCCATTGATGCCGACTGCCGAGTAGGCGACTGTTTCATAATGATCATTCCATTTTTCTTCAGAGCTTGTTGTTCAGTGTGAACACTGAGAACCGTCGATATTGGCGATGGCAAGCCTCGTTTGTCCCAGATCCCGGTTCCACACTTGCACTTGGAGCGGAACCCTGCACGTGCACTTCTCCATGCTATGTAATTATGTTTACTCAGTTAGAGTGCTAGTTGAATCATTTTGGAGATCCATAATTTTTTACAAGACGATAGCTGGATAGACTGCAAAGAAAGCGGAGATGGGGCCGGCGTTCCATCGTAGTTTGTTGCTACCGATGACCTCTAACTATCTCTGCAGACCCATTCTACCTACTTCCCTCAAGTCTCTCATTAACTCACGGTGGTTAACGATGCAGGCTACAAAGGATGATCCTAGCGAAGGTTCGGCCAAGCCAGATGCCTATCTGGAGCAAGTTTCGGATGGCATTTCGGCTATAACGTTAGATCGACCGAAACAGAAGAACGCAATTTCTGTAAAACTCTTGAGCGAGTTGAAGGCTTCGATCGAGCAAGCGAGTGAAGCTAGAGGGTCAGTAAGCTTATCCGTTCGCAAGTTCCTGTTCCAAATTAATCCAATGCTGCACCTGTTGCTCGATCATTACGCCCGTTCACACACATCCCTCCCACAAGTCTGCGCGTCCTCATTATTCGCTCATCTGAGCGTGGGTCCTTCTGCGCTGGGGCGGATCTCATTGAGCGACGCACAATGTCTCCGGCCGCTGTTACCCTCTTCCTCCAAACTCTCCGTTCCACTCTCACCCTCCTACAGGACTTCCGGATGCCAACAATTGCAGCTATCGATGGACCCTGTCTTGGTGGTGGGCTGGAGCTTGCACTTGCATGTGATTTTCGTGTGGCGGGGAGCGAGGCGAAGAAAGTTGGATTGACGGAAACGAAGCTTGGAATTATACCCGGTGCCGGAGGTACGCAGAGAGCCACTCGACTCCTGGGAATCACGAAAGCGAAAGAGTTGATATTCACGGGGAGAATGATGGACGCGAATGCTGCGCTTGCGTTCGGTATGTATTTCTGGTGCATCTATCCAAGATTCAAGTGGTGGCTGGACCATGTGTCTCCGCAGGGCTGGTCGACTATGTGGCTGATCCGTCAAGTACGGCCTTCGATCGAGCGATGGAACTAGCTCAAGAAATCTCAACATCCGGTATGTCCTATCTCTTCGCCATCTTCCTATCTCCCAGCACCCTTTTAAATTACCTCAAACCTCAAACCTCGCACCCAGCACCCCTTGCCCTCCGTGCAGCAAAAATGGCGATCTCTCGTGCGGACCAAGTTGATTTGGAAACCGGACTGGACTTTGAGCAAGCATGTTATGCACCATTGTTACGAAGCAAAGATCGAGATGAGGCGCTCGAGGCATTCAAAGAGAAGAGGAAGCCAGTGTTTAAAGGGGAGTAAATACACGGCTTTGGCGAATGGTCACATTGTTAATGTCCGAGTCCTCCCCTCAATACCCAAGGCTGAATGTGCAGGATCCCAGCACGCAGCATGCAGTTCACTTTGTCGTTTCTGCTGCCTGACACACATTTCTATATCTTTTATTAGAGGGGAATATGCCGCGCCGTGTAGTATGTTCTAGTACTGAAGTCCTGTCCACAAAGACCGCGGAATTTCCATCCCACCAAAACGCTTAGAGCTTTTTGATCGATGTTCCGTTCGTTTCACAAACAGGATGCTAGAAGCTAGTAAATGACATCAATATTAAACGTACAATAAGTCCCGATCCAATGCATCGAAAAGTGAAAACAGTGGTGGAGGAACTAGAAAAATGATTGGACGTGTACTGGATGCACTAAACGATTTGGCTAATATCGACGACCACTGGGGCTTTCAGCTTGCCCTGGAGCAGAAATCGAGTTCCATTCTTGCTCGCCCGAGGAAAATATATGCTGTCTGAATCTCTCCTACCATCATCCTTGAGCATCAGATCACCGTACCAGGCTTCTTTCTCGCTGAAAGAATTTCTGGACCGTACGGTCGGGGCGTAGTCGTATGGAATCCTAAGTTCGTCTTCCCCATTGAACCAAATACATTGGAAGGTATCAGTTAATGGGATCCTTCCCATTGCGGAGGAATAGATGTCAATAACGGAGTATTTGCTACCGCCTACGCTTGGTGAGAGGTCGTAGAAAGGGTGCTTCAACCAGGATTCATCCGCATCATGCCCTAAATCTGGCCCGGTACTTGGTGGATGAGTTGCACCATCTTCTGGAACCAAAGGCAGGGCGGGGTTACAAAATACAGGCATAGGGATGTCATGCAGGCAAGGGGGTTCAAGACCAGTGTTGAAAATCCAAGTCCTGAAAATTTGCACGCGATATTGAGCAATCCACTTGTGTGAACCGGTTGACCAGACAAACGCATGGTTTGTGTCGTAAGCGCCGACATACCGGCTCCCTGGAGAGAATCGAATTGTGTAGCGTTGAGGGATAGATAGATCGGAGTGAGATTGGGGAGACTGAGCAGGGGAGGGGGTGGAAGGAGATGCAAGGAGTTGAACGGAAGGCTCGCCTGAAAAACGTAAGAGTGCCATGTTCTCGTACCAAACCAGGCCGAGATTTTGTGGGACGCGTATGATGAAAGATCCATCGTTCGACACCGCAGTTACAGCAGGGAAACAACCACTGGGGAGGGTGCCGAGCTTCGTCATACTTGTTCCAGGACCGAGAGTAGTGATGTTTCCATCAGTATCCTCAGTGGCAATCTGAACGTTGCCACCACAGATAAACTCGATCCAAACCGGAGGTTTGGGAGGATTGCATTGGAATCGAGAAATTACACACTGATCGTCGATGTCGGCAACCTCAATGACCCCATTTCCAAAGCCAAGGGCAACATAAGAACCATTTTGGGAGATTGCTGCACAGGTCACGATTCCGTTGCGAACAACATGTTCAGCGAACTCGGCTTCGTAATTAGTTTCTTCCCGGCCACGTTCATGGAACTTCTTTGGCAGCCCAGTTAGTGTTGCCTCCATGACCTCTTGAGCCACACGTGCATCCTCGCTCAAAGGAATAAAGCCACCAGAAAACTCGCCAGATACACTGAAGACTCGAACGGGATCTGAGAGATGACCATAGAATTCATAGAGGCGTGATGACGACGGAGTGAATGGAAGGCCTGATCGATAAACATGCCGAGGATCAGGGTAGAGACTCAACCTCCTTGCAAGAATGAACGCCTCCTCTACCAGCGCTATTGATTTGTGGTTCTGTAACGCAAAGAATGATGTCATATAACCGAAACACAGGAAATACAAGCGATTTAGAACTCACATGTACACTCGACTTCCATTCTACCAATAAACGGTTGGTCTGAGATGTTGGCCATGCCAATGAGCCATTATTCCCTGACAAGAATGAGAGTAAGTTTGTTGTAAGAAGTTGTTCAAACTCGTTTTGCAATTCATTAAAGTCTTGTGAAAAGAGCAGCGAAGGGTCCAAGTGAAAGAATAAGTGCCTAAGCACATTTCCGACAACTCTAGGTATCTGTTTGCTCTGAAAGAGCTGCCACTTCTTTTTATCTCCCAAAGGAAGCTCAGTGGGGATGCCAAACTCATTCTTCTGAATGACATCATTTACAAATTGAAGAAGTCGCAACCCAATGCTATACCCCTTTACATCACGAATAAAGAAGACTTTATCCTGTTCCTCACCGATGGGATCTCCTGTAATGAACTCCTTTGCCGTCGCATGGTAGAACTTGACAATCTGCTCGTTGTCTGAGGAAAGATCAACAATCGAGCTGATAGGTTTTAGTACTGAGCGCACTTCATCCTCAGCAATCCCTAGCAGTCGCGATATGTCGTCAATGTCAAAGTCACTCCAGGTTGCGGCAACAAGTATCTCGACTACTTCGCGATAGTTCTTGGCCACATGTGGACGAATACTGGAGGAGTTCGGCATGTAGGCTCGTCGCATGATTCGCAAGTACTCCGACTTCAGATCCATAGGTGCTTCATTAAGATTACGGAAATATTCGAACTCCGATTTAAGAGTCGAACCATAGTACCGAATCTGGAACTGCGCATCACGTATTCGGATTGAAGCCATAATGGGCAATCCACGACAACCTCTCGCAAAGATATCAAGATCTTCATCGGATGGTTTCCACAGGGAGTCCTCGATAAAACCGTGAAATCCTTCGTCCACCATGCGACGGATGGTGTGGAAAGTGTCCCGTTCAATCCGATCCACATCTTCGCAGGGGATCATAAGACCCTGATCTTGCACTCTAGTCCAAGTCGAGAGGACTGTAGACTCCGGCCGGCAGCTAACGAGTACAGCAAAGGGCAAGGGCAGCTCGCAAAGTAGAAGCACGAGCTCCATCAGGGAATCGAGATCCGCTGGACCCCCGCACTCATCCAAGCCATCCAAGATGATAGCATAGCGTCGGCTGCCCCCAGACAACACTCTCTTAAGACTATTCATCGGTTCAATGATCAGGGTCCGCATCTGCTTCTCCAGAGAGAGCTTCAGAAACAGTCTCATTTCTGGCCGCCGGAGGCATTTGACGAGTGACACTTTGAAGTCCGCACTGAAGAGCGCAAGTTGGCGTGCAAGGGTAGAAGGGAACAACTCCAAAGAATCTAACCCTGTTCCCTTTCGGTTTTTGTCCCAAAAGAACGAGGCCGCAAGAGTGCCTTCCCCCTCAAGCGTGGATGCAATGCTCATACTTATCGCCGTCTTCCCGGTACCGGGTGATCCACGTAGCCAGACAAATCGGTTCTTGGCATCTTTCAGATGTCCGAGAATCGATTCCTGTATGTTGTCCCGTGTGCTTGGAAGGCATTCTGACTTGCTTTTCACGTAAGTGTGCTCGGCCGCGACTTCCCCAAGCCGTTTGAGTTCAGCTAAAAGGAAGGGTTGATGAAAAAAAGACCCTAAGAATGAGCTTGGAAACGCACATTGCACGGATGCTTCGATTGTACGAAGCAGCGTTAAAGTAGTTGCCTGAGTCTGTTGGCACGCAATCAGTCAGTGTGTAGGGCACTTGGACGCCTCCATAATGGAAACGAACCGAGAAGTTGTTAATGGCATCATTTATACATGCCTTCACATCGCTTATCCTCGTGGCGATTTCGGTTGCTAAGATCGTCCTCTTCACGGGACCTCGATTGTTGAGTGTGCTGACCTCTTTTATTTGTTCTTCTAGGGCCCTGTCAGCAGGATTATTGAATCAAATGCGTGGCAAGGGAGGCACATGGACGTACGAATGAAACCCCTTGATGAAAAAAATCACTTCATCGGGTATACGGTCAGTCGACAGCGCGAGTGGCTGCAAAATGGTGTCATAGGCTTTTCGGATGTCACTGTCTAAGCCTTTGAGACTTTTGTCATTTCCACCGACGATCTGTCCAAATCATGTCCCACAAACATTGAGAGAGTGAACAAAGTATCCTCATCGATCCCAGAAACGGAAAGATGAACTCACCTCGTAGAGGTCGAGCCACTTTAAAAGCAAGTCTGGGATTGCGTCAAGATTCGGAATCGGGGCAAACTTAAGGGCGGAGGTCGCATTTTGGAGAATGAGTCTAATAGCGCCGATGATTACATCCTGCCGATCACTGCCTGAGCTGGCCGATCGTGCGATCGCGTGTTCCGATAAGGGAGGCACGTTAATGCCCTCGCGTTCCAATTGTGCATGAACGCTCAGGCCATTGTCATGTGTGGCATACGAGCCAGATGTTTCATGAAGATTATCGATCTTTTCCCCACGGGCGGGGGGAAATGAAGGAAGTACTGCATCATTGGCGGACAGCTGGAGGGGCGTGTCTGGCCTGGATTGTTCAACGAGATTGGGGGTACCAGGCCTGCTGCGGTTAGGACTCAATTTCCTACGGGCCCTCCCGAATACACGACGCATAAGAGATTCCGATTTCTTCGAATTTCTGTTCATAGAAGGCATGGCCTGGCTGGCCACTATGAGCCCAGGATAAAACTCTGTCGGCAACCCATGTCGATCGCTGTGGGTGTTGTCGTGATCTCGAGGTACCTGGAGATTGATCGGGGGAACACGAGGTGACTCGGAGGAGGTCGAGGGGAGCGGCGGTTGTGAGGATGAGCCGGGAGCGGAACGACTTCCTTTGGAGAAGGATTTGAACGGGTTTTTTCTAGACATCGCACTCGGGTAGTAAGGAGGGGCTAGTCGCCACGCACATGATGCGTATAGGACATTATTTGAAGGGGCAGTACCTACATAGTTAAGTGCATAGCACTGTAAGATTGGAAATTGCAACGTTGGAAATTCTTACTTGTCCGGATAAGCGCAGAAATTCAGAGGTGGCTTGAAATTGAAGGCTGAACCCGCACACAGCAAGCTTGGCATAATTACGAAGCCATAGAGGCTGGAGTCCTGCCTAGGAAGAGACGGCAATGAAGCAAGCAGTAAATATAACACAGAGGCCGTGCAGCAGGGTCTCGTGCGTCGGCATGAATGTGTTTCGGTTAAACCCGCTATGGTTCAAATGGGACACGCCATTGAAGCTCAGAGTCAACGCAACCATTCTATGCCCCAGTGCGTCTTGGGAGAATACCACTGTGTTGTCGGTATGCAAGGCTGGTTTTGCGAGCGAGGAGAAAGCCCCTCCCAGCAACGAGCTAGATGACCGTGTGTCTCATCCCATTGCGTCATTCATCCCTCACCGGCCCCTGGGATTCATATTTGGCCCAAACACGGGCTCCTAGTGACGATATGATCACCCTTCAACATCCTCAGATTTCCTTTGCTCAGTTTCAGATCGAAGCATTAGCCAATCGCAGGAGTCCCTCAACCCCGTCATGGTTCGTCCTAATATTTATCACTATTCATACATTCTGGAACCATGAACTGATTGAGCACGGTTATCGCGCTTACTGGAAATCTCATCGTCGATCCATAGCATTTTTGACCACCCCAAGTAATGGTCACTCTGCATGCTCCTGCTGAATCGGTTTTCAGCTTTGACACTGCCCTCCAATGGAGTGGGTGCACAGCTACCAATGGTTTACCCGAAGCGTCCACTTATTCAACAACCCTTCGTGGGTTAACACCTGGATCATTTGCTCATCGGTAAGGATTCAGCGAATGAGCTGTTGAGAGTCGATAATTCGTCCTAGGGCGTACTCTTCGTTCTCATTGAAGTCACACGTTTGCTCTGGGAATGCTGTCTCAAGTGCAGTAATTTCTCTTCAGGTATCCTGGGCGCTGTTCGTTGGGTGGGCATTCACAGTCTTGTCGTGAACTTCGGATGAGGGGGTTTGATTGGAGTTTTATTCGGCGACATGTTCACTCCACGCAATTTATAGCGACGGGACAAAATATCCCACCAGAGTCGGGGCAGCCCTGGTTGTGAGACTATATTAGATTTGCGTTTCGGACCTTCCGATAGGCTGCAAGCGTCGGTGATGCAATATCAAGGGCTTCGCGTGTTAAATTTTCTCAGGCTTGTGATGGAAAGGTATATCGTATTTTTTTCCCATATTTCTGTGAGCAAGAGCGTGCCCGGGCCCTCAATCAGGCATTTTCACACCAGTGGCGACGACTCACGTCTGGACTGGCCTCATAAGGTGCGGACGCTTTCATCTGGCTTGGAGCCAGGCCAGAAGCAAACTTGGGATCGCATGAAGATTCGGAATCGGGACGGACTTAAATGCGGAAGCTGCATTTTGGAGGATTTGTCTCGTAGCGCCGATGATTACTTCTTTCGATCACTGCCTGAGCTGGCTGATGGCGTTATCGTGGGTGGCATATGAGCTGGATGTTCTACAAGGATTGTCAATATTTCTCTCAGGGGCGAGGGAAAATAAGGGAGGCGCCACATCACTGGAAGACCATATCAAGATGCTGGGAAGAGCTTCGGACGTTGCAATTCCAAAGTAAATTGGACGAAGACTTGTCCACTCACTGGTGCAGTGCAGTAAACCCTCCGCATCCAGCTTCTTTCTACAGAAGCATTTCATATGCGTCATGCGCAGGTGATCGAACTGTCTTCCGTTCACTCTTCCACCGGGCATCCTTCCCCATTATTACATACGCTAGTGCGATGTCTGGAAAAAAGAAATCTGAATCTTTTATGGCTTGTGTGTTTGGGAGAGCACGTATGAAACTGAAGCCTGATACTCGATCCCCGCTCTGCAGGCTCCCACTACGCGCACTCCTTTTGGGCAGCGTTAGAATTCTCTCTGGATTCCATGTCAGTCGCTGCTCAAGTGGCCTCCTTGAATTAAAAGAAGAACCGTCATCGTACGGAGATGCATGGTGTGAACCGACAAATTTCTATATATACTTTTTTTTTTCACGTTTCCATAATCATGGGTTGCTTCGGCATCGAAGCGGAATAATTATGTCTGAATACTCACATCATGAAGTCGAGGCTCCGGTTTGACTCGGATGGAACGCTGCCACGAATTTCGGAGGTCCCATTTTCGTGGTCTCTCTCAGCTCCTCTGCTATCGCTCACTTCCTTCAGAACTCTCTTGACTATAAACACAACCAGCAAACCGTAATGGATAACAGTCTTTGGAACGGTAACAACATTACGCCCGGCTACACAATATCTGGTAAGCAAGTGAAATCTACAATGTCAACGCGTCATTTTGATTGAGTATTCCTCAGCGTCTCACTCTCCATTTTACGGTCCCGACGACGCCATAGATGTTGGCCATCCGGAGGAAGCTAACATCCACCAAGCTATCAGAGGTGCCTAAGTTCTTAAGCCTAGGGATGCCGCGGTTCGGTTCGGAGGGCGCAACCGAAGGTCCCAAATCGCAAACGCGATAACAGGTTCGCTCACACTCTGGTGCAGTTTGAGGATGATTGCATTCGAATCTTGGTTCTGACCAATTCGGTTCGGCTCCGAACCGAACCACGGCATCCCTACCTAAGCCCTCTCCGACTCAACGTTTTATCATGGTCTCATTGCATCAAATGGTCTTAGATACACCCTCAAGGATTGTTAAGGCCGAATTCACCGAAATAGAGACGTTTCGAACGCTCCAATCTCTTGCGCCACAATCCAGCAGTACGCGTCAAAATCGCGAAATAGACGAGTAGAATTGGTGCCAATCTATGGTCCCCTGTTTGTTTTTTTTTTCAGGAAAGAATGGAGCCCCGATGCGATCCGGCGCTCTCCTTCGCGAAAAATAAACCTCAGCGAATCCACACTCACCAAAGGTGAATCAACGCTACCCAGCTTTTCGGCCCATTGACGCAGTTATCCTCCGTGTATCTTCTTGCATTCACACCAAACGATTTTGCCTCAGTTTCAGCGAAAAAGTCCGAAGAAGATGCCCGCGGTGAATCTACTTCTCACCTCCGAATTCAGGGTATGTGATTAGAGATACACTATGAATAATACCCAACCTTCACGCGAATTCCAGGACAGCAATTGGTCTTAGAGTGAACGGTGGCATTGTACTCGCTTTGGAGAAACTCGTACACTCGAAACTGCTGGTCCCAGGCTCAAATAGACGCATCCAATCAGTCGATCGACACATTGGCATGGTTAGTCTTCCTATTATTCAAACTTCATATGGTTCGTCTTACTCCCTTTTCAAGGCCACAGCTGGATTATTAGCGGATGGTCGTCATCTCGCTTCACGCGCATTTGATGAGGCATTGAACTATCGAGAAACCTATCGTGCACCCACTACTCTCAAAGCCCTCACAAGGAATTCGAGCTGGAATTATCCTGGATCGGCCCTGAAACAAATGGGTTGCGCCTCCCTGTACCAAAGACCTGTATGAAGAGGCGGATAAGAGAGGGCGGGATGCCTTGGATGCTGACATGGAGGATTAACACTGGAATCCATTGATGCCGATTGCCGACCTCTACCTATCTCTGCAGACCTATTCTACCTACTTCCCTCAAGTCT